CTCAAGTATGCGTTAGACTATGCTGGCCCAAATGGGGTCATTCTGATTTTCAAAGATGTTGACTTCCGTCCGCTGGTTAATATTGATTTGGCCGGCGAAGACTGGCGAAATACGGTGGACTATTGGACCGGGGCGACGATTTCAAATGTTTCTGAGCGTGTACCAGCACTCTGGGAGCGATCCGATATCTTGCAAGGCCAAATATCCGTCAAAGATCTGAGGTCGAAACAGAGGGTTCCGGGTCCAGACTCCCAGGTTGTGGGAGTCAGCTATACTGGCTTGAATGCATTTGCATCTGCTTTGCACATGATCATCTGGCTAGACAGTTCGCGCTGAGAGAAGTTCGTTGCTTTATGTCATCTTGTCTTCAATTGCCTGGCTTGACCCGGGCTCTTATTCTTGTCCAAGGAGCGGATCGTCTCTGTCGACCCGGCGTGGCTGTGGCTTTTAATGTGTTGCCGATGTCGGCTTGGAAAAATGTACCCGAAGCAGGCTGCCCCAAATTCAACACTTTCTTCATCTTAAGATACTTAAGTACAGGATACTTCGTGATGTACTCTGTATCGCAGGTGCATTCGCAATTCAGATTGAAACATTAGAATATCATAAGAATGCCATGCAAAATCATGCAATTCAAGTCAATTATTCATTCATCCTCTTTTAAGTATGTCGAGATCATCTGTGATGCTATGCCCTAGCTACAATGTCCCTTTCGATGTTTATTTTCAGTTGCCCAAGTTGAAAAAGACAACAGCATTAAGCATTCCCTTTCAATGTTAAATGCCCAGCAGATTTGCTTTTTAGCTCATGGCTTGGGAATGTGTATAGTCTTGCTGACCATAAGACATCCATGCAGAACAAACATCAGAACGACGGGGTGGAACTCGAAGATAGTACCTTCTGCGAACAGGCCCAGAGGGATGTTCTCATGGGTCCAGCTTTGAGAGACCCAGTAGGCCATGAGTGCGGCGATTGACAGAGTGGTCGGGATGGGAGTGCCTTCGAAATATTTTGATTTGCCACTCTTGTCCTTAGGCAGTACAGCCACAGTCACATTGAACCGAGCAAGACGGGTGAGACCGCAGAGGACGAAGAAAGTCAGGAAGACGTGGTCAAGCGAGGTGCGAATACCAAGCGCAAACGCGGCAGCAGCAGGAGCTAGGCCGAAGGAAATCTAGTTGAAAAGTTAGCAACTTGTTGGCAGTTGTAACTGTAATGATTTACCAGATCCGCCAGCGAGTCAAGCTCCTGTCCCATGAGAGACGACTTCTTGCGCCACCGTGCGACCTTGCCATCCATGAAGTCGAAGAATAGACCAAAGGGCATGAAAGCCAGGGCAGCCCAGATAGCACCGTATTCAGTCGGTTCACCGAGGCAGTAGCGCATGGAAGAGAAGACCGACATGACTGCTCAACATATTAGTCGTGGATCGTCAACGGTTGGGAAATACGAGCTTGCCTCCGCAGAAACCTAGAAAAGTCGGTTAGCCAATTTGTCGACACGATTCCTCGAGATTGCATAAATATCTTACCATTCATTTCCGTGATCAGATCGGCAAGATGCATAGCCCTGTGGAATGTTAGTAGAGCCAAAAAGACAGGAGGCGCGGAGACTGACTTAACCATGCTGAAATGACCATGATCCGAGGAAAGAAGCATTTTCTGCTTTTCCTGGCCTGCCAAATGTAAGCTTGATTGCTCTGAATAGACCCAAGAGAGCTCCAACACACCTCCATCACCTGAAGGTGGGACGCCGCCTGAAGATTCACTCGGTGCCATAGCCGATGTACGACGAGACATGCTCAAACCAATCTCAGATGTGGGGAAATGTATGACAGAAAGACAAGCCGGCACGATATTATGCCTGAGCAGCAAGACTGAGGGGTAACAGAAATTAAGAATGGCTGTCAATCCTGCTTGAAGTGTTGACAGACGCACCTCTGAGCGGTCAACGTCATTTTCCAAACTGCAGGCAAAGGCGGTAAAGGTGGTGGCTGGGCCACATGACAGTTAAGCCGCTTGTGAAGGCTGCCATTTACCCTGCATGATCTACCACAACTACTAAAGTGACTGGCCAAGGACAAAGCATTGAATATTTGAACAGAAAGATTTTTGGACTGGTGATATTCTACAGCCTGCAGCCAGTTAAGTTGCAATTGTGCAGGATGCACAAGAAGACGGAAAAGATATTCCTGGACAAAGCTCCCATATCCCCCAAACGCCGTAAGAAGACAGTACATAGGATCATCGGACCTAATATCCGCGACCACGGAAGCCACCACCACCACGGGGGGCACCGCGACCACCTCCGAAGCCGCCACGGCCACGGGGAGCACCGCCTCCGAAGCCACCGCGACCACGAGGAGCACCAAATCCACCACGACCGCGGGGAGCACCACCACGAGCACCGAAGCCACCACGACCGCGGGGGGCACCACCGCGACCACCACGGGCACCACCGGCGCGCTTGGGCTTGGGGGCTCCAGGAGGAGCCTTGGGCTTGGGGAGGAACCTGAGGAACGAGTCAGCGAGGGTACAAGAAAAGATAAGAGGCATTCATACTTCTCCAGAGGGAGGAGCTTATCTCCACCAATGTAGACCTTGTCACCAGCCTTGAAGGAGGTAGCGACAATTCCATCCTGGGGCTTGACGGTGAAGTAAACCTGGTTAATGGGACCAAGAATCTCATCAACCTTTCCAATTTGAGTCTGCGAAGGTTAATATGAATGACTAGATGGAAGGAGGAGAGTGGTGGGTACCTTGTTCTCCAAGTAGATCGGGGCGTTGAAGTAAGGAATCTTGGGGTTGACCGACTCGCAGACCATCTCACCCTCACAAGAGTGCATCACAGATCCCAGCTCTATCTGAATATCAGCGACATGATCTCACGATTGTGTTTCCGAGGATATAATTACCCAGGACTTGGGCAGGGGGGCCGAATGACTGCTGGAAACCTCCGCGGCCTGCAACAAAAAAATTTCGTTAGCTCCTTTTGCACTTTCGAATCGCAGTCACAATGGGAAAATTCTCACCACCACGGCCACCGCCGAAACCTCCACGGTTGGCACCGGATGCGCTACCACGACCACGGAAAGACATTTTGTGGTGTTATGGATGATTGTCGGCTTGTATAGCTGTAGAAGTTTTCGCTTGGTGGAAACTTGAAGCGGTAAAGTGTCGCTAAGGGCAGTAACAGCACGTGACTGTCGACTCACCGCCTGAGTCATTTTCCCCTCCACTGGTGGGCTATAGTCCGATTTATTTTCAACGAGTCAATTACCTTGTGTACGTGACTGAAGGGCCCTCAAAATGGCATCCGAAGCCTCCAAGGACCTTCCTGTGCGACCTGCCGCCGAAGCGCAGGCCAACAACGCTTCTGAAGCCGCCGCTGCCCCGCAGAAAGATGCGAATGCGAAAACCAAGCAGGCCCCGAGCCCCGATGTCCTCCCAGAGGTCATGATCGAGCGCAACAACCTCTTTGAAGAACTCTGGCAACAACACCTTGAGGATACCAAGACCCGCCCTCACCCCGAGATCAGCATCACGCTCGACATTGGCGATGGCAATGCCCCGAAGCCGGTCCCCGCAAAAGCCTACGAGACCACCCCCGGTTCCTTCTTGCGCGACGTCCCCAAGGATCTGAGTGCCAACATTGTTATTGCCAAGGTTGATGGAGAACTTTGGGATCTCAACCGTCCGCTGGAGAAGGATTGCGAGGTTGCCCTGCTGCCCTTCAGCAACCCCGAAGCCCGCGAGGTCTTCTGGCACTCCAGTGCTCATTGCTTGGGAGAAGCATGTGAGTGTGAATATGGATGTCTTCTCTCTCACGGTCCCCCTACTGCTCAGGGCTTCTTCTACGACATGGCCATGCCTGATGGGTATGTAGTTCTTGCATCCATAATTGTATCAACATTAATATCTGAACTTTTAGACGTGTTGTTCGAGAGAGTGACTGGAAGGCGCTTGACACTAAGGCGTCGCGCATCTTCAAGGAGAAGCAAAGCTTCGACCGATTGGAGGTTTCCAAGGAGAACCTCAAGAAGATGTTCGCCTACAGCAAATACAAGCTTCACTACATTGACAAGCTTGTGACTGGAGAGAGCAGCACTGTCTACCGCTGTGGTACCCTGGTCGATCTGTGCCGAGGCCCTCACATCCAGAACACCGGAAAGATAAAGACGTTCAAGATCATGCAGAACTCCTCTGCCTATTTCCTTGGTGACCAAACCAACGATTCTCTCCAGCGTATTCGTGGTGTTGCTTTCCCTGACAAGAAGCTGATGGCCGAGCACCTCAAGTTCTTGGAAGAGGCGGAGAAGCGCAACCATCTGAGAATTGGAAAGGAACAAGAACTCTTCTTCTTTGATGAGATGTCTCCAGGATCCCCCTTCCTTCTCCCCAACGGAGTGAAGATTTTCAACCAAATCCAGTCTCTCCTGCGCACTGAATATCGCAAGCGTGGTTACCAAGAGGTTCAGACCCCTAACATGTTCGATGTTAACCTCTGGAAGGTGAGTAGTCTTAGAGTCAATCCAAATTGTTTAAATTTGCCTGTTCTGACCTCGACAGACTTCCGGCCACTGGCAACATTACAAGGACGACATGTTCGCGCTCGCAAAAGATAAAGACGCCGAACCCAGTGTCAAGCCAACCGATAAGAACGCTGCTCAGGTCGCCGCCGCGGAAAAGCAGTTCGCCCTCAAACCCATGAACTGTGCGTCAACCTTATCAAATTTAAGGGACTATGGATTCTAACACACAATTTCAGGTCCCGGCCACTTCCTTCTCTTCAACCACAGAGAACGTAGTTACCGAGAGCTTCCTATGCGTCTCGCCGACTTTGGTGTTCTTCGTACGTTGCCCACTCATTTGCCTTTGAATCTTGCTAATTAGTCCAAAGACCGCAATGAAGCCTCTGGGGCACTCAGTGGGTAAGTTCAATACAAACCATCCAGCCAGAGAGCATCGTTCACTAACTACCACCTCAGCCTGACGAGAGTAAGACGCTTCCAGCAGGACGACAGTCATATCATAGGTACCGCCCTCTCTTCTGTTGCCAACGTTGGCTCCATCTCTGTGGACCAGTCACTTACGTAATATTTTTTGTTAGTTACCCCGGACCAGATCATGTCTGAAGTGGAGGGTCTGTTCGATTTCCTGCGGTCCATTTACGGACTGTTTGGCTTCACCTTCAAGTTGAAGCTTTCCACTCGCCCCGAGAAGTACATGGGCTCTTTGGATACCTGGGACCACGCCGAGGATCAACTCAAGAAAGCATTGACCAAGTTCATGGGCAACGACTGGATGTTAGTACCAATTCTTCATATTCCCAATGCCTTGGGGCATCGCTAACACCACCGCTCAGTATTGATGAAGGAGATGGAGCCTTCTATGGCCCGAAGATCGACATCACCATTGCGGATGCACTCAAGCGTGAATTCCAGTGTGCCACTATTCAGCTCGATTACCAAGCTCCTATCAACTTCAAGATGGAGTACATGACCAACGAGCAGCAAGCTACTCAGGATAAGCCCAAGGAGGGAGAGCCTAAGGGCGACGAGCCCGGCCCCGGCCGTGCTCGCCCCGTCGTCATCCATCGTGCCATCATCGGCAGTTTCGAGCGATTCCTGGGTATCTTGATCGAGCACTTCGGTGGCAAGTGGCCATTCTGGCTCAGCCCGCGCCAGATCCTTATTGTTCCCGTCATGCCGGCCGTGAACGACTACGTTGAGGAACTGCAGCAATTGCTGCGTGGAGATAAGCTCAACGTTGACATTGACATCAGCGGTAACACCATGCAGAAGAAGATTCGCACTGGTCAGCTGGCTCAGTACAACTTCATCTTTGTCGTTGGTGCATCTGAGAAGGAATCCCGCACTGTCAACATTCGCAACCGTGATGACCCCGCCAGCCAAAAGCAGGGCACCATGGTCTCCGTTGAGGATGTGCGTGTCCAGCTTAAGGCACTGCGCAAGGAGCGCCGTATGGAGAACGCCTTGTAGGGACATATTTGTTACAGAGTTATGAAAAGTGAAATGAAATGCATGCGGAAGTTCAATTGATTCCATTAGATGTGTCCCAGGCCCTCAAGGTTCCATATACCACCTGGGCACCCAGAAGATCTTTAACAAGTCCAACCTCGGTAATCCATAATTTCCACAGAAAGTGAAACCTTGGAAGTGGATGACTTCAGGAGTAGGATCCATATTTCTACAGTATTTTACCCTGTTTTACTTAAGTACAAATATGTGATGGCCTTCAATCTACCTGCGCGGCTATCTCTATCTAAATCCTAGCTCCCTGTTTCCTTCAACTGTGCCCTGGCCCTTGAATGATATTTGTGTTGAATAAGTTTTCACATGCAAGTTAACATAAATAGATCAAGTTCCGATGAATCAGGAAGAAATCAAGTGTTCGAATGCTCGCGTCTCATATGTGACGTTGGACGTAGGTTATTTTGCAGAACGTGCCGTGACATATGACACAGGCCCACAGCGAAACCCGTGTGTTTCAGCCACTTTTGTCTTTGTTCGAGTCTTTGTCGAGGGCATTGCAGGATCTAAATAGATACACAGAGTTCATTGGAGATGTACAAAGAATCAACTTGCCTTGTCACATCAAATAGATTTGGAGATCCACTGTATGCAAAGACTTGCAGTCTTCTTTGCATTTTTGGCTCTAAAATAGACCCCATTGAGCCCAAGCCAAGAATCCCAGGTCTAAGGCCAAAAGCAGAAACCAAAAACAAAAGAACATACACCAAAGAGATCCAAAAGAAAAAGTGAAAAGACAAGAAGAAAAGAAGACAAGAAAAAAAAAAAAACAAGTGGAGGAGTGTTTTGCGTGGATCACCCGCGGGGACTGCGGGGCTGAATCCCATCACACTCGACCCTTTTCCTTCTCTCAACTTCTGCTTAGGTCTCTCGTTATATCTCTCTCTTCCCCCCGTTTTTTTCTATCGCGCCATCTTCATCATGGCTGATTTACAGGGTCGCAAGGTCTTCAAGGTTTTCAACCAAGACTTCATCGTCAACGAGCAATACAATGTGACCAAGGAGCTTGGCCAGGGTGCCTACGGTATCGTGTGGTACGTGTCGATCTTGGGATATTTTAGGGACACGTGCGCTGACAACGGTGAAGTGCGGCCACCAACATCCAGACCGGCGAGGGTGTCGCCGTTAAGAAGGTGACCAATGTCTTCAGCAAGAAGATCTTGGCTAAGCGCGCCCTCCGCGAGATCAAGCTGCTCCAGCACTTCCGCGGCCACCGAAATGTAAAGAGACCTGCCTCCATCAATGAACGTCAACCGCTAAGCTTCCCCAGATCACATGCCTTTACGATATGGATATCCCCCGACCGGACAACTTCAACGAAACATATCTCTACGAGGGTACGTGCTCCAACTAAGTTGGATCCAGGGAATGGACGAGACTGATCCTCCTATAGAGTTGATGGAATGCGACTTGGCTGCCATCATCCGCTCCGGCCAACCTCTGACCGATGCCCACTTCCAGTCCTTCATTTACCAGATCCTCTGCGGTCTCAAGTATATCCACTCCGCCAATGTTCTGCACCGTGATCTGAAGCCTGGTAACTTGCTGGTCAATGCCGACTGTGAACTGAAGATTTGTGACTTCGGTCTGGCCCGTGGTTTCTCCATTGATCCAGAGGAGAACGCAGGATACATGACCGAGTATGTCGCAACCCGATGGTACCGTGCGCCCGAGATCATGTTGAGCTTCCAAAGCTACACCAAGGCCAGTAAGTGACGGCATTTTGAATTCGCCCCTGCCCATACCGAAGCTGACCTCCCCACCCATAGTTGACGTCTGGTCCGTCGGCTGCATCCTCGCCGAGCTCCTTGGTGGTCGTCCCTTCTTCAAGGGCCGCGACTACGTCGACCAACTGAACCAGATCCTTCACTACCTGGGCACCCCCAATGAGGAAACACTGGCCCGCATTGGATCCCCCCGCGCACAGGAATACGTGCGCAACCTTCCCTTCATGCCCAAGGTTCCCTTCAAGCAGCTCTTCCCTCAAGCCAACCCGGATGCCCTGGACCTGCTAGACCGCATGCTAGCATTCGATCCATCGTCCCGTATCTCCGTCGAAGAGGCTCTCGAGCACCCCTACCTGCACATCTGGCACGACGCCTCGGACGAGCCAAACTGCCCCACCACCTTCGACTTCCACTTCGAAGTCGTCGACGAAGTTCACGATATGCGGAAGATGATCCTCGACGAGGTCGTGCGCTTCCGCGCCACCGTCCGCCAGCAATCCCAAGCCCACGCCGCGGGACAGCAGGCTGCCGCTCAGCAGACCAACGTCCCCATCCCCGAACAACAGGGCTCATGGAAGACCGAAGACCCCAGACCTCAGGAGGCTACCGCTGGCGGTGGCTACAATCCCAACGATTTGGAGTCATCACTGCAGCGCGGTATGGATGTGCATCACCGCTGATAACTGTTTATTAGTTTTTCGTTTGCGTCGTCTCATTCGGGGGATTTTCCGGCGTGTCAAAACCAGTCCTCACGCCCTGCATGTTGATCTAATTTAGCCAAGAGATACCAGAGAAACAAAAAGACTGGGACGATTTACATGGATTTCTATTCTTGCCCATCACAATCTCAATTTCGTTCCGTCCTTTCTCATTTCTCCACATAGCTGGGGGGGTTGTCTAAATTTCATGTGCTTTGTCCTTTGGGTGGGGGTTTTTTTTAGATATTCCATTAGGATCAATAGATATATTTTTCTGTAAGACGAGTCGAAGTACTGAAGTCCGAAGAGGCAATTTTCATAAGATCGACTTGGGCAAATTCATCTCTATTCTACGGTCTCCAAATACGACTGGTCTAAGGTGGTTGGGAGTTAGAGTTAGGGTTGAATGGTTAGAGAGGACGGGAAAGAGCGACTTGATATCGTGTTCCTTCCCAATTGTCTGCCAGGAGGAACATTCGACTTGTAACGGCAATGGCAGGTTTTTCGATACAAAAATGTAAGGTACTTAAGTTCACTAGGTATATTCTACTTAGATACTTCTAATGTTAACCTTGGAAGTTGCAATATACATACATGCGACAGACCCCAAAAAGGTATAGGTAAATCGTGAGTTCATTTCAAACGCTATAATCCACCCGCTCAAGATAGACAATAAATAAGGCCAGTACATCACACATGACACCATGGAAGTTCAGTAGTAGTACCCTCTCCACCAAACAGCCATACAAGCCGCAACAACTAGATCAAGCATCTTCAGCCCCTCATCCTCAATAACCAACTTGCCAAGCTTGGCACTCTTCCCCCGTAACCCTCCGCCAGCGGGCTCTCTCGCAAGCGAGAAATCCAATCGATCCTCATCGGAATCTGCATCACAGTCTACCCCACCGCTACTGGTGCTCGTGCTGCGGTGTGCGTGAGCTTGAGCTTGGTAAGGGGATTGGAACTGGCTTTGGCGCGCGAAGCGTTGCGCGCGCTGAGAGGTTCGTCGGAGGAGTGCGGAGGGGTTGAAGGGGGGTCTGGGGTCGGATGGGGTGGGGCTTTCCCTGCTTGGGGCGGAGCCGGGACCTGAGTGGGCGCGTGGGCGGGAGTAAGTGTTTGGATTGAGGAGTTGGGAGAAGGAACCCCGTTTGGAGGAGTGGGGGTTGGAATAGGGGGAGTCTGGGCTTGGATTTTCGGAGTCATAGTTGGAACGGGGGAGTTGTTGGGTTTGTAGTTGGCTTTGAGTGAATGGGGAGACGTGATTGGGGTGTGGTTTGTGGACTGCGTGGTGCGCGTGTGAATGGAGGTTGGCTGCTTGGAAGGGGGTGTTGAATCGAAGCTCGGCGACTGTCACGGCTGGAGGCGGTTCGTTCTCGCCAGCGGGCGGGACGAAGCCGCCGGGCGTTGGGATCATGTGTTTGCATTTGAGACTTCGGCCATTGACGCTGCTGGCGAAGGTGCAGGTCCCGTTCCAGGGTGAGGTGAAAACATAGTAGCCGCTTTTCAGCCTGGAGCTATCTGGGTGGTTGGCGGAGTCGGCCATGGAGTCGTCGAAAGGTTTTGACACACAGAGTTGACGGTGGAATTTGCGAGGTCCGGCTGATTGCTCTGTTGGTTGATCTTTTGGTTGCTCGGCGGCTAGGGATTGTGGGTATCCAACACGTCCGATCCCCGTTGGAATATTGACTGACAAACTGGATAACGAGGGCAGCTCATTAGAACCTGCGAATCGGTTATAACCGGGCGTGGAGATCTCAATATCGACGGCATTGCAGTCCATGCGCGGCGTTGAGATGGTCGCCACGTTCCACTGCGTACCAGACGTTGGATCACGTCTGATCAGAGTGATGTGGAAGCCGGCATTACTGGAAGGTCTGCCATGCACATTCCTTTGCCTAGAAGGCGATTGCCCAGGACTTCTTAGTGGAGATCCAGGTCGGTCATGAGATGACCGAGGCCGCAGTTGCGGTCTCGGAGAGTCCAGACTATGACGACCGGCCGATAGCGCATCATACCTTTCCCTTAGGATTTCCCCTTTGCTTTGAAGATGCCCAGCAAATGCACTCCACCGAGTCGTCCGCTTTTGGGGATCCTCGGCGGCGGATGAAACGTCCCATGATTCCTCGCCTGGTGGCAGAGGAGGAAGGGGCCGTGATGGCAAGGCGCTTTTGGGGCCAACATCACCCATTGCGCCTTCAAACACGGCATATCCCTGGGAAGGCTGTTCATTGGCTACCGGGATCCCAGAGAATGACACATTTTCCGCAGTCACCTGCGGCATTGGAGGTTGGCGCGGCGGCAAAGCTGGAGCAGCAGTATTGTGAGGGGGTGGTACGGGTGGGAGTTCAGATGTCGCATCCCCTCCCACAGGCTTGCGGCGCACATTGTTCAGCCGGGCGAACTCGCGCCTCGCTGGGTCGTCGGCGCATGCTTTCTCGAGCTGTTCTTTGCGCAGCTGAGCTGCCTCCTCGCGCTCTTCTTCTACTTCTTGAAGCAGGGTGTCATCTTCGGGAGTCGATACGTGGAGATAATATAGAGATGCGTTGATGGCCTCCGCAGAAACACTGGATTTTGTTGGTGGCTTCAAAGGCGAAAGAAAAATGTCTGTACAGGCAGCAGTTAGTTGGGCTTATCGTTTGGGTTGTTTGGGCCGATAAGGCTGAATGAAGAATTGTAGAGCTCGAAAGAGTCTGGGAGATCCTGGGAGAGCGATGTAGCAATGGAATTGACATACCTTTGCTACCTGGGACGCGTACAATGTACAGTGATAACGGTTCATGCTTCTCGTGGGTGGGATTGCGTGGGTAGGCGGGGGGATTCGATGCGATAGCGGTCACGGACGACAGTGAACGTGCCTCGACAGGACCCTGAGGGACAGTAGACATAGCGGACAAAGCCGCGTTCGACTGCGTTCGACCGGGCCCAAAGAAATATAACCAAATTGCGACTGTTGAGAAGTCAAAAGTTGTAGACACAGAAACAATGGGTCTCCCGGCAGTAGGCGGAGCTGGTTCGCCGCCTTGATCTATTTCAGTGTTATTCGCTTTCGGGCCTATGTTGAAACAAAGTCGCACATGGGACTAAGGGACGCAAGGGCGTATTAAAGGATGCTGCCTACCGATCGTGGCGCAGTACGTGACCCGTTTGCGCGGGTATATACTTGCCCTCGACTATGGCGATCTACAGTTGGATGTTGGGTATACAAGATGTTTTGTCTTCAGAATAACTACATGACCAGAAGTGAACTGTAAAGTCTGTAGAAAACAGAAAGAAAAAAAAAAAAAGATTCAAGGAATGCAATCTGGAGCTAATACTCCAAGAGGGGGTGTCAATACAAATGGACTCCATGCTGTAACGCCGCAGTTCCTGTCCATGTCCATGTCCCGAAAATAAGAGATAAAAAATAAAACCATGTAAAAAAGCCATGTGTATATCGAGAATTAGACAACAGTCTCCGACCGTTCGCCCTCCGCAATCACAGGCACACCAAGACCGCGATCAGGGCTCTGCAACACAAGCTGTTCGTGACGTCGTGCGCGCAGGAAGTCGCTGACAGCGCGAATTAAGATGAACCATCCAACGATCATGAGGATATAGGAGATCCACTCGCTCGTCGTGATGCCGGAGATAGCGCCATTTCCACCATCGCCGCTGCTCTCACCGACGGTGTTCGGATCGAAGCTGTGGCTATTAGGGTCTGGCGGAGGAACATATTGATCGGAACCGCCGTCCGAACCCGAACCGTCACTGCCGCCTTTCATGTAAAAGCCGTATTGAACAAGCGTAAGACCGAGACCCGCTCGGCTGCCGTTCTTTGCGGCATGCGTGGTATGAAGAAGATAAGTCAATAGGAAACCAACCAACTGGAAGGACATGGAGATCATGGCATTCCAAACGAACGAGAACACTGATCCAACAGGTAACCCGTCCACGTAAACCTCATCAGATGAGATACCAGGTGCCACAATGGTGGTCTCCCAGTACGGAGGTGTCGCATCAGCGGCTGCTTCCTCATATGACTGTACAAACGAAAGATCAGTAATCAAGCTCTGGAAAAACCTATCAAACATAGACTGATCAACTTACAGGAGGAAGATCTTCGCTCTTCTCACCCCGTTCAGGCTTGGCGTTAAGATTGGCAAAGACCCCATCATTTGACGGGGCAATCTGCCGGCTGCCCGGAGTTGCGAAGTTGGGCAACATCGTGGGCCTCCGTATGATCCCTGATCGACTCTGGTCCTGCGAATCACTTCTAGATACCGATGATGACGAACTGGCAGTCTGGGCGCTATCCGCAGGACGAGAGTCAAGGTCGGCTCGCATCAGGCGTTGCCTGTCATCTGGCTCATTATCATCGTCGGAGTCGTCCTCGTCGCCGAAAGCATCGGCCAAGATTTGCTCTTCATTATTATGTAGCGGATCGTTGTGTAATAAGCGCCTCGTGGACGGTGAGGAAGATCGGGATCTGGAGCGGAAAGAGGGTGGCGGAGATGAGTTGGGATCAGATCGCGCGTTCAGCGGATAGGAATGTGGCCCATCCTCTTCATCTTGGGCGTTAACCTGGACATGGACCAGTCAGTATATTGTCGAGGAGTCACATCCGGGCTGTTCGATAGGATCAGCGGGGGAGGCGTACCCGTGAATAGCGCTGCGAGCTCATGGCGAGCTGAGCGGAAGGTGAGGGTGGAGAAACACAAAAGGAAGAAAGAGACAAGACACAACTTAGGTTGGAATGTATAGAAAGGATAACGAGAGTAAAGGGGGAATGTGGAAGATGTCGGGGTTTAGAAGGCAACGAGAATGGATGTGGCTGATGATGCCTGATGACCCAGGCCACAAAATAGACTGTTCCCGGACCATCGAGACTTTCTTGTCCGCAGGTGTCTTGCCGTCATCAACTCATCCATTTGTTGATATTGTTCCACCATGTCTAAACCCGTGAGTACTACTCTACCTTGGAATCGCCATCTCAAAGTGAATTGGGAGTTCCTAGTCAATCCAGATCAAACCTCCTGACAAAAGCCATTCAGACAATCAACCCGCGCTCGCTCCAAAGTCGCCTCACCCATATCCTAAATAACTGGCCCTCCGATGCTGTCCGTCCGGCGTCAGTCTCTGTTCAAACCTATATTCAATCCCGTCTCCAGCCCACCGACAAGTCCAGCCCAGCGATATCTGAAGCCTCCACCAAAGCCCTCGAAGCACTGCTGAACAATCGTTTCGCGTCCAAATATCCTCTACCGGAGAAGCTGCGTCGACCCGCAAGTAATCCAGACCACTACGATAATGTTGTGCGCGAATTTGCAGAGGCGCCAAATCGCGATTGGTTCGGGCGTTTAAAGAAGCGCATGGCTGGTATCATCCGGTTGACCTGATTTTCTTGCGCTGCATACGATGGCCTTTGACTGAGATGTACTTGATTCATTATATTCTTCCCTCTCTGGGTTGGAGTGAGCACGGGGTTTTGATTTGACGGGCTGCATGATGTGTACCAATACCTTTACTTCCTTTTTTTTTTGTTTCCATTTGCTTGTATTTCTAATCTTCCACTCCAGTGTACTAAATATATCCCAAAAGCAATATTTTCGATGCATGCCCAGGAAATCAATATCCATGGCAATGAAAATTGAATTTGAAAACAATCTAACTCCAGCAAAACGACCAATTGCTATGTACAAAACGCTTGAATAGAAACGTACAGGATGCATGCAAATTTACATCATTTACAGCATGGGCTTCAGATCATCGGCAACTTTGAAGGGAGCCTCGGTCTTAGCTTGGATTTCCTCGACGGTGACACCGTCGGCAAGCTCGATCAGAGTCAGGCCGTGGGAGAAGTCAACGTCGAAGACGCAAAGTTCAGTGATGATGCGGCTGACGCAGGCAGGGCCGGTCAGGGGGAATTCGCAGTTCTTGACAATCTTGGGGTTACCCTTCTTGTCGGTGTGTTCCATGGTCACAACGACCTTGGTGGCAGCGGGGTTGGAGACGAGATCCATAGCACCACCGAAGCCCTTGATCTTACCGGGAAGCATCCCTGAGAGATAATGTTAGCGAAGCCGTCTCATCAAAGGGACAAAAGAAAAAATAACTTACAGTTGGCCAAGTCACCCTTGGCGCTGACCTGCATGGCACCGAGAATGGTGAGGTCGATACGACCGGAGCGGATCATGCCGAAGGACTCGTCACTGCCGAAGCAGCTAGCACCGGGCTTGAGAGTGACGGTCTCCTTGCCGGCGTTGATGAGGTCGGCATCCTCCTGGCCCTGCTTGGGGTAAGGGCCGAGACCGAGAATACCGTTCTCGGACTGCAGGGTCACCTCGACGGAGGGGTCGACGAAGTTGGGAGCAAGCATGGGCATACCGATACCGAGGTTGGCGTACATGCCGTTCTTGAACTCCTTGGCGGCACGGCGAACGATGCGCTCGCGCTTGTTGGCGGTCTCACCCTTGCCGAGGGCAGAGGTGTCGGCACCCTCCTCCTTGGCGAAGGTGAACTTCTCAATACCCTTGGGGACGGTGCTCTGAATGACGCGCTTGACGTAGATACCGGGCAGGTGGATGGCAGCGGGGTCGATCTCGCCGGGCTCGACGATGTTCTCAGCCTCGACAATGGTCATCTTGGCGTTGCGGCCCATGGCGCCGTTGAAGTTGGCGGCAGCGTAGCGGAACTGGCAGTTACCAAGCTTGTCGGCCTTCCAGGCCTTGACGAAGGCGTAGTCACCCTTGATGGCCTCCTCCATAACGTAGCTCTTGCCGTCAAAGACCTTGACATCGCGAGCCTCGCTGAACTTGGCGACGGTGCCGTCGGCGTTGTGTCGCAGGGGAACAGCACCGGTCTGCACCACGGTACCGAAGGCGGCAGGTGTGTAGAAGGCGGGGATTCCCGCACCGCCGGAACGGCACCGCTCAGCCAGAGTTCCCTGGGGAGTGAGCTCGAGATCGATCTCACCGGTCAGGTACATGCGCTCGAAGGTCTTGTTCTCGCCGACGTAAGAGGCAATCATCTTCTTGATCTGCTTGGACTTGAGAAGCAAACCGAGACCGGCTCCGTCAACACCAGCGTTGTTACTGGCCACAGTGAGGCCGGTGATGGAGGGGTTGGCGAGAACAGCGTTGATCAGAGAGTCGGGCACACCGGACAGACCGAATCCACCAGCCAGAACGGTGCTGTTGGACTTCATGTCCTTGACCGCGACCTCGGCGGAAGGGTACACCTTGTTGATCTCACTGCGGCGGACGCTGCTAGAGAAGGCACGGGCCATGAAACGTTGGTGCTGCAGCGCACGAGCTGTCAGTCTCCGCAACCACAACATTAATCTTCGAAAGCAGCAAGCAACTTACCTGGACGGGGTTGGCCGAGAACTGGCGCGCGAAGCGCAAGCAGGTTGCGACCTGAGAAGGCATGGTGTAGATTTCCAATTGGGGAATTGGACTCAAGCTCTGTGGTATGCAAGACCAAAAATTCCAGCAGATCCAGAATATAAAGATCTGGAGAACCCTCTGGGGTCGTGACAACGGCAATCAACTGGCACTTATAATCCCGAGCGGCAGTGAGAGCGGAAAGAGTCCCGAGTGATATACACTTCCCCGGAATTGTGGATTACCGGTAGCTTCCGCCCTCACAGAATGATTCTTATTTCAGCTTCTCTCGCTTCTGGACTCGGAAATTCGAGGAGAAAAATAGGCTAGTTCAACAAGTGTCGATTTCTACACCCCCTTCCCTTTTTTTTGCATCTCATTACCTTCATAATCCCCAGACTGGCAGACTCACTTCCCACGTTGCCGCTGCCGAAACTCTTAGCCGATCCGCATCCGATCCCGCCAGCTGGCGGCGCTTTTCGGCGTTCGGAGCTGACTAAGGGCGTTTTCGTTCATCCGGGGGATTCTCAACCTTGGAATTGGGCGTTCGCGGTCCATGGACTTTACAGCAGGCACATGATCAATGTTAAAGTGTGAATTTGAATCTCCATAAATCTACACGTACTCCTGGTATCTTCACAATATGTACCGGAATCGGGTCGCTGTGCAATGCAGTAAAGTCCATCAAAAACCAGAAAAGACATTCGTGCAATCATGCTGTGCATCACATAGCTCATTTCAAGTTGGTCGGTTTGGCCTCGGCGTCAATGCTCTTACGCTTTAAAGGGTTGACAGCATCGATCGGAGAGTTGGCCCTGTCGGTGGAGGAGAGATTCTGGGTGTAGTCTACCGGTGTCGATTTTGAGTCAGCAACTGAAGGATGGGGCCAGCTCATATCAATGTCACCGGAGAGCTGGGGTGATCCATACCGGAGGTACTCTGGGGAGTTGACCCGCTCACTTCTCCACTGGGGCTTGCAGCCTTATCCTCTCCCAAAGTGGATGTTGCTCGATCTGGCATCACCACATCCACTTCACGGCACACAGGGTTCACCAAGCGCTCCTTCATATCGCTGTTGACATAGACCAGGAAATAGGGAGTTGGAGGGTTGCTGGTGGAATCACCCTTGAAAATTTCGTCAAGATTGGTGACCTCCGTGACATATTCATCGTTGTACTTCCGCCAAATGTTCTTCTCAAAATCGTAAATGTAAATGTAGTAATGTCCAAACGAGACAGACCCGTGATGGACGAAAACGGCATACAGGCGATAAGGAAGGTTGTGGTAATCGGCAAATTGGCTAGAAACCATGGCCTGTGTGTCCTTAATTTCTTGCTCAACAGCTAATGAAAGTGTCAGCATGTATATTGAAGATGTACTGTCGGTTCGAAGTCTCACCCTCTAGTTCGGTTTCTGCGCCCCCGGCATGGTCCTGGACATACTGGATCAACTGTGAATCAATACCGAGAGCGCTGGTGTCAGATTCAAGGCACTCAAGTTGTTCCAGAGAGTCCAAGCCTGCCAGCGCCAGTCGGGATTGTCTCAACAGTGCTGCCTTATCCATGCCATCATTTTCCTACAAGCGAGATTAGCGAGATTGGCAAAGAGCTAGGTTGAGTAGACGTGTACCTTCTTCCGAAGTAGCTGTTCCCGTCTGTCTTCGAGTCTGTTGATTAATGCCTTCCATTCCCAACACTGTTCACGCCGGTCGACTATCTCGGGGTTCTTTGTATCCATGTAGCGATCCATGTAGATAGTATCAAGCAATTCCAGATGGTTTGTTGATTTGAAGGAGGACTTTTTCACAGGGTCAAACTGAACACGCTGCACTTGGATCTGAAGCACAGGAGGAATACGGCTGATCGACCCGAATTGCTCGGCAACGGTGTTGTCAACGCTAATCTTTTGAACATCGAAGGCTGCGTCGATAGCGCTGTAGATGTCGCGGGATCCATGAGCAACGTCGACCTTGATATCACACCAGCGCTCATTCTTGGACCGCGTGCCCTTTTCGGTGGAGATGTAAGAGCGAGTTGTTCCGTAGAACAGACTATTCGAGGGGTCAGTACACATATGGCAGCGAACACCTGTGACTACTTACTCTTTGATCTGATCAATCTGTTCGCCGTCATCATCAATTCCTCGAGCTTTGATGGCGCATTGGCTCTGGAAGAGAACATTGTTGATAACCTCGGTAACATCCTGTTGAGCGCCATACTCCAACTCCTCCTTGAGCTGCTTCTCGCGATCAATTTCCGGAATAGGGCGAGGGGGAACAGGGGGCGGTAGATTAGAATTGTCGGGGTTGGTCGATGCCGGCGTGTTCGGCTCGATTTCCATGTCCGCATCAGAACGGACTGATCCGATCTCTGCTTGGTCTGATGCCATGTCATCCGATTCTGGCGTTGCATTCTCTGTGCCGTTGGCAAAGAGTCCTGGGACATCATTGGTGGTATTGTCAGGAGTCTTGACAGTGTCACCGAGAGAAACACCGGCAGTCGGAGCTTGAATTGGCGCTGAACCATCTTGCTCTAGATTACTCTCAGGAAGGGTTGGTGGGTGGCCGAGAGGACCCAGAACTGGAGCGCCGTTGATTTCACCCAGGATCTGGGCTCTCGAGGCTGTGATTGTTGAGCGGCGACGAACTGCTGCCTCGTTTCCGGGACTGATCAATGTCAGGCGGGCAAGCTCTTGTCCAGGAGTCACCGAATTCTGAGACGACGTGATCATGCCAATGTACAGCGTTCGCAGTTCATTCAAGACTGCAAGCAGACAGGTCAGTATAGTGAAGACCAAGACGTAGTCATCTTTACCAGGGTAAACTTACATCGCATAGAACGTTCGACCTCTTTCTTAGTCACTTTGCGGGACCCCACCTGTTTTTTGGCTAGACTCTCCATATCACCAAGATCCATCTGGAATCTCTCCAAGTCCAAAACCATCTCTCGGAAGGGGCGCACCGAGAAATAGAACTGCAAAAGGCTGTTGAGGTAACAGGTATTTCCGATGTTCTGTAAACCAACCGGCCAATCTTGCATGTTGCGCTGAGGCTCGGTGCTGATACCTGCCGATGACTTCAATGAAGCGCTGTCGATGTGGTTGGCAATGATGACCAAGGCTTGGTTGTATCTGTCGGCATCACTCGGATTATCGTCAATACAGATAGTGTATGCAGCCATGATAGCCCCGTCATCAGTGGTTTGGTCGGGAATCTGAAGTAGACGATAGGCATCGCCAACGTCCATTTCAGCAGCGAGAGTCTCTCCGGTGTGGAGGAAATGTGTGAGGCTCGGCGACTTGCGGGATTCGGCGATAAGCTCCAGGGCACGACCAGCTAATGCTCTGGCCGATGGATTATCGTTGACCTATACATTTTTTTAGAGTAAGTTTGTGTCAATTCTCATGGTCGAAAGAACGTTGGAACAAACCTTGGCCGTATACATGGTCATGACAAAATCATCCGGAGTTTCGGTTTCAACACCCAAGTAGATATTCGCCTGCTCGACTGTGACAACGCCTGTTTTATAGGTTAGTTTCGGGGTGCGTGTGAGTCCAGGGCAGAGATGAGTGGGGCAGCATACGGTCTTCAGAAGCCGCCATGAGGCGATCGCTTTCTCGATGTTTGCCGATCCGCGACAGTTCCTGACGTGCCTTGTTCTCCTGTGTGGGCGAGCCGACATATTCGTAAAAGCATTCGAGGATGCGGTTGTTGTTCAAGTGGCGATCATCGATATCGAAGCCAAAGAAGTTGTAAGCTTGCTCAATATCCTCTGAGGCGAATTGTCCTTCTAGATAAGCCTCATTGATGGCATTTGTGAGGTGCTGGTCATCTTTTCCTCGGCGACGACGGCAACCGCCAATCATCTTAAGGCAACTCAGATAGTACGGAGCCATTTTGGGGTCCACAAAAATCTGCTGTCTGTATGCCTCAATAATGGCGACAGAGGACATGTCCTCTGTCACTCCTAAGTCTTCGTAACAACTGCAGATCAATCAGTTAGGATGAAATCCGCCAGAGTAACAAAAATGAACGTACGAATCAGAGGGCATCTCAAACTCATCTGTACCTGTAGCCTTGGGGTCTATAAACATAGTCAGTGGAGGACACGATACTAAGAGTGGCCAAATACGAACAATCGCTCGCTTCTAGAGCGTACAGTATGTCTGGAATGGCGGAAGGGGAAAGATGAGGGAACTGGTGGCCTCTCTTTTCCGAGGCAGGGCGCTGGTGCATCAAAGCCAGGAGCTCAACGATTACATCGTCGAGAAACACGCAAAGCGGGTCCTGGTACGGCTTCTCAGCGCCGGGAATCGGTTTAGGCGGGTGCCACACGCCAGTATCCTACTCTTTTCGTCAGCAACCCCTTTTACCTGGCACGCGGGAACATCCCCACGCTATCTCTCTCACCTCTACATAAGAGAACTCCAGAAATTCCAGCAAGTCCTTGCACGCAGCTCCTTCTACGCCGAACACATGCACGAACCTCTTGTTCCCTGAGGCAATCGGCTTACTGCGTTGAGGGTTCCGAAGAGAGTTTGTGATGTAAAGACGCAGATTATCCAGCAGGTTGATCGGCTCTGGCTTTGCCATGCCCTCCATCGTTTCTGAGTATGTTGAAAATGCTTCCTCGGCACGTTTCTGCAACAAGTCTTCATCTGTCATCAAATGGACGAACTCCTCACTCAAAACGGGCGAAAGAATCCGCAGCGAGATCATAGCTGCACAGGAGGTGTATGAGCACTGATAGTGGTATGTCTCTGCGATCTGCCCACGGTGGGTCATCTCAGGCATCGAGACACCATTCTTTTGCCGTCCTGATTTGTAAACCAGGTGATGGATATGTTCGCCCTTGAGAGCTTGAGTTTGCATCTGAACATTGCTACTGTGGTTGACGACTAGCTGCAGATGGCACCGGCATTTTGAGCAGATTGCTGCCACTTTAGATGACGTGCCTGGCCTTCTCCGGTGTTCTGCCTGTGCCAGGAAGGTTTGATCCGTCTTCAAGACATATTCGTGGCGGCAAGCTGTTGGTGAGATCCAGGATCGCGGGCCATCATAGCCCAGTGGATACAAAAGCGGCGTTTCAGATAACAAATTGCGACCTGTGTCTGGATCGTGGGCTGGGTCATAAAGCTCAATATCTTGGACAAGGCGAGGTGCAGTCTTGCCTATGAATGACAGATTTATGTCAGTCAAATGTCAAGCGATATCCACCACTTGTCGAGCGGGGCTATTTTTCGACCTACCAGCCAACTGTACAGATGCCATGATGTGCTGTCCAGGCCTCAGCCTTGCACAATGGGTTCTTTGCCTTGTTGCTCTGAGTGGCCTTTGGGCAAGCTCAGCGGGAAGTTTGCACAAGTCCAAGCAGGCACATCTAGTAAATGAGCTTGATGTTGTGACTGTGTGGCCAAGTGATGGCAGCGCGTTGTGGTATGCGGAGAGACAGCGGGGAGCTTGGCAGCAAACCGTGATGGGCTTGGAAGCTTTCTCAGGTTGTCAAGGTGCTGGCTTTGGGACCAGATGATGGTTGGAAATGATAATATTACGCCCACATCACTTGCAAGGAGGTCAAATAAATGAAGCATACAGAGTTGTGTTTGTTCCAAGCCTTCCCATCATCATCTCAAGCTCTGGTTCAATGGTGGGCGGTATAGATTTGGCGGTCAAATCCGGCAAAACTCGACCCCAAAATCCTATCGCCAACCACATCCCATCGACCCGCAAGCAGATCCATCCCTGCTATCACACATCATGGCGCACCACGAGGAAGATCACAGCTACCACGCCAAGGATGCTATTTCCGCGGCCATGAAGGCGACCATGCTCACTGGTGGAGTTGGTCTGTTCGCATCGGCTGTGCAAAACACCCTCACCAGACAGAACGTCGGACCTCTGGGCATCTTCATGCGTGGTGGAGGTACCATTGGTATCTTCGGTATGGAATCCCATGAATAGAAATTTGTTTTTATGCTAAATTGATATCTTCAAGCCGCCATGGGTGGTACCTATGAGTTCGTTAAGACTGCTTCCGCCAACCTGCGCGAGAAGGAGGACCACTACAACACCGCCCTCGGTGGCTTCTTCTCTGGCGCTATCCTTGGACTGCGTGGTAAGTTACAATGAACCGATCAAAAACGATCAATTGAGTGTTACGCCATCAATTGGAAGCTAAATACTGGTTGTTTCCACAGTCCGCACATTCCCCGCTCTGCTTGGATACGGCGTTGCGCTTTCCACCGCCATGACTGCCTTCGAGTACACCGGTGGCTCCCTCTTCGGATACCAGAAGGACACGTCTGTTGATGAGTTCGACCGCCGCACCGCTCTGCGCAAGGCATTCCAGACCCCCGGCGAGCAGACCATCGCCGAATTGGGCGAGGGACGCGGTATGAGTGGCCCATCTGAACTTCACGAGCAATGACACTGACTTTCATAGGTATCTACGGCCCGGGCTACGAGGAGCGACGCCGCGAGCGCATCAAGGATGCTTACGGCATTGAGGTTCCCACATCCCCGGTTCCTGCATCATAAGCCTGCATTCTTTTCGCGCCTCTTCCCATTGTTTTGTGTAAATTATCCCCCATATCACGCTGCCTATCGCATGCCGAACCCGTCTATCCGATCAGGTTTTCTTTAGTTCATCGGAAATCAAAACACTACACATTCCAGTTTAGGTGCATGGGTTCTGAGGCTGGGTCGATTAAGCCATGTAGTCTTTCTTTCCACAGAAATCCACGTAGTGTTGCAAATTGTGTATCATTTGTATCAACGCCTCAGGACGCCTTTCACACAGCCCAATCTGCTTCAATCGACACATTGAGTTGAGTCGACATGACAAGGTCCGAAAATGCGAAAATGAGGGGGGCACTTTAACCCCGGAGCTCAGCGGACCAATGAAAGTGCTGGCATATCAAAGAACGAACTCGGGAGCCCTATGGAATAATTTTGGAATAATCTACGTAGGTACACTTGACATGTCATGATCTCAGCGATCAAGTTCTGATCGATATCATGAAGTACTTGAGTCATGAAAGGGCTCTGTTCGGACTACTACGGAGTATGGAGGATATCTTGGAATCCCGATCTGCCATAATGTGATCGCAAACCATGGAATGCAGGTACTGGGGTTTTCTGATTTGGAACCGATCGATCGAATCATGTCCCCGTACACCGGTCCGCGATATACCTCGGTATATTCATTGGTCCATATGACACAGATCAAGATGCAACCCTATACGAGGATGACCTCGAGGGAAACGAGCGAGTACCTTGGTAAGGAAAGCGAGAGAGAGTACGGGAGCGGGGGTGAAGGTACGAGTACAGAGTATAAGACTTATATCCAGGTATACAGGTAATTCCCCTTTCAATGGCGTCATGCATTCATCAGGGCAATTTCATCTCTTAAAGCCACATGTAGTGGGTTGCGCTAATGACACTGGCAATCTGATTTGGGCTCAATAGTGCAGTTCAGGGGCGCACAGCCACTATCCCAGGCAGCCAGATTGGGAGATCGTCGAGATAGTTCAATATACTCCGTATACTCCGTACAGAAGTACGAGATTGTGTATGCTATACTCAGGTTCAGTATAAAGAAGTAGTACAGCAAAGGTAACCTCGAAACTTGAAACGGATGGAGATTCCGATGCAGTACGTCAAAGACGAGCGCCAAAAAAGCTCGGCTGCACCGGCCCAGTTCCTCCCCGTAGACGTCATCGTGAAAGACCTTAATTTCAGCCTGTGTAAGCTGTAAGCCTCTGAAGCCTATTAACTATATCGAGGCCCAATGCCCCGCGAGTCTTCATCCTTTTCTCCTTTTCACAGTGTGGGTCAAATGAGTTGATCGTTCTCCCCGCAATCAATTCCACTCCGTTCGCCAGGTAACCAGACGCCACTGGTCTACGATCCTTGATTTTTCCTTTCGATCCTTTTTCCCACTTGATCCCCTTTCGAAAAGAGAAAAAAAGCTCCCCCTCGCCTACGATTCATCTCTGAACCTCCGAGCACCAACTCGTAAAACCCACGTTTCCGCAGACATGGCGATGGCCGCGCGGCCACAGACGCCCTCTCAGGATGCATACTTGATTCCGCATCCCAACGACCCGGGGGCCCTAAGTCGCGGGTACGGTCCGCGCTCTACCCTCTCCCGACCGAGCTCCTTCGCGGGCAGCACTTCCTACAATTACGGCTCGGGCGCTCTCGACCCGCAGATCCACAACCCCCGATTCAGGGAGGACTTCGACGCCGCTAGCCACCGCGGCTCCGTCGTCCACGACGGCCCCGTTGGGGTGCAGCGGTCTGCCTCCACCATGTCTCACGTGCGATCACAAACCCCCACCCGGGGCGGTACCTTGAGGAAGAAGGCCTCCCTGAGCAAAAAGGGGAGTTTGCGCCGGAATGGAAGTCGCAGGAGTATGCGCGCGGGTAGCGTGCGGAGTCTCAGCTTGGGTGATCGGGAAAAGTATCAAATGGAGGGCTCCGACGATGTGAATAGTGCTTTCATGCTGCCGATTCCTACGACTGGTAACCCGACTGAAGTGCTAGCGAACCGGTTTGGAGGTGCGTTATTTTCCCTGCGCGGAGTTTATGCAACTTGAAGCTAACCGGGATTGATATCTAGCATGGCGCAAGGTTCTCAAGGATTTGATTTTGTTCTTCAAGGAGGTTCAGAAATCATACGAAACTAGAGCGAAACTATTCATGTCCGCCTCGAACGTTGTCAACAACCAGACTCTCCCATCGGCGTTCCTGCAGTCTGGTGGTCTGGCCGATGCGACGGAGATCCTACGAGACTTCCACCGACAAGGCTACACAGAGGCAAACAAGGCGATTGAGGTGGAGGTAGAAGTGATCAGTCAATTGACCGGTCTCCGGAGCGATCTCCAGAAGAAGACCAAGGAGATCAAGAGCCTTTCGGGTGACTTCAAGAACACCGTTGACAAGGAAATCGACGGCACTCGCAAGTCTGTGCGCAATCTACATGAGGCTCTGGGTATGGTCGACACCGACCCCTCCGCGACATCAGGCAAAGGCGACCCATTCATCATGCGCTTGAATGTGGAAAAGCAGGTAGAAAAGCAGATTGAGGAGGAGAACTATCTTCACCGGGTTAGTGTTGCATTTGCGTATGCTCTGAGTCATCTGGCTAACTTATCCACTAGGCATACTTGAACCTGGAGAACTCCGGTCGAGAACTCGAGGGGATTGTTGTGAGCGAAATTCAAAAGGCGTACAATGCCTATGCTAGCATTCTTCGACGCGAGGCCAACGAGGCTCTCGACACCGTAGACAAGCTACAGGCCGGTCCTATCTCCATGCCGCAGGATCATGAGTGGAATAGCTTTGTCGCCGATACTGATGAGCTCGTGGATCCCCGAATCCCTCTTCGCAATGTGGAGAACATCACCTACCCCGGTAAGGATCATCCGGCTGCTGCCGAGGTCAGGGCTGGGATGTTGGAGCGCAAGAGCAAGTACCTTAAGAGTTACACTCCTGGATGGTAAGTCTACTCCCTCTCTCTCAATTAGTGAAGCGTTGTCTAACCAAGCCCAGGTATGTTCTGTCGCCGACCCATCTCCACGAGTTCAAATCGGCCGATCGCGTGGCATGGCAAACACCGGTTATGTCTCTGTATCTACCAGAGCAAAAGCTCGGCTCTCATTCACAGGAAGACTCGAGCTCTCACAAGTTCATGCTGAAAGGCCGCCAGACTGGTGCGATGCACCGAGGCCACTCCTGGGTCTTCCGTGCCGAGTCCCACGAGACTATGATGTCATGGTATGAAGATATCGAAGGTCTGATCAGCACAACGGGCGAGGCGCGTAACGCCTTCGTTCGCAAGCATGTGCGAAGCGTGAGCGGCAGGTCGATGAACAGCGAAGTGATGGAGGACGATGAAGCCGATCGCACGCCCTACTCCGCAGGTTCTGTAGTCCTCTCTCAAGACCGACCCACCTCCTCGCGCCAAGCCGGCGGTGCTTTCCCCAGCGATGTTCAAATTGATCGTCACCTTCAAGCCCCGCTGTCCCCATCTAGTGGTGACAGCTCCGCCGGCAGAGGAGATATGCTAGCCGCGGCTGGATCCTACCCCGATGGCTCAAGCCCTTTCGACGACAATACCCGACGGGCAGCCAATCACGAGACCGACCATGACTCGTACCACGCTTACCAGTCTGGCGAAGGAACCATCCGTAGGTCTTCGCGACCTCGAGTGACGCAGCATGACAGCTACTATGGTGATTGGATGGGACCGACTGCCATCGTTGCTCGGCAAAAGCAGACCCAACAACAACAACAACTGGAAACCACCCCGGACGACCGTGAGGTTCGGTCCGAGGGCGACCAAGCCTCTCTTGCTGCCATCACCGGCGTGGGACTCGCCGATCGTCGTGATCACTCCGCGCCTCCGCAGGTGGCTCGTCGGGAGAGCGTTTCAACCGCACCTACCAATACCAACGTGACGGAGTACACCAACAACACCAACGCTACTTCGGTGGATGATACCCACGATCACCCCAAGATCCTCACTCCTGGTCTTCCAATTGCATCAGGTGCCGACACATCTAGTCCACTGGAGCAGCGATTCAAGAAAGACAGCATCACTGCCCTGGATATGAAGATTCCAGGCCGTTACCCTCCTACAAATGTGGCGGCATAAAAAAAAACATTGGATATTTTACATGTCTCTCCATATGAACATTTTCTTTCCATCATGGATCTTCGACCATCTTTGTCCCCATGTCTTTTCTTCTTCTTTTTTTCTGTGCATGTATCTCTCGTTAGCCTTCTTCCTACCGTCCATTACAGACGTTGGGGTTCTCTCGTTGGAGCTTTCACCCAGTTCTTTTCTCTTCTTTTTTACGGCACCAAGCTGCATAGGCGTTCGTTTTCAGGCAGGGTGTGGCGCATTTGGTTTTGATTGAATCTTGATTCCCAGTGTTGGATATCCAGCACCCCATTTCCTTCGTTTATGGATCCCTGGAGGTTTTTTTCTTTTTTGAGAGAGAGAGAGAGAGAGAGAGAGCGCCTTAGTTGCCAATAAATTTTGTTTGCACACTGTAGCTTGCCGGTTGTGTACCGGACGTGGCATTTGGAAGTTAAGTAATTGAAATACGGTCATCCTGCAGCCAGTCATGAGTGCAGATCTCGGACACAGCTGCTTAGGTGCATATATATGACAAAATAGGCTGAGATGGTGCGATAAGTACTGTGTGGGCCGTAGAGATAAGAGCTTGGGGGAAGGGTATACCTAGGTACCTAGGTAAGCTTGACTTTGATATACGGAGTACTCTGTACTCCATCCTCGGCACGGAGTTGAGACTTTTCAAGGGCTGGAAGCTGTAGTGATAGGCTCAAATTTAAATGCCCATTGTTTACCTAGGTAGGACTTAGCGCTGACACGAGTACAGAGTAGGAAAGAGTCTGGAGTACCAGTATACCTTACTATCTGCCTACGGGGCGGTGAGCCGCACCCGAGTCAAGTATCAGAATTCTGTGTCTCCTCTTCTCCAAAGCACTTCTATAATCCCCATCCATTGTCCCTCTCTCCTCTCTCCTCTGCTCTCTTTGTACCACATTCAACCTCTTACAGCCACGCGCGGCCTCATAATCATGGGTGGGTTCTCTGTTTCTCCTTTGTATCTTTTGTATTACTCGTTTGTTACTGTCGCCCTGGTACACATTCTCAGGTCCCGGTCATTCCAGACCACCAATCACCGTTGCTTTCCCACATCCCCCCCAATGCTGAAACCTTCCTGGATTCTACCTTCTTTCCCCCCCGCTTCCTTTCCCTTCTCCCCTTTACCCTCTGTATATCATTTCGGTATAATTCTTTTTGTGAGATTCTGACCCGACCAGCCGACGTTTATCGCCCAGACGATTCTTATCGCCCATATCAAGTAAGTTGTTCGGTTTCTGTTGGTGTCTTCCTTTTGATCTTCCCTCATTATGCGCATCCACGCCTGTTGCGAAAGAGAGAGTGTGTGGTCAGTGCGGGGGCGGAAACCGCCAGCGCCATTGGCAGTGATCTTCCGATATATGAGATCCCCCGGGCCCGGCCATCCCGCATCGCAATATGGGTGTTGGACTCAAAAAGAATTGCGCCGTGTCGACAACAATGTGCGCCAGTGGCTCTAAGCTCCAACCCCGAAAGGTCCTCAGTCGAGATAAGCTGAGAGATGGTCACCTGACCAGACCGAAGACCCCGAGACGACCGGGGTTGCGCCAGTCCACCTGCCTCCCGCTCCACTCACAATCTTTCTTTCATCAATTTGACATTGCATTCGCCGTGATCACATATTATTCATCATGATGGCTGATCATTACCAGCGCGAGAGGTCTCGCTCCCCTCGCCGCCGTTCTTCTCGCAGTCCTCCCCGTCGCGCCCGTCGCTCGTACTCCCCACGCAGCCGCTCCCGCAGCCGTGACCGTGGTGACCGTGGTGATCGCGTTGATCGCATTGAACCCCGTGAACGTGACGAATACCGTCGCCCCGACCATCGCTCGCGATCCCCTGTGAGTGCTTCAGGCGCTGCCGGACCCTCCGCCTCTCCCTACGGTGGACGCAGTGGATACCCTCCAGCTCGATCCGAGGAACGCACCGTCGCAAAGGAAAATATGATGCAAAACGTCCGCGACACATCCCAACAAGACCGCCGGGTCTACGTCGGCAACCTATCCTACGATGTCAAGTGGCATCACCTTAAAGATTTCATGAGACAGGGTGAGCAGGGCGCTTTGGAGGTGCAGTGGGTGGTGTGAATGAGAATTGTTGCTGACTGGGGTGGTTCTTTTTTCCCTTTTACAGCTGGAGAAGTTCTCTTTGCCGATGTTTTGCTTCTTCCTAACGGAATGTCGAAGGTGGGCGTCAAAACGTAGAATGGCTTGTTCCTTTCTATTCCCCCGATTTGAATTGGTTTGTTTGGAACGTTGGGTTGACGGGATGGACATGGCTGTCCGGCTATTTGTAGGGATGCGGGTGAGTGCTTTTTATCTTTCATTTCTGTTCCCAATGAACACTACTGACATCTCGAAGGATTGTGGAATACGCCACCAGAGACCAAGCACAAAACGCCGTCAACACACTCAGCAACCAGAACCTGATGGGCCGCCTGGTTTACGTTCGTGAGGTAGGCGCTACACTTTTGACGTCCCCAGATTACATGAGCTGACTGATAGTAGGACCGTGAAGCCGAACCCCGTTTCGTCGGTGGACCTCCCCGTGGAGACTTCGGCCCCGGTGCCCGAGGCGGTTTCGGGGGTGGCTTCGGTGGCCACCCTGGTGCCGCTGGTCGCCAGATTTACGTCTCCAATGTTGGTCTCCTCTTCTAACCCCCGATTTGCTAAGGTTTGGCAGGCTTTGTTGACCCCTTCATCTAGCTTCCTTTCAACGTTGGCTGGCAAGACCTGAAGGACCTGTTCCGCCAAGCTGGTAAGTGCAAACTGATGACTCCTACGATCCTTCCATCCCTACTTTATCTAGGTTTTGTCGAGGGGATGGTGAATTGACTTGATATTTTCTACTGCAGCCCAGCAAGGCGCCGTCATTCGTGCTGACGTGCACACCGACGCCACTGGACGCCCCAAGGGCTCTGGTATCGTTGCTTTCGAGTCCCCGGATGATGCCCGGAACGCTATTGCGCAGTTCAACGGCTATGATTGGCAGGGTCGTCCCCTGGAAGTCCGCGAGGATCGATTCGCTGGTGGTGGTGGTGGTGGCTTTGGCGGCCCCGGCGGCGGCCGTGGTGGCTTCGGCGGTCCCATGGGAGGCCGCGGCGGCTTCGGTGGACCCATGGGAGGTCGTGGTGGATTTGCCGGCCGTGGTGGCTTCGGTGGTGGTTTCGGCGGTCGCGGTGGATTTGGTGGCCCTGGTGGATATCCCGGTGGTGGGTTCGACCAAGGTCCTCCCGTTCCTGCCGGTCCGCCAAACCCCTTCACGGACTTTGCGACTTCCAATGGCGACAAGAGTGCCGTGATCTACGTCCGCAATGTAAGTCTTCGCTTTCCGCAAGATATTGGCAGGTTGCAAATCTAACTGGTACACAGCTCCCTTGGTCCACATGTAACGATGACTTGGTTGATCTGTTCGCTACCATCGGCAAAGTTGAGCGCGCGGAGATTCAGTATGAGCCCAACGGCCGTTCCCGCGGCACCGGTGTCGTTCAGTTTGACGCCGCCGATACCGCTGACACCGCTATTTGTAAGTTGATCAGATCTTCTCCCCCACAAAGCTCTCATTCCACCAAGCCCCACACTAACCATCCCACAGCCAAGTTCAGCGGTTACCAGTACGGTGGCCGTCCTCTCGGCATCACTTTCGTCAAATACATGAATGCCGGCGCCCCTCACCACAACGACATCATGATGGACGGTCAAGAGCCCACTGGTCTGACCCAGGACCAAATCATGTAACCTCGTTTTATCTGTTTTTCTTTTGGTCCATAGTCTCTTTCAGAGGGGCTTCTGGCTGCTTCCGCTATTCTTTTGATGATTCCCTTATTCCCATCCAGTTCTGCAGTTCTTGAACTTTGACAGACTGAGATTTGAGTGGCCCTTTTGGGTGATCACTACTATGCTTTTTCACGAAAATGGAGAGACAGGCTTCGTTTTTCCTACGCTTTCCTGTAGGGCTTACCATGCAGTAATTCTGTAGCTATATGTTCATCTGCGTGTACCAAGTGGCGCTGTTGTGTTATCAGATGGTACTATACCGACCGCTTGCTAGTATTGATGCTATTAATGGATATCCGGGCTATAAAATTCATTACTTTTCATATTTATCGTGCAAGTTTAAGGTACTACTACTACGATACTATTGTCGGGGCAAAACGATGGATTGATTTGCGTACGTGGGTCCCAAAACTGTTTTTATATACTTCCGGTGCACGGGCCAACTCCAATATCAATCTCCAATACTCACCTCCTCCGAAATCTCCGCAACCTCCGCAACACCATGGCTCATCTCGCTCGCACCTTGACTCGAAGGGTCACCCCCTCATTGACCTTGCTTCGTCACACACCTACATTAGGCAACACCATCTCACTCACCCGCAAACCTCAAACACAAGCCCAACAAACCCTCACCCCCCGCCGAACCTACCACTCAACCCTCCACCCCCGCCTACCCGACCACGAATACACAAACTCGCAAACAGTCATCCTGACCGCTGCACTGAATCATGTTCCAACCCATGGGTTCACAGCAGAGTCACTAGCCCTCGGCGCCCGAGACGCCGGCTTCCTCGACGTCTCCGTTCAGCTTCTTCCGCGCGCCGAATTCGATCTCATCCTATTTTACCTCGCGAGCCGACGTGGGATTCTTCGCGCCAAAGTCGAAGAAGGGGGCTTATTCCGCCGTATTGCGACCGAGAAGGGAAAGGATGTATTCGAGCTTAGTGTCGAGGAAAGGGTGCGAGGTTTACTTCTGGAGCGACTGCGAATGAACCACGAGATAAAGCATTCCTGGCAAGATGTAAGTTTTATCATTATTGGATATATTGGAATTGAGAAGGAGAAAGAAAGAGAAAGTAATCGCTAATGTTTGATAGGCGCTTGCGCAAATGTCTCTCCTATCTAATATTCCACTCTCATTGGGCGAATTGCACGCTCTTGCTTCTGATATTCTCACTCTTGCTGGTGACGAATCCGTCGACGCCAGCTGGTATACGCGCCGTTTGGCGGTGTCCGCTATCTATGCCAGTGCAGAGGTTGTGATGACACGGGACCCGACGGCAGATCTTGCGGAAACGGAGGAGTTCGTGGATCGTCGCTTTGAGGATCGGAAGGCTATTGCCGATAAACTTATTGGTATTGGGCAGTATGCCGGGTTTGGATGGAATACTGCAGTTGGACTTGGTCGGAGCTGGGGACTTAAGATCTAATGGATTTGCATTATATCCTGCTTTACCATTCCATATTCCGTGGGACGGGCTGTAACTGGCTTGTTTTACCTGCGAGAGATGGACTGTAATTTTATTTGATTTATTGGTTCATTTGGCTTATGTCTGCCAAAACTGTACTCTACTCTGTTCTTATCAGCATGAAGTCTGGAATTTGCTATTCTGGTATTTTGTCCCCCCCCCCCCCCGGGGCATTTTTCATATCCTCTCAAATTTAATATATTCAGTGAGTATATACTCATGATATGGAAGTCAAAGCGTGGTCGGATAGATATTGATTCAATGCAGTGAGACGTTTTGCACTGCTTCCTCTACACTAAGGGGCGCGCCATCGGCAGCGCCGTTGGTCGATGTATTTTCACTATCTGTAGCTGGAGATACCAACAGCGTTGGTGATTTTGGCGAAAATGGGTCTGAGGGAGTCTCGCCCTCCGGAGACGGGTCTTGCTCAGTTGCAACAGCAGTGATTTCGGACGACTCGGGGTCCTTGGATGGACTGGCGTTGCTAGCTGCACTTTCAACCGAGTCATTCTGTCCATGTGCCTTTCCACGGCCCCAACGCCGTGTTTTTGGAGGAAGTGGAGCCTGTCCGTGTCGGCCCGTGCCAGGTACTGGAGCCAAAGGTCGGTGATGACTTGAAGAGGGTGTGGAATGATTAGAGCGACGAGGTGGCGGGAGAGCAGGTGGGGGATTTGATGCAGACCGTCGTGGCTGTGGAGATGGGGGTGCAAGGTTGGAACTTGATCCAGAATTGCGACGCCCACCGGGGATTGCCTGCGACAATGAAGTGGTAGGGGTTACGGGGGTAAAGACGGTAGTCGGGCTCACTTCGACCCCCTCGGGAATGGTGTTCCCATCGCTGCTGGTGCCAGCAGAATGGTGGTCCTCGTCTTCCGCAGCCAGGCGGCGCCCGCGCCAACGACGGGACTTTGGTGGCTCAGGCTTGACTTTTGGTGGTCGGATGATCGGCGTCTCGTCGCTGAGAGCGGCTGCAACCCCTTCATCTTTGCGACTTGGTGTGATGATTCCAGGCTTTTCGTGCTGCGCTGCAACTGCCTGAACGCTCAGCGAGGATGCAGATGCAGGCTCCAACATGCCGAGCCGTTGCACCAAGCTGTGCTTCCGACTACCTGGTGCATTTGATGAGCTCCACGAGTCCATCCTTGTTGGTGAAGCTGTATCTGGCGAGCTTGCGATGGTGCTTGCTCGAGATAGTGTACGAGGAGGGACTTCCACTGGTTCACTGATTGGCACAGGCGAAGCTAGCTGCTCGGCTTGATCAAGAACAGTTCCAATCGTGGTTTCTGTCACTCGAGTTAGGGTTCCCTGCGGTTCTGATGGAACAGGATGTTCAACATTTCGTAGCCAAGCCACTGTTGCACATCGAGCGACAAGTCGGCGCGTCGTCTCATCGACCTCTTCGAAGTGGAGAATTTTCTCGTGTTCTGGATCGTTTCCATATGAGACCTGTCCCCTAACTAAATCACTTAAAAGCCTTCGTAGTTCATCACGTTTGTAGTGAGGTGGGTTCTGTAGTTGGGTGTGAGCTAGAAGCGGGTAGAGGACACGTAGATATGTGTGTCGCAGTGCTGCTGCCTCTTCAGGTAGGTCCAGTAGATTTCGGATCAGAATATCGACCAAAACATGCAGATCATTGGTGAAAAAGTATTCATACGTGCTAGGGGTCGTGAAGATGAGATAGAGAAGCTTCAATGTGAGCAGCTGGAGGGACGTTTCGGCTGTATTTTGGTCAGTCATTCAATATGATAAGCTGGAGGGTAATGGTTATCGATACCTTCGCGATTGATCAAGAGAATGATGTTCTCTCCGAATGTCTTGTACATTCCGCCATATACGGAGAGAATTTTGATGACCTTGTTGGTCAAATGTCCCGAAGGTGCGCCATCCACTGGATCGTGGGCTGATATCATGAACTGCTCATTCAAAACTAGCTAGAGCAGAGGTTAGCTTAAGCCAATGACACTCGGTCGAACACAAACTCACCAACACCCGAATAACAGGATAATGGTACGGGTCAGTGACATCGTACGATAGGTCTTCGATGATATCAAAAAGACAGCGAATGAAGTCGTCATCCACGAGTACTACAAAAGCCCAAGAATCAGCCATCAACCAGATACAGTAGCTTTCAAAAGTCCAAGGAGTCACCTGACGTACCCAAATCATCGATCTTGACCCGTTGTATCCTCGACATCTCATATATCAGATCCATCAACAAACGATGAAGGCCGGCATCACCGTCCAGATCTGCTCTGCGCATAACCTGAATCAGTTCAAGGAGACGCGCAAACGCACCCTCCGCATTCAACATCTGCAGCACGTTCTCATTTTGCCGGCCATCGAAGAGGATGAACGACGCAAGGAAGTGGAGGGTATTGGGGTCGTCTTCCTGCAACAGCCCGTAAATGATCTGTCGTCGTACATAGTCCGCATGACTTGCAAATATGCTTGAGGTGAAGAGTTTGTAGGAACAGCGCGAGATGTCGGTTTCCGATCGAAGGTATTCACCTAAGGGCGGGGGTCAGCAAAAGTGGAGATGAAGAGTACCATGGCGCATTTCACTGCAGTTAGCAGGGATCAGAGCCAATGTGTGTCGTGTTCCTGGGACATATGTACCTTTATGTTGCGTTGTTAGACTGAGATAAGCTCGGAGGGCGTCGTCGATCAGGTCCTCGGAGTCACAAGATTTGGAGACGATCGTTTGGAGTTCTGCCGGTCAATTAGTTTGATACATGTTGGGGAGCCGGGGACAATAGCAGACTTACCAGACCAGAACTCAGTCTCCGAGACCTCAGGCTCCATTTCCCGTCAATGAGCTCATGTCGGATGAAGAAGTTGGAGAGTCGGAGGCGGGGAGGGAATTCCAGTCCCACTGCGGGTCAACCCTACAACACTAGAACAACTACTTGGCACGTACAGAATACAAACACAGACTAAATAGAAGACTTGGGAATATTTGAGGGGATTTTGGAAGGGGGGAAAAATATTGATTTTCAAGATACTATGATACTGGACGCAAGAAGGGATGCGCTTCGGTATTCCTGGCGAAAGAGTTAGCGATGTTCGGATTTGTTTACACTACGTCACTCACAGAACATATTTATCCAAATCAACGACACTGGGGTCGCTGAAGAGCAGGTAGAAGTACTTCAGAGTCTCTGAGAGCCAGAAGGACTCCATGGTATCCTTCTGGGTTGGCTTTTGGGCTGTAACATCGTTGATGGCTGCATGAGCGAGTTCCGTGCGGGTATACTTCGAAATGGCCTCGAACATTTGCCATCCCTTGCGACGCCAGGTCTCATCACCGGTCAAACGGTACATGATAAATACAGACTCGATCGCCTCGGGCCGAAGATAGTAGTTCGGCTGGGGAATACTGATCATGCCTGCCGGGAGGTGATCTTTACCCACAGCAGCAACCTGAGGCGAAGCAGGCGCCGAAGAAGAACGAGGAGCGTCGCGGTTTTCCAACCCACTCCCAACAGGCGTGGATGTCGCAGTGGCAGCCGAGTATGATGAGTCGGCGCGCTTCCCAACTGCAAACCCATCACGCTTAGAGATCACATCACTATCATGAGGGTTCAATGAGCCCGGCATGGGCACAGGGACCATTTGGCGCCCGGACTCCTGGGGTGCCTCGTGGGCGTTCAACTTCAGACGCTGTCCGTAAGTATCCTCTCCGTTGCGGAACTGGGGTCCTGCTTCGGGGTCCACGCGCGAATAGCGAGCCACTCCAGCTTCGAAACGGGCCTGGTCCCACTCACAGGCGGATCCTTTTTCACAGGGCAAGAGACGGAATCGCTCAGGCATCATGCCCGTTTGGGTGACCTCATAAGCCCAAACACAGCCATCAGTGAGCTTGGCTGCGAGCTCCAGGTCACCGTCAAGGCCAAACGCCTTGGCACCCAAAGCGTACATACCACCAACGAAACATGTCAGATGGTGACCTTCGTACTCGAAATCGGTGGGATTCAGCTGTGCAGGCTTCCCGGGAGTGATGGGTGTTGTTGAGGCCATGAAGCGGATGTCACGTCCGCCTTTTACCATAGGCTGGAACAAAAGGGTTTTGCGGGCGGCAGTGGCTGCCTTGGTATACATCTTTTGATACTGCTCATTTGTTCCGCCCAAGAGCAGGTATTCTTTTGGAAGGTACTCGTAGGTAGAATCAGCCATTCCTCCCATGGTGTACTTGTTACTAGCAGCCGAGAGGGGAAGCTCAAGCCCCCCGTTGCACTGATCTGACGACAAGACCGTTTGTTTACGTGCCTGAATATAAGACTCGTCTGGGTGCTGGGTAGTATTGGTGACTTGAACATGTTTGTTGGAATCTGCAATCTGGTCACGGTTGATCAAGTTCGTGTAGCTTTCAATATCTGTCGGCGCGGCGTAAGCTTTGCGGGTTTTGGTAGCACTAGCTTGAGCTGTGCTGGCAGGAAGTTGTTCATCCGCAGGACTGCCGTTTCGCTGAGACTTGTAGCGGGAGCATCCCTGTGCGTTGACTCGGATGGGCCAAAGTCCAGGTATACTTGTCGAATCCTGGAATTTCTCCAATTCATTGGTAACCCGTGCAATGGCATCATAATACTTGTCCTCTTTGGTTAGCTGGGCCAAGCGAGTAAACTCCAAAGAAAGCGATCCAATTTCAGCCAGACCAGCCCGAGACGAAGCCCGATGGCGTTTCGCGACAAAATCTCTAGAAATTCGGTCAGCTATGAAACAGTTCCCGGGATAGCACCTGTGATGGCAACGTACGGCGCCCAGCGATAATACAGTTGCGGCATGCGGTTTGGCGTGTCGAAGGCACCGATGAGAATCTCAGCGAGCTCTTCGGCCTTCTCCAACAGTACGGAGTATCGGTGACCAGAGATATCGTAGGCTCCCAAAAGTCCACCAATATAGCGGATTGTGGCCTCGAACACTGGGATATCTTCTCTAAGCGAGGTTTTGAAATCAATGTTCTTGATCGCATCCACAGCCTCTGAGAACTCATCTCTTAACTCCATGATCCACAGGGTATCAAGAGAATCGACCAAAGTCGCCCCCCAGCCATTGAAGGGGTCCTCGGACTCCTTGGACAAGGGCTTTACCTCGTCATGTCCCATCGCAGCCTTTTTATAACCTTGCCATGCGTGTTTGAATTCAGCCTTGATAGCGCTCAGTCGTTGAATACGCTCCTGCTTATTGGAGCTGGATTCGTCCTTGAATTTGGCCTGCAGCTTGGGAATAGTTTTCGACTGCACCTTGGGCAGCTTAATCACCTCTGCTGCAGAAACAGGATACCGTTCTGGGAATTTCTTCCATCTGGCAGTTGGGGAGCCTGACTTTTGGCGATCCACTGGGATCCGACCTCCGCCTCCATTGTCAATTTCCTCGTCTGATGTGGATGGTGGCAACGTGACTGTGCTCTCCCCCGTGGAAACCTTAAAGTGGTCCTTGGTGTCATCCTGACTGGGCGCATTCACTGGCGGCTTATCGCTCGCAGCCTCTTTGAACCGATTGTTGTCGTGCTTCGATCCGCTGTTGGGACCTACGGGAGAGATAATGATCTTGTCGGTTGGCGGAGGGGTGACCGAGCCGTGGTGAGGTTCGGGAGCAGCATTTTTGCTGTCGGGGGCAGCGACAGGTCCAAGGTTGGGTGTTGGAGGTTGATTAGGATGGGCAGGATCGGCAGGATGGATACTAATAGACTCTTCGGGCACTGTGTTGCTCCAATCGCGGGATCGCGCAAAGTGGAAGAATGTTAGGACGAACGCCGCCGCGAATATGATCAGAACTCGATATCTGCGAGCTCGAAACATAGTGGCGACTATATGAACAAAGATCAAACAGAGACACAGAAAGCGAAAGGGGAGAGAAGGTCTCGAATCACGAGACTAACAAAGTAAATAGATCCACATGCGAGAGTTTGGTTCACGATCTTCCGTTCCTTTCGTGGTTTTTTTGTCGATCTTCAATACTCTTCTTGTGTTGATCTGCGACTTTGATCGCTCTCTCGTTTGCTAATTCCCTCTGTTGTTCATCTTCATTTGAAATCCCTGAATCTTGGGGACCTGAGAGACCCCCTGGACACCCGCGGTTCTCGGGCCCCCCGAGATAGAGTGGGGATTGGGACCGGACGCCAAAATCCGGGGCCAATGATCGACTCCGATGGAATTGCGCCCTATGCATCGCTTCGGTGCAGATCCGCAAGGGTCTCCGGACCCTCTAGGAGCGATTGAGTTCGGATTACTGCGTACTTGGACTCTGGACTTCGGTGTTCAAAAGCCAAATTTCACGAAATGATACTAGGGGTGAATCGCTGGAGCTAGCTTGCTCTTAGACGAAAGTGATGAGCCAGTCACTTACTTAAGTAACAAAGGTTCTTTGCCGAAAGGATATGTCACTGTACTTTGCGACGCCCAAAGTGATCAATGCTCCAATTCCCAAGGCTATACTCTAGACTTGGCTTTGGATAAAGTCTGACGCGATCACCTTCTCAAGTTGGCTACGAGAACATGTATTATCACATGGACACAACAACCGAGATTCATTTCACGCTAGATTCCTACGGTGGTTCGTCGGCCTTCTGTATTCGCCTTCTGGAATTGCTGAATCAGACCCAGCACACCAGCCCCACCAGCAATAGCATCGATGTTGTCGCCCTCATCACCATCTTCACCCTCCCCGGCATGTCCCTCGTCCTGTCCCAACGGGTTCATGCGCCAGGAATCACCGAGGTTGCTCTCACTGGTACCAGCGCCAGCACTGGAGGCTCCAGTACGGGTACCGGACAACCTTGTGGCAGATCCACGACCTTCTTGTGATAGTGGCTCCTCTTCATCGTCAATGATGTCAGACTGATGAGGACGGGCCAGTCGAGAACGTTGATACTGCTGGGGTGTTTTTCGAATGGCAGGGCCAAATCCAGAAACAGAGGGTTGGTGATGTGGATCAAGGAGCATTGAGGGAGCAGGGGAGCGGTGGTCGATGTCTCCCATAGGTCTGAACTTGGAGGCGCCCATCACCGACTGACCGAAGATTCCACCCGAAATTGGGCTTGGGCGTGGGTGGAGAGGATCAGGCCGGTCGGGAAGAGCACCAAAGTCAAGCCCAGAGACCGAGCCGAGAGTAGGTAAGGTTGGTGGTGGCTGGAACGGCCGTCGGGTAGAGGGTTGATGGTTCGCACCGTAATTGTCCAAGAAGCCGTAGTACGAAGCGAGCATCTTGTCGTCCTTAGTTGAGAAGTAATCAGTGCGCAAATCTTGCTTAACTGGACCCTGACGTGTAGGGACCGCCTGGGACAGCACGTTCGAACCCTTCTTGAAGTCGAAGACGGCGAAAGAGCAGAGATAGCCTACGCCGTCAACATGCACTGTGAACTCTCGGAAGAAATCGATAATGCTATCACTGCACTTTGGCAGGCTGAACCACAGAACGAAAGGTGTGAAGATCATACTCAAGATCTCTTCCAAAAAGATCACGATTTTCATTTGATAGAGAATCGCGAACTCTTTCCGCACATCATCGCTGTGCAGACGGCCTTTCCAACCGGAAGGGAAATAATGAGTGAAACCAATCAGCTCGCGCAAGGCGTACTCAGGATCGAAGACGTCGGTCTCTTCGGGAGCCATGCCCCGTGCGAATGCCCATACCGTACCGAAAATCCCGAGGTAGAACAGGACCGTTCTATCCGGAGTAATCTCAAAGCCAAGGAAGAGCTCCGGGTCTATCACCGAAGCGAGAGCAAGCACAGAGGCAAGAGCACCAGAAATGAACGCGACGAATCGTGCCGCTTGCACAGTCTTGTCCTTGGGGAATTGGTCAATATAACGACTGGCAAATGGATAAGACATATTGGTTCGACGTTCAAAGAGATGCCAGAGCTCGTTGAACTCGCGGAATTTCCACTCCGCCATGGGGGTGTATTGACGGGAGCCGATCTGTCCTGGGTTCTTCTTGAACTCGTTGAAGTATCGAAAGAAGTAATGCATTGTGAAATAGACCACAATGAATGGCGCTACGAAAATGTTCATGATGCCAGCGATAGCAAAGCGCCGACGCAAGGCATCACTAAGCGCTCTTCTATGAGTGTCTTTGAGGAACAGTGTTCTCAGTTGGCCTTGCTCGTTAAAGACATAGTCCATGACACACAGGTTGAGATTCCATTCCATGGTGCGGGAGAACAACTGACGGTTCCCAAGAAAGGGTATTGGAAGAGTCAGGTCCAAAATGTCCTTATTTACCAATGCAATCATATAGTTTTCCTTGCGCATCAAGCGGTTGGCGATATCATGGGCGTCCATGCGCTGTTTTGACTGGCTTCCCAGGAATTTCCGATGTTTGGTAGAAACTGCCGCTGCAGTAGATGGATTTGAATCTCTCAGCGCCATCAATCGACTGACAACTTCTTGCCAGGAGATTGTCTGTACTTCTGCATCGGAGACATGAAGTAGGTAGAGATAAAAGTCATGTAGGTGTTTGAGTCTGCGAATATCTAGCACATATTGAAAGAGCTTCACAATCCAGAAAAAGCTAGCGAGCCAGAGTAGGAATGTGGACGAGCCAGACATATTTGCTGTACATTTGGGTACGAGGATGTCATCCAGAGTTTTGCTTCGCCGAACCTTTGAGTAATCAATGCAGTTTGTCAAGAAGGTCGAAAAGCCAACAACGAAGGCGAATGTTCTATACTCGGTTAGCTTTGGTGTTGAGAAATGGTTGGTTCACATACAAGAGATTCAGTACCCTCGTCAGCAGGATACACCAAATACCATTTCCCAGGAAATAGACATAGACGTCCTTCAAGAAGTTATCCAGATCTTCCACATTCGCCCACCGCCACATTGCTTTTTTGGCAGGGTCGATGTTGGCGAGGCCGGGATGTTGACCGGAGAACCACTTTGATATCGGGTGTTCATTATTACTGGGTGGAGATTGACGAGGGTTCTCTCTCCAGTGAGTTCCAGTGTGCTGCGGAGAGGGGTCGGGGCTGGAGGCTCTCTGGCGATTTGGGCGACCATGAGGCCGGGGAGGAGGGGGTAGACGCGATTTCACATCTTCGCGGTGTCCTTCCACCAACAGAGACTGCGGAACGTCGTCATCATTCTCTTCAAGCTCATGGCCTAAAGGATCCTGTGCCATCCATCGAGGTCGGGATGATTTCCGACGGCGTGTGCTCGAAGGCGAAGTCTGCTCGGGGGCCTTGCCCATAGGAGCTTGGTCCAGAAGCGCCCTAGTTGGACTGATTATTTCACTATCCTGCGCATCTGCCAGTGCATCCTCCAGCTCCCGGTCACTGAACTCTTGTTGCTGGTCATCCAAGACCAAGCCCGCCCGTTCTTCGATATCGGAGGAATCCGATCCGGCGTCATGTTGGCGAATGGTTTCGTAGACTGAAGGAGACCCCGTTGGACCCGTCGGAGGTAGAAATCGCGATAGCAAGTTGGAGGACATCATTTTGTATCGGACTGAAGGGCTATAATGGAACTACTCATGCGGCACCGCAAGCCGATGGATGCGTAGTGACGAGCTGCCATTCGGCGGTAGATGAGGATGCTTAGAGATGTACTCAACGCAGCACGCTGGATTGCATTTGTAAAAGTATAGGTATCCCACACCTGGTGGTAGAAATGGTCAGTGTAGAGAAATTATCACCTAGTCCTCGTGATGGGAGTCACCAGAGAGCAATGTCCAGGTGAGCACCTGGAACATGAAGCTATGATGACATAAAATGATGCCTGAGGCAGGAGATAAGATAGAATGTGCGGGGCTGATCAACTTGATTTCTTGGATTCTTGGCTCTTCACTCTTCATGGGTTATTAGTATGAGCCCTGCAGGAGGAGTAGTCTAGTACAGTTGTACATCTATACATATCAAGCCCTAATCTGTACTCCGTAGAGTAGAGTATATGTCTCCACACTGGTATGGCCTGATACACGACTTTAGCCGGGATGACCCTCTCCGTGTTGCACGTAAAGTTTGTACAGTACTATTGCCATTTTGGACTAGGATCTACATTACATTTATGTATTATTTACGGACTACAAACGTTCTATACCAATTCCTCCCATATTCATTCCCAGATACCTACGGGTACCAAAGTAGGCGAAGATCGACATGAATCAGCTTCAGTAAGCTCGAGCTCTTATTGTAGTCGGCAGTTTTGGACACGTTTATAAGTGGGCACAGTCTTGATACGCTCTTCCTTTGCCCCGATTCTAGCCCCGATTGGCGTCCTTTATCTTCGGTAAAGGGCTGAAAGCCAAAAAGCTGGGAATCCCTGCAATGTCTGTATACGTAGATGGAGGTCAGGGAAGTCCGTAATGTCTCTAGGAACTGTAATTCCGGGTCCGGGGATGTCGAGTATATACAGAGAGACTCAAGAAATAAACGAATCCCCAAGAGTCAATTCTAACAATGTAGAAGCATAGAGAAAATAGGAAGGGAAGAGAGAGAAAAAAAAGATGAAGTACGAGTAGACTGTAGAATCTGATTGTGCCGTGCTCATTATTTTCCCCTATACAGTCTTCTCCGTTATCCACTCTCCCCTCCCCCCTCTCTTTGCGACATCATCTTTACCTTTAGTTCTTTCTGGGCTTTTGGTCTTTTTTTTCTTGGATCGGCAGAGAGAGAGAGAAAAAAACTCATCTTTCAAAAGGGACTGATGAAGGTATGTGCGCATCTCCTTCTTCCCCCCCTCTCCTCTCAATGAAACAACCTCTTTGGCTTTCGAATCGCCGTTGACCTGGACAGCGACACCATCGGTACCAACTGGGAGGATTGGAAGCTCACCGCATTCGCTAGGCTCGCCTGCATATCTCTGACAAACGACGGTGACCCGCGCCTGCTTTTAGTCCTGGTTTTCCCATTGCCCCCTCCCGCCGCCTCGACCGAATGTGCGACTCCGATACCCAACCTCTCACCGGACTCCATGTGGTCTTATAACATTATCCTGGCCAACAGCGACCTCCAATTGTACAAGCGCAGCTGTGCAGCATACGTCGGGTGCCGACCAACAACGTCTTCTCACCGGTGGTTCTGAGGGAGGTTGCGTCGGGCGCAGGACATCCTTTTCTCCCTTCCTTCTATTGACTGCGTACATTCTTTTGTGTGCGGTCTGCCTCGCAAAGGATTTCCCTTCTATTTTTTGACCGAAATGGAGCCTGAGAACCCGAACGCCTTTAAGCGGAGCTCAATGCACCAAGCGCTCTACAGCCGCCCAGTGGAACGTCGTTCAAGCAAGAAGTCTTCATCAAGAGATCGGCATGGGATGGTCTATCCTGACAATTTCCGAGAAACCACCATTCGAACCGTGACGCCAGAGTCCGCCAACCACTCCCCTTTGTCTGAGCCCGAGCAACTTGCGGGCGGCACTGCATCTTCGCCTCATAGTATCGCGCGATCACGAACCACCGAACCCGAACGTATCCGAAGTCTCAACAAGCACTCGGGAGGAGCCGAGGAAGATACCCCAGTGGAAGGCAGGAGCCAACGGGCGCGATCGCGAACAACGACAGCCGAGGAGCAACGAAACGAGACTAATACCTTCAAATCCCGAACGCGCATCGGATCGATCAATACGGCCAGTCCGTCGCAGTCTAAGGTTCCCGAAGACCCTTCTTCTTCGATTGGTTTCCCATCGATCCAAAAGTACGCTAGCCACACAGTCCCTCGCAATCGACTCAGCAAGGCTGCGGCCGGTCTCGTCGGAGGAGCAATCAACCAAGATTCATTCGCGTCACCACTTTCAAGCACAGAAGCCACTAAGATTCTCCAATTGATGAAGACGACCTGTGGCAGGATGCATGGAATTCTTTCATTTCGGTCCGCCCCGACCACTTCCTGGACGTCTGGGTACTGCGCTATCAATGTCGCGACTGGAAGTCTCATCTACCAAGCCAAGGGAGAGCCAGCGCTGGCTAAGACTTTGATACCTGACCTACGTGGTTGTCGAGTTCGAACAATGTTCGATCCCGACCTCCAGACAACTTATCTGAGCGTTCACACCTTCACCTCCGGGCTCGGAATTCAATTACGGCCCCACGTCAATGAGACATTTGATTCCTGGCTTGCGGCTCTTCTGTGTTGGCAGCCCATTCGACCAAAAGGCGTTCAAAACAAGATGACCAAACCCCAGGAAGTTGTGATGGGAGATCGACGAATCCCAGATCGGCGGCGGAACTCTGAGAGCTCGGCACAAAAAGATGCAACGATTATCAAAGTTGGCAAGATGCTTTTGTGGGATAAGCCATCAGCTTCCGGCGCAATGCCGGTGTCTGGACGCCGCGTCTCGACATACAAACAGTCTAGGGCTCTTTCTTCGTCCTGGCAGAAAGTGAGCTGCACGCTACAAGAAAACGGACATTTCAAGCTTTACACGGAATCCGATGTATCGCTTATTGCCACTGTGCATTTGTCCCAATTGTCTCGTTGCGCGATCCAACAACTGGACTCTTCTGTGTTGGATGACGAGTTTTGCGTTGCCATCTATCCCCAATACGCGGCACACCCTGTAGCTGAATCAAACCTGCGCCCCATTTATCTTGCTCTCGAGAGCCGCGTTCTTTTCGAGGTATGGTTCGTGCTACTGCGGGCTTTCACCATCCCTGAGCTCTATGGCCCTGCATCTCATCTCCGTGAAGACCCCAATAAAACACCGGAAGCCGAAGTACCTGGAACGCCGTCAACCAAAGATATGTTCCGAATTGAGCGGTTTTTGAATCTGAAAATTGTGGAGGCAAAACTCTTCCGCGCCAAAGAGGAGAGTACGCCGCGAAGCCGCAAAGCATCAAGATCACATGGACAACCTAGCCCATCCCCTAAGCTAAGTGACTATTACACAGAGGTGCTTCTTGATGGAGAAATTCGCGGCAAGACTGCCGTCAAGTACCGCACCATGAATCCTTTCTGGCGAGAGGACTTTGTTTTCAACGACCTACCACCAGTTCTTTCACAGGCTTCTATTCTCATCAAAACCCTCAATCCTACACAAAAAGACTGGACGCTCATTTCTCACGGAACATACGCCCCAAATCAGGATATGAATGCAGTGAACATGTTAAACGAGATTGAGATCTCTACAAATGACGCCATTTCCGGACGGGTGGACTTGCGACTCGAAGAACTGGACACTGGCGTGGATACCGAAAAATGGTGGCCTATTCTGGATGATCAAGATCAGCCGATCGGCGAGATGTTCATGCGTGCCAGAATGGAGGAAACTGTTGTCTTGATGTCCGACGAATACTCAGCGATGTCGGAGTTACTCCATAATTTCACCAATGGACTGACCATCAATATGGCCCAGTTGATGTCATCGGAGCTCAATCATCTCGCTGAAATGCTGCTCAACATCTATCAGGTGTCGGGCTCAACGGTTGAGTGGATATCAGCGTTGGTTGAAGATGAAATCGATGGCGTTCACAAAGAGTCTACTACCAACCGACTGAGATACACCACAAGGATCCATTCCAATAACACACAGGAAACCAGTCAAGAACGCGAAGTCCTCGTCAGAGACATGGGGAGAACGGCTACCGTGGAGGCTAACCTTCTGTTTCGTGGAAACTCGCTCCTAACCAAGGCCCTCGATCTTCACATGCGTCGCCTGGGCAAGCAATATCTAGAAGATACCATCGCAGAGAAATTACGAGACATTGACGACAGCGATCCGGAGTGCGAAGTCGACCCATCTCGTGTGCCACGCCACGAGGATCTTGAGCGCAACTGGCGGAACCTCACAGCCCTCACAACCAGCGTCTGGAAATCAATCGCGGGATCTGCATCGCGCTGCCCTCCAGAGCTGCGTCGCATTTTCCGACACGTGAGAGCATGCGCGGATGACCGTTACGGCGATTTCCTCCGATCTGTGACCTACAGTAGTGTTTCTGGCTTCTTGTTTCTGCGCTTCTTCTGTCCCGCCATTCTGAACCCCAAGCTTTTTGGCCTATTGAAAGGTAGGGAACCTTCGTCGCATACAATCTCAATTCCACTTGCTAACCACACTTAGATCACCCTCGTCCTCGGGCACAGCGCACATTGACCCTGATTGCCAAAGCTTTGCAGGGGCTGGCTAACATGACAACATTCGGTAACAAGGAGCCCTGGATGGAGCCGATGAACAAATTCCTGGTCGGCCATCGCTCGGAGTTCAAGGACTTCGTCGACTCAGTTTGCGCAATCCCAGCCGATCGACCAGCTCCCATCGTCACACCCTCATACACCACCCCTATCCAGATCCTCGGACGATTGCCGCCTACTTCGCGCGAGGGATTCCCCAGTCTTCCATTCATTATTGATCATGCCCGTTCTTTCGCAAATCTGATTCGTGTGTGGCTGGATGTAAGCCCGGACCGATTCAACGAATTGAGCGAAGTGGACATCAACCTTTCGAAATTCCACAAAGAAGCCCTGCACCTCCGGGCACGAACGCAGGAGTGTCTTACCCGCGCTGAGCAAGCCGAGCGTCCCAGTGGCACCCTGGAAATCAAATGGGAAGAATTGGTAGACCAGATGGAGCGAGCGGTGACTTTTCACGACGAACCCCCAAGCAAGCCAAGCACACCAGCACCGACAGACCCATCAATAGCTGGCTCTGCACCAACTCCAAACAGTCATCGTAATTCGATTGGATTCTTCGCCCCCCGTCCTGCAATCCCCCGGCGCTCCACCGACAATGCCCCTGACGCCGAGGACGATACACCACCAAGCTCATCATCGGCTACGTGGGACCAGAGCCGTATCCCATTCGCCATTCCTCGCTGGTCCGACCCGCGTGACAGCACCGGGAGCTCAAAGAACTCGTCAACTTACTCGCTGGAGTACTCTGAGTCTTCTAAAACACGCAGAGCCAGCGTGAGCAAAGAATCATCGAGCAAGTATCGCTTCTTTGACTTCGTGCCTGCTCCGTCCCGACGCAAAGCCAAGGACCGTGATCAATCTCACAACCACTCGCACGAGGATTTACGCAACGAATCTTGATACACGAATTTCCATGCAACCTCCATCATCACACATGTTTGACTACTTTTTCCCTGCTGTCTCTTCCACTTCCACTCCTCTTTTCATGTCCTCATGATTCCGACGTTCCCCTTCTCTCCTTTTCATCTTTCGTCACCACCACCCGTTCAATCTCTCCTCCTCGCTCCCTGGCTATCTGAATGATGTTCGTCTATGTTCCCCCAATAAGCATGTGTCACGGTGTTGATACCCATTCCCTCTTTCCATTGTGTGTTTCATGGTCCCGCCCTTATACACCTCCCTCGATCTGGCTTTGTATAAGACAAGAGAGCCAAAAAGTATCTGAATTTTTTTGGGTAGGAAAAAAGAACACGAGCTGGATCTTGAAATCTGGCCGAGGCATTCGTGATATCTTTTTCGTCTTGGTAGGCCCTTGTGAAGCACCATCTGGGCCTTTTGTTTCATCGTGCCTGTGGATCTCCCTCGGAGAAGGTGGCCATCGTGTAAATACCATTTACTTTTACGCTCTTCCAATAGATGGAATGGATTGGTGTTCTCGATTTTTAGATGCCAATACACAAGTGCATTACCTTGAAAACAATTCTTACGACGCAGAAACTCTATGTAGCAAGCGTCCATCAAATTTTAGAACATCTCCCACTTGGGCGAATTAGCCCTAAAGTGCAAATGGCATTTTCTTGAATAGCTTCATGAAATCTACAGACAACACCAATCTTTCAGGCTAAACCCGGAACGCATGAAAGAAACAGCCACATAGAAATCACATTGCATGACGAATAGAGACCTTTGATAAAAGCAATTGGCGAGTATCCGACACTTATTGCCAGAGACAGAGTTTGCCGCTGGCAGTGCCTCCAGCAACCCAGTTCTTACTGCGATGGAAGACTGCAACAGCAGGAACAGCAGTGATCCCATCACCACCAAGCTGGGCGAGCTGATCACCGCTCCCGCTATACACATCGACAAAACGGTTCATGTTGCCGATGCAGAAGCGCTGAATAGGTGATTGCGGGTTGAGCTGCCATTGTGGACGAAGACTGAAAAACAAAATTAGCATAATGAGTCTTAAAAAAGCAGAGGGAGAGGGCAGAAGTACATAGTAACCCAACGACCAGTCTGACAGTTATGGCGCACGACGTCAGAGGGGGTAAAGTCGGACAGAGTATGCCCTGCCTTCCAGGAAGACATGCCCTTAGCACCGACATTGTAGATCTTTAAAGTATCATCATAAGAAGACGTGGCGATCTGGCCGGCAGCATTGAAAGCAGCGTGTGAGACAGAAAGTCTACTCTCGTGCTCGGCAACGGGAACAGGCTCTTCCTGAGACAGCTTGCGTATATCCCACAGTCTCATGAACCTGTCAAGGCTTGCCGTCGCAAAGTAATGAGGCGTTGAGGGGCATAAACTAAACCCACCAATCTTCTTCTCAGATAACTGCCATTGCGAAACGTTTGCTTCTTCCATCGGGGTGCGCATGTCGTATTTCCCGAATTCACCAGATAGAGTAGACCAGTAAAGAACGTTAGGGTCATCTGGGGCCATGTCCACCCCGGAAATCGCCTCGTCGACGTTAGTCGATTGAGGGGCATATGCCTCAGATGACACCATCTTCTCAAGATCGAGCGAACGAATTGAGCTGTCATAACTTGCCGTATACAGATGGGTGGGCTTGGAGGGATTCACCGTCATAGCACTGATTGTCCGTGTATGGGGCTTCAGTGTGGTCAGGACGGGGTCGGGGTCCTCCGCATCCTCGTCATCGTCCTCAACTTTGAGCTTTTCCTGCGAAGCGTCTAGCATTCCAAGATGACCCATTTTGTCACCGGCAAATACAATCGGTTTTGTTTCCGAGGGGTGGAACGTCATGGCGTAAACACGCTCGGGTGTGATTTTGATCCCTGCAAAGATCATTGAGCGTCAGATTGCGCGTTTCATAGGCTTGGGCTGTCAATTACATACGCTGAGGATCCCATGCTTCCCACAGAGACAACCCACTCATCTCTTCACGGATGGCCTTCAAGTCCTTGTCGGAGGTTTGATCGATATCATCATCACCGAACGTTCTCTGATAGGGCTGTGCGACGCCTTTCGTAATCACGTCCACCCCGATGAGGCTATCGTTGCTGAGCTTCTGGCCCGCGACAAACATATCGGCCTGAGTGTAAGAGTCGTTGCGTCGCATGCGCTTGAGGCGATCAGCCTCGCGCATGGCGTCGAACTCATCATCGGCCTTGCGCTTTGCGACTTCGCTCTCGGCTGCAATTCCTTTGAGTCGCGACGACGTCCGACGTGGTGTATTGACCTCCTGTTTCGGCGTTACTGTCTTGGGCGTCGCTCGCTTTTTAGACTTGGATGCGCTACTTGTCGTAGCTTTCGGTGTCAGAATGCCTGCGGATGACTCAATCTTTAACTGTTTCAAGAGAGCATCACGCTCAGCAATGTTTGCCAATCGCTGTTGTTCAAAATCTGAAAGATCGGCTTTGGGCATATTGTCCTCTGGCTGTGAATCACAGTCTGCCTGACCCGGAGGCGTGCACGGCTCACGCGTGCCGTTGCGCGAAGTCAGGTGACTCATTTTGCGGCGAAAAAAAGACCTCCGCCTCGGCGTCTGTGCTCGCGCAACGTCAATTCCTCGAACACTGTCAGTTCCAAAGCAGGAGAGCTGCTGAAATCTTCTGGTTAGGGTGGTTAGGGTTCGAAAGCTCTCGAGAAGCGCAAGTTTGAAGAATTGGAGACAGCGTTATGGCGACAAACATCACTCGATCATGCTTCGTTTTAGCAACCAAGAACACCACCACTCCGTTCTTGTATCACACTCGAACTCTCAGATCCTTCTCGTCCTCTTGCAAGAACCATACGATTTCTCGATACTCGCGCTCTTTCTCGACACAAAACAGCTCCAATGAAGATGATACGGGTGTGATCCAGCCATCAATTGAGAGTCAGATAAATCCCGAGGATTCAGTTCACCCGAGCACCACAATTGAGGAGGCCCCAAAGCCGCGGAGAAGCTTCCTGCAAAAACGAGCAGCATCGGTGTCGGCTAAGAGGTCTGTGGACCCGAAGCCAATTGCGCCGACAAAACCAACCAAGAAGATCGCACCGAAGATCACTCCCTATGAAAAACAAGTGTTTGGAGGACTGTTGGAAAAAATCGGGGTCAAGCATGATGGGGTCAGTGCCGAGATGGACACAAAGTCAAAGCCGTTGAGTCCAGAGAAACAGGCCGAAATGACGGAACTCATGGCTATGTTTGGCGACTTGCTACAAGACCCCCAAAAGAAAAGAGCCGCCAAGAAAGCTATGAAGAAGCAACAGTATGAGATAAGAGTTGCGAAAAGGAAGGCGGCTGAAAAGGCTGAGAAGGCTGAAAGGGCAAAGGGAGAGACCCCAGCGGCACCCTCAGGCCCAAGGCGAATCAAGCTCAGCGAGCTGGGCTATTCTGAGCCGGCCTCATCTACCGCTGATGAAGTCACAATCAGCGTGCAAAGTGCCGTCCAAATGGTGGTCGAGAGAGAATCAGAGCACATTGAATTCGCACTGTTCCAAGCCGTCGAGCAAGGCAAGGGCGACATGGGCGTTTGGGAAGTATGCAAAGAGCGTGTCTTTTCAATGCTACTTCACCTCGATGATGAGACCTTCGCACAAGCCTCAAACGTGAACCTCGACACGATGGAGGAGCCCCAAACGTCAACACCTCGCCCGTCCGGGCCTCTCCGGATCCCACCAGTGGTCCCGACTGCCCCTGTCCTGGCTGCCCTCTATCCAAAGATCCTCCTCATTGCTTTCCGTCTGCTGAATACCCACTTCCCCCGCTCGCCACTTATCAGTCAGTTCCACTCCACCATTAAAGAGCATGGCCGTCTCTCTGCGCTTCTCGGTGCCTCATCTGGCTTGTACGATGAATTGATCACGTATCAATGGCGGGTTTGCCGGGACCTCCCAGCAGTGATTGGGATCCTGCGCGAGATGGACCAACTTGGAGTTAACCCTAGTAACAAATCCCGAGGTCTTCTTACCAGTGTCATCATCCGACAAGGCCGAGACTTGAAAGCATATGAGGAGTCCTCTGATGGACAGGAGTTTTTCTGGAACTTCCCGTCTAACAGAGATGCATTCGATGAACTTACTCGTAAGGATGGGTGGATGGATAAGATCATAGCGGCTTCGAATCAAGAGAAGTGGCAGCTTCAGACAGATCGGAGCTTCCAACGTTAATTTTCGTGATTCTCTTCAGGTGCACGTATAATAATCTCCACTTAATGGTCATATGAGCGAAATCAAATTTGATTTATCATGTAGATTCTTCATTGGGCTATCTAATACAAGACCAGGATTTTCCTATTTACACGCAGGTGTTGCAACAAAACACAGAATCCCGCCGAATGCAAAGGCATAGGCTTCGCGCCTAAAGCCCACCATGAATACCCCAGAACTTTTCCGCGCCAAACGTATAGCTATTGTCGTCTTTCCACAAATCATCAAAAGCAGTAAAAAGCACCAGATCCTCACGACGGTGATCGAAGCTCTTCCTCAAGCTATCGAGTGCGGTTTGCTGATTACGCGGTGATGGAATGGCGACACCGTTCGCGTCTCCGGCATGAGGCCACCCAGACTCCGTGATCATGGTGTGCTTCCCATTAGCTGCGGCGGAGATGCTTCGCGCCTGTTCAAGGGCATAGGCACCCGCGCCACCGGGGTGTTGATTCGCATCAAAGAACGCATGGCAGTTTGCAGCACAGTAGTCAGATGCAGTACATAGTTCAGGGTGGTCCAGGAGGACAGAGAAAGTATCGACAGTGACGACTGGGCCCTTGTAACCCTGTCCGCGGAGAATAGAGCGTGCTTGTTTCACGGCACTGACAACCTCGCCAGGCTCGTTCGTGCCGCCGTTGACAAGCTCGTTTCCGATGGCTATAGTGTGGAAAATCGACCAGTCAGTCTTGCCATCGGGACCTTTAGCGACGTCACTTATGGCACTGAGGCTTCCTGGGAATCCGGTGAGGTCATAGACGCCAGCGAAGACACGCATGTTGTGGCGTCGTGCAGCGTTGGCTACTGTCTTGGTCTGATCACAATCTATGCCGTAAATTCGAATGAATGAGTATTCGGAAAGTCTGTCTAGGTCATGATTCACTTCTTCTTGGTTCTTGCAGGAACGGTCTGCTTTGTAAGGAGAGTAGGAAATTCCGAATTGGCCATGATGTTGATGGCCATGGGGATGAGGGTGTGGATGAGGGTGTGGATGAGGCACTGGTGGTTTGGGATGGGGGTGGGGTTGTGCTTGTGGTGGCGGTGGTGGTGGTGGAGGAGGAGGGGGAGGGGGAGGGGGAGGAGGTTGTGGATATGGTGGTCCTCCCAGGGGTATACCATCAACCGTCACAGGATCGTAGTTCCGGTTTTCCTGTCTCTCAGTCGTCGTAGTCGATGCTACACGAGCGCCATCCTCGTCTGGGCCCGACGTTGAGGGCTCTCGTGAGAAAGATGGAGCGTCAGGCTTTTAGATGGTGCATCAGTGACAATTTTTCTGCATGACAGTGCAGTTTTACTAACATTTTCCTGCGATGTAGGTGCAACAGGTGGTTGGCTCTGGTTCGACACGTTCGGGTCAATTGGGTCACCATTCTCATTAACCCAGACCACCACTTCTCTGGCGGATGGTTGTTGGACAATGTCCCCTTGACATTGGGTCTCTGGCATAACAGTCAGTATAGTGTTCAGTTCAGCTCACAAGGGCCAAATGGTTGGTATAGTGCTCATCTCACCTGAAGCTTTGACGCATGCACCAGATGCAAGTAGCAATCCCACGAATGTCTGGGCGAGTGTCTTCATGTTTTGATCAAGCCCTCCCTGAAGGTCGTCACTGCTTATCCCGCGAAAGAGATGCCCCGAAGTTAATTGGCGTTGATCACAACACTTTCATCCCTGTGCGAAGTAGTGAAGTTGAGTTGTTTGGCGGCACACTGCCGATCAGCCCCATTATATCCACGGTGCTGCATATCACTTGTAGCTTCGTGGACTCTAGGAGTGGAGCATGTAAAGGCAAGGGACGCCCAAACACAACGCCTCAATCTGGGGTGAACATGTGGAATGAGATCCGAGGCGTGCCAATTTGGGGCCAGCCCCTTGGTCTGGGAAAGGCCCCCTTGAATCGTGGGGTGTCTGCCAGAGGAAATAGATATCTGCTCCGCAGTATGAGTAGCATGAATCGTGGAGTTGGGGCTAGACCGGGAATGTCACTAGTGGAAAGGGGACCCAGAATGCGGGCTCATTCTCTGCTGTCGCCCAGGGACACAGGGAACTCGTTTGAATGTGAGTTGGAATGCCCTGTGAACCAAATGTTAGAAGTTTCATGGAATATTCTGCGTAGATGCTAATAGGGGTGAAGGGGTCTAGGTTTGCAATCCTGACCCTACCTGACACACTGAACAACGGCAACCTCACCCAAAGGGATATTTTATGAGCTGGATCCCAATCGGGGACTTCCTTGACTGGTTGGATAACATATGAAGTAAAGATATCCTTGAAGCAAAGACTCAAGGGTAAAATAATAAGTATTAAACATCGTAGAACTATGCACTAGGGAGGATGAGACCGCCAAAAAAGAGAAAAGGACGGTCCTGTACAGGGCATGCAATAAGAATGTACATCCACAAGGTTAACAATACACGGATTGAAGGGGCATTAGGGCGTAGATCGACTGAGGATGAGATCGATAGATGTCGAGGTCATAGGGCGTAAGTAGGCATCGGATGTCCGGTCGAATTCAGAGGTTGAGACGAATAGAAACTCCAAATTTTACTTCCTCTTGCTCATCACCTTAGTGATGGCATGGCGAATAATTGTGCCCGCTTTTTCGATTTCTTTCTTGGTAAGGCCGGTTGTGACACACACCTTCAAGGCAGGGAACAGAACCTGCTTGGGCTCGAAGTTGTCCTCGAGGGTCTTCAATCGTGTGATAAGAACACCATTGGCGAGGCACTGACAAATCGTTAGAGGTCTGACATTAGATATCAACTTCACGGGACATACCTCATCAACGACATCCTGGAGCAAGAACTGCTGATCAGTTGGTGTTAGCCGTTTAGCTACAACAACCTCTGGCTTAATGGCGAGAATCTGAATAGGGTTCTCCGGGGCATTGGTGCAGTAAACCCAGTCGCTTCGGGGATCTAGTTGAGCCCGCATAGCCTTGGTGTGTTCGCGGAGCTGGGACACAGTCTCGGGGCTATCCTGGAGAATTTTGATCGTTGCGCTAGCAGTAGTTGAAAGTAAAGCAGGGAGCGCGGCAGAGAAGGTATAGGCAGCAGCCGAGATACGTTGATGGTGAACGATCTCCTCTGAGCCAGCACAGAAACCACCACCAGCAACAAGTGGGCCAGCCAGTGATCCCACAATCATATCAACTTCGGCTGCGTCGACATTCTGGTGCTCTGTAATGCCACGACCAGTGCGACCAAGAACACCAAAGGACCATGTCTCATCCAGGATCAGACGGAACTTGTACTTCAGTCTCAACTCGACCTGTAGGAATTGTTAGTGTGGCGATGTTTTCAGACGTACTCCGGCTACATACGATCTTGGGTAGGTCTGCCATGTCACCGTAAGTCTCGAACAAACCCTCGGTGATGATGAATCTGCGGGTCAAGGGCTTGCGAGCTTGCTCCTTGGTGACCTTTGCAAGGACTCTTTCCAAATCTTCCATATCGTTGTGCTCATACCAGCGGACTATGCTTCGCGAAATCTGAATTCCCTTGCGAATGGCGAAACTAACCCCCTTGTCCGCAACAATGATGTCGCCACGCTTCGAGAAAGCGGGAATGACACTGGAGATCGTCGAAAATGCCTGAGAATAGATGATACAGGCTGTGGTCCCTAAGAAAGCCGAGACGTCATCTTCGGTTTTCATGTGGACATCCTGACTGCCGTAGAAACCTCGGGGACCACAAGGTCCAACACCATACGTGCGGAGTGTCTGGATGGCCTGTTCCTTGAGCGATTCGTTTGTGTTGAAATTGTAGAAATTGAAGGATCCGAGGTTCATGACGGTTCGGCCATTGGCGAGTTTCGATTTTGGGCCAACGGGGCTGCAGGGGCGAAGCTCATGCGTCAGTAACAAGTCCGCGGAGGTCATGGGGGAGAAAATGGTCTGGGGAGGGACATTACCCAACGATCACTGTGCGCTTGTCGACTTCCATCTCTTCTAGGTCGGTGGGTTTCCCGACGAGAGGCTCAGGGGTCCACTCGTCTACCAAATCATCAATCTCATCTTCTGTGAGTGGTACAACACCAGGCTTGGTCGAATATTTCGGGGCCAGTAGATATCGCACGGCGAAGAGGAACAGAAAGAGCTCGACGGCGGATCGAATAGGGTCATCCTGGTAGCTGGATTTCACATAGCGGAGGAAAATTGCTGATCCAGGCACGCGGTGGAATAGGTCGGCAAGTTCATGCAGGTATACGGAAAGGAGACGTTGGGTCTCCTGGAGATCCATGGCGGCGGACTAGGGGGCACTCGCGGGAAGAAGCGCGGGGTCAGATGAGTGCCAGGAACAAAGAAGGTCGAGAATTGAGAGGTCAAGTCGTTTCAGCGTCATCCAAAAACTTACGGGTGGTGAAACGGGGGATTCGGGGTCCTGGGTCCTCCGTTGCACGTGACCGTCCATCAACCGTGCGCTGTGGGAAGTCAGCGATCGGGGTATTAGCTACCCTCATTATGCTACGCTGGTACTTGCTGTCTACTAGGGATACGTTTTCACAAAAGCAATGCAATTTAATTCCGATTGAAGTGTAAATAAAACAAGCAAAGAAAGCTGGAAACGAAGGTAAACCCCCGGGATGACGAGGCCCTTCATACAAGCGTCATTCGACAAGAGATATTGGAAGCAGCCATTCATTAAGTTCAACGTGTACGCCGATGGGTTCAGAAAAATGCAGCGAATTTTAAGAAACGCGAGTTTGTACAAACCATTCCAATGTCATATCGCAAACGCCTCAAATGGCCCACTTGTTGGTACCAGCGGCGGGGGTTGGAGCGGCAGCAGATGAGTAGCCTCCGGGGAGGCCGGAGCCAGTGTACCAGTCGACAGTGTCATTGAGATTGTGGTCAAGCGGTTGAAGGAGGCCGATGGCCGTAGTGTCCTTCACACCGATGGCGTCCCAGAGGGAGTTCTTCAAGAAGCTGTCCAGCACAGCAGTGTTGCGGAGAACAACGGGAGCAGCTATGATGACCACAAAGATGACAAGGATAGTGAAGTACAGAATGGCGAAGCGGACAACACGTCTCTTGCGCAGCTTGGACTGCTTGAGTGAGTAGATAGGAGGACGGATTTGCCGGCTAGAGAGATAGTTAGTTTCAAATGACCTAAAAACATGGAGCGGGGATTACTAACCTTGGGCGCAGCCAGAAGAGGATCACCGAGTGGAACTTGTCGACGTAGGGAATGGCCAGTGCAGGGAGCATGGCGAACAGGAGGATGTGTCCCAGGAAGAAGTCGGTTGCGAAGTAGCCAAGCTCGGTGATCTTACACAAGAACTCACGGCCGGGCTGAGACAGCGAGTGCCATCCCATGTTATACCATTTTCCAGTCCACCAGGCAATGTTAGACTGGTCGTTCTTGAACTCACGAGTCAACGCGAGGGAAATGATCAACTTGTAGATGAAGCGCTGGAGAGCCATAGCCGCAATCATACCAGAGATTGTTCGAGGCCAGTTGAGAGATTCAAGAACGAACATTGCGAGGAAGAAGATGAGGAATGCAATGACGGCAATGGCGTGTGCAATGGCGGCGAGCACAGCACCGAATTTCTTGCAGCACATGCCGAAGAGGGGGCCCATACAGCAAGCCATACCGAAGAACATACCAGCGACACCAGCGTTGATGCCAACGGGGGCGAACGCAACGATCGCAACACGAGCAATGGGGTTAGCGGCCCATGCGTTGTCATCGGAGAACATGGTGCGAGAGTTGATGTAGAGGTAAGGGATCAGGGTGGCACCGACACCAAGCAGGGGCGAGATGATTTCGCTGAAGAAGATGTTGGTGATGCGAGCTCTTGGGATATCGCCTGAACCCTTCTCGGACGGAACACCAAGGAGTTTGCGCTTGTAACCAGTCAGACGAGTACGCGAGAGACGACAGAAGCCAATCCAGGAAGAAGCGTGGGAACGAGAGTTACCACGCGACAACCAGCGGATGTAGTCACGATAGTCAATGAAGAAGTCGTTCCACGCAAATTGGTGGGGGTTGAACAAGAAGGGCGAGATGCAGAGGGCGAGAAGGGAGACCCAGAACCAGATCAGAGCGGGTGTCCAGACGGTTGTAGTGGAGAACAACAGCATGAGGAGCAGACGAGCACCCAGATAGATCGAAGGACTAGCAAAACGGGAGTACAGCACACCAAAGGGAATACGGGCAGTGGCAAAGCCACGTCCAGTACCGATGTAACGGGCACCTCCGAAAGACAAGTTGGCATGCACGGCGTTGGCGTAGATCTGACAAACGAACACCTCGAACATGAAGGACAACGAACCAAAGTGCTTAGCCAAACGGGTAGCCATGCGCCAAACACCACGCTCGGTCAATTCCTGGACTGCCAAGGGCACCCAAGAGATGAAGAAAACGATGAAAATGGAGATAACGCAACGGTTGACCCAGTCGAGAATGGGAGTCAAGTTGGCACAGAGGGTAGGCACAAGGGGATCAGTGATGGGCAGGTCGGAGTTGTACTTGCAGATGATGGTCTCATGCTTCAGTGCACCCAGGTTGATCAACACGATCATGAACATTTGGACTGAAAGCATAATGAACATGTTGTTGAGATGGAAACCAGGGTGAGCGTAGTAGAAGGAGAGGAAACGGTCAAGAGGCAGCTGGGTTCCGAGGTAGTAGTACTCGCGAGACAACATCTGTTCACCCATACCAGTACCAATCTTGGTGGTGAAGTTCAGAATAGAGCCGAAACCCAGATCACGACCCTTACCACACTGGAAGTACTCGCAGTGCTTGATGCGACCACCACGCAAGAGAGCGTTCATACCGGCGTAAATATCTTCGTTCAGATGCAATCCCTTTTGAGCCTTGGAGACACCTCCACGAGTACACATGAAAGTGGCGTTGAGGAAATCGGGGTGACCGTAGTGCAGCTTACCACCGACTTGGGAAAGCGTACGTGCGAAGAGAGTACCGAATGTCTGTTCCTTGGAGGCAGCAACATCACCGAGGACACCGACGTTCTCGGAGAAAATGTATTCACGAGCACCGAGAATGGCGACGGGGGTCTCGGCGGGGGAAGCGACACCGGGTGTGTAAGGGGAAACGTTGTCAGTGGTGAGTTCCTCGAATTCGGCGAGGACGCTGCGAATCTTCAGACATTCTTCCAGGTAGTTATCCTGGTTAGCATCGATAAGCTGGATGTATTCACCGCGGTAGAAGATGATGGAGTGGTTCTGGTTGTCGGACTTTCCGTCTCCGAGAATGGGGTTGCCGGAGAGCTGGATTCGGAACTTGGGCTTGCGCATGTTGTTCTCGAGAAGTTCACAATGACCATCAATCAACGCCGAGTAGAGACGGGGCTCCTCGCCCTCGTTCACAGGGGGCTCTTCGTCGAGGTAGGCGATTTGCAGATCCGGGTAGGCACGGAGCAAGAACTCAGTGTTCTCACGCTCATCCTTGTTGAACTTGGCGTAACGCTGCATGGAAACACAGATGCGGAACTTGCGACGGGCCATGCGCTCGAGCTCACGCTCGAGCTTCTCGGAGTTACCACCAAACATTTGGACAACCTCTGGGTTTTCCACACGGTAAAGGAGCTTGATAGCACGGCTGTAGTTCATGAAACCAGAAACAGTGCGGTACAAGGTCTGTGATCGGAGTGATGCCCAAATTCGGGTGCGAAGGGTGTACTCGGGGGCGGCAGACTTGAAACCAATGCAGTAGAATGGAAGATCATCAATCTTGCTCTTGGCGACATCCTTTTCGGGCTTCTCGTAATCACCGTTGAACTGCGATGTCTCATCTGCGAGGATTTTGGTGTCCTTGACGAAGCAGTCCCACTCGTGGGGGTGAAGCTGCTTGAGGTATTCCAGTAGAGTGACACGAGAGTACGGTTCATCCTCGCGAATGATCTCACGCAGAGAGAGAAGGATCTTCTCGCTGTAGTGAGGGATCAGGACGGTGAATGTGGGCATGTTGTCGACGGGTAGAGGTTCCGGCATGGGGGTGGAGAGGGATTGCGCGAAGAAGGAGATACGGCGTTCAGCTTCACTGCCCTGAGGGAAGAACTCAGTCTTGAATGACTGATCTTCCTGCGACACAAAGAAGGTGGGGGCGCGAAGAGTGCGCTTGCCTTCCTGCTCAGAGGGAACCTGGTGGTATAGCAGCTTCTGGACGTGATCGATGGCCAGCAGGTGCTCGCGGTACATCGAGATAATGATCGCGTTCCACACTTGAGAGATAAGGACCTTGGGCTTGTACTTGATCTCCATGTCGGTAGTAGCGAGAACCTTGGAGTAGATACGCTTCGGCAGGCGGGAGAAAATGTTTCTCCAGGGTGACCAAATTGACACACCGAGGTAGAATGATCTTGCGACCGAGAAGATCGTGTTGCAAATGATGTACCACAGGTAACTATCCAAGAAGAAGAGCGTCAAATCCATGAAGGCCATGAGACCCAATAGGATCTGAGGCTGTCGGTGGCAGACCTGATTGCCAATGTACTTCGCACCAGTGCACTGGTGAATCTGCATTGGCGAGAGAATGCGAATGGGATCCTTGAACGACAGAGTCAAGAAGAAGTAAGACTCAGCGAGCTTTGCACCAAAGACACAGACCCAGAGACCGTAAGACATCCACATATCATTGCCCGCGAGACGAGGGAAACTGGCAGTGAAAGTCTGACTGGCGACGTACTTGCGTCCATTCTTCTTCATGTAGTTTCCGAAGAGGGCACCCAGTGGCTGAACTGCGAAGAAGACAGCCGTGAGGACCGCAAGGACGAAGTGCACAATACCAAGAGCAAGACCAATGCCATGTTCCGTTTTGGTCGACATTTTGAGGCTAGGCAAAATGCTGAAGATAACGATACCGGGTGCTAAGTTGATGATGAAGACGCCAATGAGGAACATAAAGCGCTTGCGCAAATGCTGAGCACCGGCCCAACCTCGAGGAACATACACCCATTCGAAAATGGTGGCCATGATTTGGATGAACGAAACGAGAGCACCACCGAAACCGACAGCAGCCAGGAACTTGGGACTATCCGGCTTGTTGTTGAGCTGTTGTTGGTAGTTGATGGTGTAGAGAGTGGGAGCGTTGTAAGCAGTGAAGAACCAGAATGAGCCAAGATGAATGACCCAAATACGGTTGAAGTTTGTGATCATATGGAACCACGAGCGAGTTTCCTTGTATGTCTTGAAGAAAGCCTTCTTCCAGACGACATCCTTCAGTTTGGGCCATCTCTCGCCGATTGGAACATCAACCAAGCGAGTCTTGTCCTCAAAGCTGATACGCTCAATACCCTCGGGGTACCAGAACAGCTGGTTCATATCATCGTAGCCAATGATTTCATTGTGGTCGTGCTCACGACGCACGTACTTGCCGTCCATGATCTCGTATCCCTGGTCACGGCAGTACTGGTAGAGAGGAGTGACAATCTCGTTCAAGTAGGTGAATTCCTCAACTGGTTCAACTCGTGCTTGACACTCAGGGGAAGTGTAATAGTCGTCGGCGCACTTGAAGATGAAGCAAATGCACTCCGGGAGGAAACGGACCTGGTTTGCCTCTCCCCAAATCAGCAAGTACAGGGCAATCTGGCGGGCCCGGTCGTGCTGAGACATGCGGTTCATGCGCGACTTCCACCGGTATTCGGCAGCCTCCAAGCTGTTGTCGCCCTCCAACGCTTCGAGGGTTTCCTCTTCGTTCTCGGGATTTTGCTTGGCTGCCTTAGCAGCTGCTTTACGGGCCTTGCGGGTTTTGCGGTCCGCCTTTCCAAGCTTCATGTTGGCGAAGCCTACCGCATCGTCAAGGTCCAGGTGGGCGGCAAAGTACCATCGGCGATAGTTTGCGTTGTGTCCTCCAATGTAGTCGGCGTGGATGGAAAGCAAGGCCTGGTTGGGAGTCATACGCGAAGCACGAGAGTCCAACATCGTCATCATGTGGTCGTACATGTTCCGCATGCTGTCCCGTTGGAAGCCGAATTTGTTGACCAAGTCCAGGAAGATGTCCTCAACCTCCTCCTTCGAGAGGGGGATTTGGGCATCAGAAGACCAAGCTGGATATGGTTCACGCGAGCGCTGGCCAGCGGGGAGCGCGTTGCCGTAGTCCATGCCATAAACAGGGGTTGAAGCACCGGATGACCGGTTGGCGCCGTAGGAAATCTGAGAAGATGGAGGACGATATCCTCCGTAGCCACTACGCCCGCCGTACTGGCTGTCTGTGTAGCTGTTGTATCGTTCGTCTCCGCGGCCATAGTAATCCATGTCCGCAGCGCGAGCGGTCTCTGATCTCATTGTGAAATCGCTGAAAGTTTCGGAGTCCTCCTCGGAATCATTACCACGTCGACCTCGTGGGTATTCCCCGTGGCCCTGGTCGTAATACTGGTCGCCGTAATCCTGGTGTCCAGCCTCGTAGTATCCTCCATCGGCGTATCCTTGACCGTGTGCTGCGCCATCGGCGGGGTGGGCGCCATCGGCACCGTGGCCATCGCCGTAGTAGCCATGACTGCATATTTTGTCAGCTTCTCAAGCTCACAATCAACGCGTCAGTGATTTCTCCTACCCCTGGTCGTAGTAACCATCGCCATATGCTTGGTTGTCGTAGTAGCCTCCTTGGGCATGCTCGTCCTGGTAATAGGAGTCACCATGACCTTGATTGGCATAGCCATCGTCATAGTGGCCTCCGCCAGCGTAGCCTGACATGACGGGCAAGTCGCGATCGATTCAAAGCTAACAGCTCTAGTCAAGAGTTAATTCCACTTTCCTTCAAATGTCTCCACGAATGTAATCCAGGGGTGTTGGAAGGCTCACTTCAACCGCGACCATTCAAAGAAATTTTGGTGAGATGTCGAATTGATGCAGCATAGGCACAGGGATTGATGCGCTGATACCCAGATGCGCGTGTCTAATGAACGATCTTGAAGCTCAGTAACGAATGTGATCCCGTCAAGGAAAGAGCAATGAATCTAGCAAAGAAGCAACCTCCCTCCAATCGTCAGAAAAGGCAACAACGAAAGGTAGCAAAATCAAAAAGGAAGGATGGTTTGGAAACAAAAAGCGAATGGAAGGGGGTTGGAAAGAGAAGACAAGAAAATGCTTGGTGTTATTTTGGGAATCGGGGGGGGGGGACTTACTGGTCTAATTTACCGTCACCATACACCGAAGGGTACGTGTCAGAGCACCAGGTACAGGATACCTCTGCCCAGTATGATCTCCCCCTGTTTACACCAAGTACCCAGTACCCACTCGTTTACAGTAATACGCAGGTACGGCGTTTGACTTCCAGCCTGCATGGAGAATACATAAAATGTCTCTCCTCTCTGTGCACCGGAGAACTTCCACTGTCGACATTAGAATTACCGTTATTGTCCGACTGTATTTACTGTGTTTCCCACCCAGCCTCCAATGGTTGTGCGCCTCGGCCACCGGAATCCAAGGGAGTCTCGACGGCCCCTGAAACTTGCTCCACCGTCAAATCAGGTCACAAATAATGTGGGTAATTTTCTCTCAGAATACCTGTATCTCCAGAACTTCGTTGTTATGACCACGTCGGTATGCAGGGAGGTATTATTCATTCCTCGTGCCATTTACACTTGGATATTCGTACTCTTGTCCTCTACGAGTAACTACTCGTAGTTATGTACGTTCCCCCTTGGACATTGTGTACTCCGAGTGGATGTTCCATTTCAGAGTCTCACCCATGGCGCTCAATCGACATGAACCACAGTTCCCCCCGTTTCCCAAGAATTCTTTGTCCGCACACTTAATTGTAGTCAATTCTATGCTTATCTCCACGATCGTCCCTTTTGGTTGCTGCTTTGGTCCTCGCAGACTTTTAATCTCTTGTTTCATTAGCGTACGGCTGATTTGCCACAGTGGTGTCTCAAAGTCCATTGGTTCAATGTGTATCACATTTGACTTTCCACTGCCCGTTGAGCTAGCCTGCATTAAGGGGAAGCTGGGACACCCGCCATTCATGATAGGCGACTCTATCGCACGGTGGAGTGGTACCACCACAAAAAACTTGAATCGGTGGCTTTGGCCTTGGTTCGGGTTGTCCACTGCCGCAGACTCGCTAATTGGGTCTATATTTATCCTGGAGTTTTTGCCCACACTGAACATCGACTATATGCATAGTTCTCAAGTTATACATATATAATTACACGGAGTACAGAATACAGTGAGGCCTAATTTTAGGCAATAATTGCCCATGGTCAGATCTACATTAGCATATCCATGAATGTACACATAGTACATCTTGTGTCAGATCATACCAGCCAATACTATCCTGAATCTTCATGTATCCAGGCTAGTAATCTTGTAATCGAAATTGATCTCCACCGTTAAACCCGGGATTGTGTCTTGTTCCACGCACCAAGTGGATCCCGATTGCTTTTTTGCTTTTTTCCAATGTCCTTTCAGAGAGCCTCGACCAAGTGGCCACTCCACGCAGCGTGCGAATGCGTTGAAGCGAAAACTTTAGAACATGATGCTTGGTACATATATACTGGGTATGTCGTGGCACCCTGGTGGATACATAAGATCCGTACAAAATACGAGCTACTTCATACTTGAGTACTTCTATCGCCAACTGCATCAGTTCTGGCTGACAACATGGTTCCCGTACCTTGTTCACCTTCATGTCCGCTGGTGCAGGACCGTGCAGAACTGATACATCAGCTCTTCCCACTCCGTACATGAATAAGTGAATAACACTCTGCCAATATTCCGGTCTTCTGCTCCCCTATTCAGTCTGCTGGTCTAGTCACTCTCTTAAGGGCATATAAGGGGGTCTGTGGCGCTATATAAGGCTACTGACAAATCTAAAGACCGATAGCGATCGCTAATGTCATACCAAAAATAACCTGTCTTTTCCGTCCGTGATGAACAGTTGCCTTGAATGGGTCTAGCCAGCGATCACTAGCCGGCAGGCGGACTCTAGTGTAGCACATTTATTGGATGTACGGAGTACGGAGTAACAAGGCTGGTGTAATAAACCGCCACCTTTCAATACTCAATTACCGATGCACTAAAATGATTGTCCTGAAATGTGGCTAGAAACAATCTTGGCACAGGGTTTCATGAAGATACCCGTACTCGTAGCCTCCTACGCGTCCGGAGCTCGGAGACTGCGGGCAAGTGCTACCTATTCGTACTCGTAGAGACTCGTACTTTTGGCTTGATTCGCTGCCCCTAAGGGTGCATGAGTAGGAGAGCCACCCTCGTCGATGGCTGTGGGCGTTTCTAGAAGCCCCGTACTCCGTCCAAGCTCTTCCCCTTCCCGGATTATTTTTGGCCCCAACCCCTGAATATAAATGCCACTTCTCCATACGGAATACAAAGTGAACATTGCATTGACCCCTTGGTCAGATGGGAACCTTTTTTTCGCCACTGGTCAATGTTGACTCCGTAATTTTATGCACGAGCCATGGAGAGCTTGTTAAAGGAGAAGCTCCAGTGCCAATCACACACTTACTTAGGTGCACTCTGTACGAGTACACCCCGAGGGCCACCTACATATGACTACTACTCGTACAAGTACAGTAAACAGGAGGCTGTGCCCAGGGTGTCCAGATGGCCCCGACTCCTGAAGCCGACTCCATCCCACCCCCCGGGGCCATTGAAGTCATGAGCCAATGATAGTCCAGGCTTATAATTCCATGGATGTATTCCCTGGGTGTCTACGAGTAGGTGCCTTATTCTACTTTTGCTTATACGGAGTACACTACCCGCTGTGTATACGATTGAGCGGTAGGGAAAGGCCCGGAAGTTAATATCGTAAACATGTTTGCCTATGGTCAATCTATAGTCCTTTGGTTGTTGCTGGTGCTTCCAAAGTTACTTCAGTACTTCGTACTATATATATCCATTACTCACACCACACTGGACTAGGAGATTTTGAATTCCAAGGCCGTTGTGTCTTTCCAACTCTCTCCCGATCGACTGCTTCTAAAGTTATATATATACGTTGATCTTACAATAGATGGGACAACACTGTTGATAATCAACTTCAGAACACTTTAGAGCAACTCACAAACTTGAGTAGAGCCTTCACTTGAGTGCACATTTGACCCCAGTGCCTACCTCGCCAGGTACTTAAGTATTATTCAAATCTTCTAAGTTCATACTCAGTAGCCGTTAGGCATGACGTATGTTCAGTTTCCTCGTATATCATCAATGGAGTGGTCACGGAATACCAGTATTCTAAGTTTCTAAAGCTTAACATTGTTTTATGCAAATACCTTGAATTTCTACAGTTCAAACAGGCTTTATAGCTTAGCGGGATATGAAGTTAGTGGCTTTCAAAGGTTGGAAACGAGGCTTTTTGGCGCCTCATAAAAATTTCTCTCCAATTTAGCTATAATACGCTTGATACTCTGTAACTAGAGGATTATTCTACAAGTGTCTCTCTCGCGCGGTTAGAGCTTTTACGCGCCGTGTTGTTCTGAAACTCATCCTTCTACGAGTATATATCCCTCGGAGCACCCGTCAACACTTCCACTAGAGCAGCTTTACATACATTGTACAAGTCACATCAAGGGAGGCGACAATAAGTGTTGAGCTTTTATTTACTTAAGTATCTCCTAGCCTCACCTGGGAATACACAGTCTTTAATTTCTGCTCATTTTTACTATATAATCTTCATCCTATAAGAATACTTAGAGAGCCCTGACCCAGCCGGCCGAATTTTGGAGGTTCAGCAACAAACAGAGCACCTAGGCAGATCAGGTAAGGAGAAGCTGTTTGAGCATATTGGCCAGCCATCTTGATGTAAATTATGGCCAGATCATGCTCAATGTACTCTGTACGGAGTACTCCGTACAGTCCAGGTGATCTGGAGGTTGGGGTGGTTGACAGCCCCCGTTGCCGTGCCAACCCTTTCCGTTGACAGCTCACGGTGAGTTGGATTAAAACCTTCCAGACGATAAAACCAATGTGATCGACAGAAGCATCGTAACCAGACTATTCTTATTGCTCAAATTCATATCGACACACAAACACATCAATGGCCCGACTTAATACGGCCAACCCTTTGGTCAACGGCACCCCTCACAGGGGAAGCAAGGAAACACCTACCAATATTGACAACCGGCGGTCTAACCAGCCATGCTCCAACACGAGCTCCCCAACCAAGCACAATTTTTCGAACGCACAAAGCCAAAACCGACGAAAATTAGCGAGATCAAGCACTTTCGATATATTACCAGACGACGAGTCCGCCTCTGATTGTGAAATCGATAGTCAACCCACCGGAAAGCAGACACGACCACGAACACTAGGGCTCGCACGAGTGAACTCGCTACTCTTACCAAAGAAGCAAAGGCCCAGACCGAATCCCATGCGGACCGCAGGTTATGACAAAGAGAACGACCTACCTGAACATTCCACAGATGAACTTCGCACGCCCGGTTCAACGTCAACCAGACCAGTACCAACCAGACCAAATATCTCGCAACAGCCAAGCAGGAACAGAGCGCGACAGACTGGCAGGCGATCGCCAGTGAGCGATGAGCAAGAAGAAGAGACTAGCGACCGAGGCTTTGACGACAGCTTTGATTCAATAGACGAATTCATCGTCAGTGATAATGAAGAGCCTAGCTCTCACGAAGAATCCGACCATGAAACACCGGACACCGAAGAGGAGCCTACACCACCACCTTCCCCTGCAAAGTCTCCCCGGAAGAGACTTATGCGCGGAAGAAGACCGCCTTCCGAGACGGAACCTACATTCACCATGAACACGAACCCACCAATAGAGCTGGAAGGATCGAAGCCACTCGAAAGTCCAATCCATACGCCGGCGCTCCTCACGCTCGAGGATGGCGAGGATAGGGATCTCGAGCCGAAGTCACACTGTGAATCTTTCGAAGACACCACAGATGATTCCGGAGACCAAAATGATTCAACATATCCGTTGCATCCGCGACTCCAGGATCCCGACGAACTTATTAAACACATCGAGAACCTCGATCTATCGAGTGAAGAGGAAGATGTCCCTCAGCCGCAAAACTTAACGTCAAGGCAGGTCTCCCAGATTCCTCGAAATGCAACTCATTCTAACAACAAAACTCAGATTGGACTCGGATAACGAACTACCTTCACGACTCAAGCCAGGTCGCAAGCAATCCACACCGCGTACTCCATCGAAGTCAGAGACAAAGGATACGCCCCCGACTACTGTAAGAGCCCAGAAGAAAGCCGAGGCGGCACGAAAACGCGAGATTCGTGCGCAAGTCGCCGAATTCAACGAGAAGAAAGTCGGGTTCGCTGAAGATTTCCTTCGGCATTTGGAGAGTCTCTTCGATGATCGCATTGGCGGCATGACCAAAGATACCGGTGGCATCAAACTCGTTTGGACCAAAAACTTCAGAAACACCGCTGGTCGGGCAACTGTTCGGTCAGAAAGGGTATTCGTTGGAGAAACGAGTGTTGAAGATCCCGGGCGCCGACGTTACAATGCCACCATTGAGTTGTCCGAGAAAGTCCTTGATACCGAAGACAAGATCCTGTGTACCCTGACGCATGAGTATTGCCATTTGCTTGATATTCTCATTACTGAAAACAGGGGCAAGGGTGCAGCGCAGCATGGTGCTAGCTTCAAGCAATGGGGTGCTCGATGCACCAAGGCGTTGAAAGATCACCCTGTCTATGGAGGCCGAGTGGAAGTCACAACCAAACATACCTATGAGATCAATCACAAGTACGTTTGGGCTTGTGTGGGACTGGGGTGTCCCTTTGAGGTTGGGCGACACTCAAAGAGCGTGGACCCGGTCCGCCACCGCTGTGGCCGTTGCAGGGGCTACCTCAAACAGATCAAGCCGGTGCCTCGTGCTCCACCGAAAAAGAACAATACTAAGATTGTAATTCATCTGGATGATTGATGTTTGAGAGCTAGGATTATATGCAACGATCAATGACTTTTTGAATACATCCCTGCATAGAAATCGCCAAGCCCTGGAGTAGGCATGGTGTAACTTAACAACCAGAGCAGTTCGACTAATTGACACCCCAGGGCTAATATGACAACATTGCCAAGTCTGGCTGTTTATCTACCGCCAAACGCGACTGTACGGAACTTGCAAGGTTGTTTCCTTTTGCTTGGGACACTACAGCCTCCGAGTCGGTTAGTCGTTAAAGATAGTTGCAATGGCACCATGTGTCTTCCTGACATGGTTATAGACATCTGTCGGCTCTCTTGTCGGAAGATTAAATAGACTCTACCACGCACTCCCCATCAAAACAGTGCCGACTGATGATGTTCATTTCACAGATGATAGGGGCCGATAAGACGTGTTTCATACGAACAGCCGAGCTGATACATTTTGCTAGTCTAGATCAGTCATTCACAAATGCCGACAGTTGTGCTCCACAGACATGGGCTAACAATGCTTAGGGTGGAAGGCGGCACAGAAACAAACGCCTTCCCACACTAACTACTTCACTAGCTACTTAGTTAACCTTGGAAGTAACTAACTAGCCAACTAGCCACGGAGTAGAGAGTCTTCAATACATGTACCTACTTCAATCAGGACTAGCCTGTTAGACATTGGCCACGTGATTTAAAATTATTCGTATGTGATGTGTGGGTAAAAGGAGTAGCTATGCGTTGGACACTCGTAAGGATGACTAGAATCGACTCGATCTAGCTCAATTTGCATGTTTGGACCGAGATTTACTCGTACACCCTCGCCCCCCCTTTTTTTTTACTTTGACACCTGCCAATCCGGGGTTAGTATGCTCTATCACAAAGCGTGGTCTCGAGCTACTGGTTCAAGCCCATCTCTAGGGCTACCCCGTACAAGGCTTTTCTTTGTTGGATCACTCGAGGATTTCGTGCATCAATGTAGCATTTTGCCTTTCTTACATGGGTAGCCTGGTTCTAGCCCTTGCTTCCCTCTACCCAGAGAACACAAATCAGGCTAGCCGAGTACAATACAATAGGAACAATGTGCCTGCCGGGCACTGTCTATATATGTCCCGTCTATTGCCCTCAATTCGTTTCCATCTCTGGCGCTTTTTAGATACAGATTCCGTGAGATCTTTTCTTGGTCTAGCTCTATCAACTAGCACCCGTCCAATCGCAACATTCCATGTCCACCTGCAGGAAAATGTCAAGCAATCACGCAAAAACAGACAATTATCCAACGTTGAGTCGTCCCTTCGAATCCATGAAGCCAGAGTACGATGTTCTGGTCATAGGCTCTGGGTATGGAGCTGGCGTAGCAGCCAGCCGAATGGCTCGAGCAGGAAAGAGCGTGGCAGTACTAGAGCTTGGTTGGGAAAGAAGATGTACAAAACCACCCAGCCCTGAAGTCTGATCAAGATTTTGAAATTCAATGACCCTGGCGCTAACAAAAGCTTCATAGCTGGGTCATTCCCGCATACATTCTCGCAGTGCCTCAGAGACATGAATGTCTCAGGAAACTCCGCTAACAATGGCTTCATCTCAAATTGGCTTTCCTCACGAGATCCGACCAGGCTATTCCAGTTGACTCTGGGCGATGGACAACATGTGTTTTCTGCTCATGGTATGTACGAACAGGCTGCTAGTTATTCTCAAGAGATCTAACATTTGCATTCTTCATCATAGCACTTGGAGGGTCTTCATTAATAAATGCTGGGGTTTTCTTGAAGGCAGATCGAGAGACACTAGAAACGAGTCCGTGGCCATCTGAAATCAGGAAAGAGCCAGATCAACTAGAAGAATGTAAGGTCTTTCCAGTGCATGCCCTAATTTGAGATGTCACGTTGATCGGATTTGGCAGATTATGCTCGCGCAGAAACAATGCTCCAGCCCTCTGTGTACCCGGAGGACTTTCCAACACCGAGCAAGTTTGAGCATCTACAAGAGCAGTCAAAGTCCATGGGATACACGAAAAACTTCCGTCGAGCACCCCTAACCACGTTTTTCCACCGCGGCCGCAACAATGCGGCTGTACAAATGGAGGCAAATAGCCGAACTGGCCATGAGTGCACAGGTCTTAATGATGGCTCGAAGAACTCCGTGGCTACAACGTATCTTGCAGATGCATGGAATTGGGGCGCTGAAATATTCTGCGGTTGTGAGGTTCGATTTGTAGAGAAGGCTGACGAGGGACAATACATTGTCCACTTCGCCTGGCACGGAAGTGGGAGATCGGTTTTCAGTGATCATTTCAGAGAGAAGCTGTTCTGGGTCAAATCGGTGAGTTGGAATGCCAGGAGACTGGTGCAAACTCCGCTAATATCGACTAACTGCTTGATTTGTCTGATGTAGCGCGAATTTTGCTTCCTTGGAGCAGGCTCTCTGGGAACTACAGAAATTTTGCTCCGGTCAAAGAGCCGTGGCTTGAAAATGTCTCCGCTGGTTGGCCGAAATTTATCCGGAAATGGAGATATGTTAATATTCGGTAAGACAGTTGCCATCAAATGATCAAAAGACGCCAGTCTGATCGATACTTACTTCGACAAAAGGATACAACGAGAAAACCAACATCAACGGGATTGCTCGGCAATCTTCGGACCCCATGCTTCTCCCTGGACCGACAATATCTTCGGTGATTGACAATCGAAATATTGACTCTACCAGGGGTCGCCTGTCTGGATACGTTCTTCAAGACGGTTGTATCCCAGAGGCTTTTAACCCAGTCATTCATTCCATGCTCATTCTCCAAACCATGAAAAATCAAGCGTTATCTCTCTTTGTGGACACCCGCAACGAGAAAGGGAAATTTGTTGCCTCGCTGAAGTCCCTTCTACTTGGACCTTATGCCCTGGGCGGAGCTCTCCAGCGGACATCAACATATCTTGTGATGTCCCATGATAGTAACGAGATGATGTCAACGCTTAAAAACGACCAGATTTGTCTATCAGCGCCAAAAGAAGGTAGATCTGAGCATTTCAAAAGGATAAAAGGGATGTTTCACGATCTTTTCACTCTCACGGGAGCGAAAATGGGAGTTTCATACTTTTATGGTAAGGCGCTTGACAGATGTTGAGAAGTCAGCTAACTTTCATCATAGGACGTCATCAAGAGGAAGTCACTGTCCATTTACTAGGAGGTGCCAATATGAGCTGTGATGGCACTGGACAAGGCGGTGCTACAAATCAGATTGGAGAGGTCTTTACCGGTCATGGCAGTCAAGTACACGGCGGCCTCGTATGCTGTGATGCATCAATTATTCCGACGGCACTTGGTAAGTTGGATTGAATTTGGTTGCTTCTAAAATTCTTTGACTCATTGTTTCAGGCGTGAATCCCCTGGCAACAATATCCGCCCTATCCGAGCGATCTTTGGACTTCATCACGAAGAAGGCTGGACTGTTGATTGACCTAGAGACCAAAAATGATCCACTGGATATATACAGCAAGCCCAAATGGCCAAAAGACAACCCTCGTCAGCAATACAGCTCCAACGGTCTCCCAACTTCCATTGGCTGGCAGTTTACAGAAGCCTTATTTGGACACATATATGTGGGTCCAAGTGTCAAAGATTATGGACTTTCTGAAGGCATGGGAAAGAGTTCATCTTGTTCTATCCAGATGCTTCTCACAGTGGATATATGCAAACATCTGGGTAAGAATGGTCACCTGTCAATATTGATAATCCCATCAAGCTAATTCCAACAGAGTCTGGTTATCAAGGAGTCTGTGCAGGAACGGTCTCTTGCCATGCGCTGTCCAAGTCTACCCTTAGAGCCCAGGGCAAATTGGAATTTTTTACAACAGTGAAAGAAAGCGCAGAGGCATTGGCAATTTTATACCACTTGCAGCTCGTCTCGGTGGACGGTACAACATACCATCTTGAGGGACGCAAATTGATTGACTCAACTATAGCTTTCTCCGTTAGAAAGACATGGAAAGTCACAACTACCGTCAATTTGAGTATCACCCGACCGGATGGAACGAATGTTGGATTTGGGGCAGTCCACATCTCGTTGTCAGACTTCAAGCGGCAAGTCCAGACTTTCCGGACCACCCAGATCTTCCGTGTTGGACTCCTGTTGACCTTGATCACTTTTTTACTATCTTTCTTGTACCACATCAGCATCTATTTTTTCCGACCTTTTGGACCTGTGCAATACCCCACGGCGCCGGCTCAATTCAACATCGACACGAAGAAACCCAGTCCAGCCTCATACGAGATAAAGGCATCTGACGGTGTTCAGGTGCGCCTCGATGTATATGAGCCATCTTCAACATCTGAATGGGTAAAAAGTCAAACGACTCTGCCACCAATCCTGCTTCTGCCTGGAGTCACAGGACTTGACGCGAAACACAATCTATTCGCATTGCCTTTTCTACGATGCAATGTGGTTCAATATTTCACCGAACGTGGTCATCGCTGCTACGCATTGACGCCTCGCTGGGGCTGTGATTCTAAAGACGCCTCAAGGGGCACCGTCTTTGACTGCCGTCTAGACGTTGCTGCGGCATTGAAAACGATCCGAGACAGGGAGCCACGAAAACCTTATGTGATAGCTCATTGCCAGGGCTCAGTAGCTCTGTGCATGGGAATCCTTGATGGCACCATCGAAAGCAGCCAGATTCTTGGGATAACTGCAAATTCCGTCTTCATGAATCAAGTTTTTGGGTATTGGAACTCGCTCAAAGGGAGGACTACTTTGTTGATTCGACTCTACGAGTTCATGGCAGGTGATTATTTTCCAATCTTGAGCAGCTCTGTAAGTCCTTTGTTCCAAAGGTTGCTCGATTGTATACTTTGCCTTTATCCAGTTGGACACACACGCGACATTTGTACCTCGACGGCATGTCGTCGAACTTCGTTCGTGTTTGGCTTACTGTGGAACCACCAGAACTTAGACCTAGGACTCCACGAAAATGTCCACCAGTTCTTCGCAGGAACCTACACCCGACTTATGAAGCAAGTTGTGAACATGGGAACCAGGGGAATCTGTGTGAACAATGATGGGCATTCTCTTCTCACGAAAGAGAGCTTGGAGAGACTTCAAGGTCTTCCTATCTTGTTCATCTCGGGTACAGACAACCAGGTGTTCGATCCTGAGACCACGCTCAAGGACTATGAGCTCCTACGGCGGCATTTTGGAGAAAAATACTACCGTAGGTTCCTGGCCGAGGGATATGGGCACCTTGATCCTATTGTAGGCAAAAGAGCTGCCACGGATGTTTACTGGAGAATCTTTGCGCATTTGAGAGGGTGTATTGGAGATGAGCAACCCCAGAGCAATGGTGTGATTACTGCCTAGGTATGGAGCGAGACCGAGAGAACCTGTAGACCTTTATAGATCTCAAGTTGCTCAAGTCTGGTGAATTAAGAATTACGCTAGAAACACTAGAAACGCTAGAAACCTGAGATCGACCAATCAGAAACATGGAACTCGACCCGTGAGAGATCCGCCAATCAATGGGGGTCGCTTGGGATAACATCACCCTTTTTTTTTTTTTTTTTACTGGGAAGTGACCCACTCCGGGAAGTCTTGATTCGAATTGCACAAAGGGGGTTTTTTCTCCCGTAAATCAAATTGCCCTCCCATTGCGACCATGTCTGTATATATCACCACCGAACCAGCGAACCGGATCGTAGACGGGATCACGCCCGATTGGATCCACCCGCATCTAATCCAAAGCACCGACCCGATCAAAGGCCGCCAGTTTCGAGTCTCCGGTCCCATTCCCAAAGGCGCCTGTCTTCTTGTGGATCGCCCCTACGCAATAATACCCGTTGACGAAAACCCCGACAACCTCATCTGCAGCTATCCCGCTTGTAATCGACCGGCTTGCAATCCAGAGCGGAATCCATGCCCGAACGCCTGCCTCCCGGACGTCATTTGGTGCAGCAGTACGTGCCGGGTGGCTGATCAAGTACGGCATGGGTTTGAGTGCACTTGGCTCAAACGGTATGCTGGGCCAATTCGCTCCAAATGGAGTGAATATGACTTCGGCATGCTGTGGGTGATTGTTCGCCTGCTTGCCATGCGTCACAGCCAAATGCATAAGTTATCGGCAGCCAGTGGCGGTGCGTCAGTCCAACAATTAGAACATGGATGGGATGGCATTGACTCGCTCTGTGGATCGTCGGATACCTGGTCCCATGACAAAGTGCGATTGTGGTCTACCTTGGTGAAGAAGTATCTACGGAGCAGCTCTGCCTTTCCCCATGACATGGGGATAGATCGTGTTCTCCATCTCATATGCCAGGAAGAAGCAAACTCTTTTGGTCTATATCCACGTGAGACTGGCCACTTCCCTGTCCCTAAGCCTCCAGTCGATCGTGGGGAACAGTACGCCGCAGCGGTGTATCCCACTGCAGCAATAGCCAACCATTCGTGTTCGCCAAATGTAGGTTGATCTCGACCCTGTAATCATGGGCAATGTTAAACCGTTTATAGATCATTCATAAAGCCGACGAAAAAGGCCGCATGGTCTTCACTGCATCTCGCGATATCTTCCCCGGCGAAGAATGCTGTATATCATACTTCGACTTGACGCAATACAATGACCTCAAATCACGCCGCGATCATCTTCGAAAATCGTTCCTTTTTGTGTGTCAGTGTCAGAGGTGTGTCTCGGAGGAACCCGTCGAAGAAGAGACCGGATGGGATGCCCTGCCGATGATGGAATCATTATAATCATCGCTGGCGATGAAACGTTTGACTATAAAAAATATTTAGGAACCCTCTATCTACACAATTAGGTCATTTGGGTACCCAAGGAGGCTGCCATTTGAATTAAAATACAAGGATAATACGGGATCAGTACCTCTTTGTTCCACTATGCTCCAGGCTCATTGTCTTGTACACAATGAGCGACCCTTGTGCTTACACGATCTTTTACTTAAGTATAAAGGTAGATCCGATCCTCAAGGGTAATCTTTGCTCGTCTGGAATGACTTAAAAGCAAAGCATTTTTCCGAAACAACCCCCAATAATCGCATACCCATACTGTCTGCATACTTCTTAAAATTTCGAGCCTCGGTAACCAATCCTTGACCATGCCGCACACAGCCCAGAAGACGGGCTCTGCCGATCAAACAGCGACAGGCAATGTTAATTTCAAATTTGATAATACCCCACAAGAACCTGCTAACACATTTGCGTACCTGGATGCAGTCCCAAATCAAGACACACTTTGCGCGCCCAACGCTATGCGGCATTTCATCGCACGAGAACAACGAGAACAAGTTGTAGCCTGGTCTGTAAAGATTGATAAACTAAAAGCAAGGCTTTTGACTGTAGGAACTCTACTAGAAGAGTCGAACGAGCGACTTGGCTGCCTGGAAAAGATGTGCGATAATCTTGAGCAGAAGATGGATGGCCGTCGACTGACTATCGAGCCCTCAGAGTCCGAGAAGAGGCATTTGAAGGTAGACGAGATGGAGACAGAATGAAAGATGCCGCACTCAAAGGCAACAGGAGCCTGGAAATGATAGAGATTAATAGAGAACCTACAAGACAACGGTTACAACTCTGTCAGTTCCATAGCCATATCTTCATACTTGTAATTCATTTTCTCCGTATTTCTCATCGCGACTGATCATTCAGACCAATATCTTCAAACAAAAAGGCCCCAATCACAGATCTGTAACTTCCCCACCAAAGCGCTGATGGTATCTGCCGCAAGAGCCTCCTCAGCCGCCAATCCCTTAGGATCTCCACTCTTCTCAAATTCCTCATGAGGAACATTGAAGAAGACCAAAAGATCGGTCTCCTGGGCCACAAGCCGCACAAGAAGGTAGTGGCACGTCAACCGTGATGATGGCGGGGTACCTCCAGCCGAGACAGGTTCGGCGTCTTTCTTCGGCGTAGTGAAGGAGACCACTCCTCGATACGCCTTGATCGGAGCAGGTGATGGCGAGGAAGAAGCAAGCTGGACGTCGACCTTGGATGGGGACGTGACTACCTTCATGGTGTCGCCTTCGTCGCACAGATCGTGCAAGTGATACAGACAAGCGGCATGGTCGATTTGCAAGGAGGTGGCGCTTCCACTGGGGGCCGCTGGCCGGTTGCTGAATTTGGCGCTTGCGGTGAGCGCTTCTTCCTGTGGCACACGCTGGTTGATTTCGATGATCAGGTTGGATAGCGTGGTTGGTGAGAGGAAGAGCTCTTGGTGATCAGGCACTTCACGCAGGGTACTGAGGGTTCATTAGTCACTGTTCAGGCGTAGTTTTTTGAATTGCTCAAGGGTTGACTGAAGTGCAGCCAAGTTCACTTCAGGATTCATATACTGACCTGGAATCAATCCAGTTCTGCGGGACAACGCCTCGAATGGCCCCGCCGTAGAACTCCTGATTGGTATGTTGAGACATGAAGACGGTGTGGCTTGTTTTTATTTTAACTTGTTTGACGTGATTTGGACTTTGTTCTTTTGTCCTCGAGAGGATTTTTTTTGGCTGAGTCTGCAAGACGCTGGTCGGGATCGAGGCGGGATGCCAAGCACTGATTTTTCCAATGCTTTTGGTGGCAGAGAGAGATAGAGAGAGCACAGGTTCACAAACAATATATAGCCCAGACTTTGTTGATCAATATTGCGCTGTGTACTTAGGTAGACAAGGAAACATGCAAGAGGCAGCAGTGCGGGCAGTTGTCTTCCACCCAATGACGTCCAATTGGTGGGGTGCCAGGAGACTCTACGAGTACGGAATACGAGATGCGCAATGTGTCAAGATACATGAGTGTCTTCATTTCAACAACAATTCGACAGAAAATAACTTTCTGAGATTGGAATTATTCAAATAATTCCTCAACATAAGGATCCAGCTCGACAATGCGGAATCGATCTCCCCACTGCGCCCGGAACTCCTTCTTTCGATACGCATAGCTAGTTCCCTGCGCGAAGCTCACAAGCTCAACTGTCCAGCCGCGTTGCAGCGCCCGTTCAACCATCTTCATAAACCCGCCAGAAAACTCGGCAACTGCCGCATCACCGGTGGCCAAAACAATGGTGGCAGGTTCATCAGTATCCACCAGGCTCTCCAGGATCTTCAGGTGCAAAATTTCGTCCACACCTTGCTCAACCCAACGCTCCCCAGAGGCGGCGACCGTTTCAGGTCCACTGGATGCCCCCTGGGAGTCGGAGGCTGGACACTTTCGGAATTTGTTGCGACGGGGTGTGGTGTGCTTCACCTTTTGTACACGGTCTAAAATGTTGGTCTCATAACCCAGCGTTTCAGCTTCTTGGATAGAAGGGAGGCGATCGGAGCCCACCAAGACTCTCTTGGCGGCTTGACGGCCTCGCTCCATGATGAGAGACAGGTTACTAAACGACATGTGGACACGACGGATGCGAGTTGATTGAGAAATATTTCGCGAGGCTTTGACTGAATCATGGAATCCCACCATAATCTGACAGTCTAGTTAGTTTGATCAATCTTTAGAGATGAAACGAGGACTTACATTGGACATATCAACGAAGATATGAATAGGGGGCGAAGCAGGACTTTTCTTGGTGTGAGTTTGCACAACTTGTCCTACTTGGGAGACAAGTTGGGCATAGCCGGGAAACTCCTTCAAAAGTCTGGTCATCAATGTGACTCTGCGTTCCGTCGGTGACTTGTACAAGGTGGACCGAACACGAATACCGTTTCTGATAATGTCGGCGTTCAGACTCCACTCTTGGTCGTCATATGAAGATGGTGGGGTGTCGTAGCGGTTATTCGTCGCTTCAGGCGTACCAATTTGAGCCGGAACAAGTGACAAAGCTCCAGTCCTCTTGGACAAAGGACGATCAAAAACAGCGCTCGAGTCTGAGTCAACACCGGCACTACCTTCTGAAGAGATGGGTTCAGTGCGAGTATGGACTTGCTTGGGTTTGTCTTGCTTCTTCGGCTTGACTTTGGCCTTGGGCGTATCGCTAGAGCTTCCGTTTGTGGAGACATATTTGGTTGGAGTACGTGGTTTATCGAATTTCACAGTGACGGGTTTTCCAGGGCATTTTTCATCCGCTGCTTTCTTCAAGATCGACACTGGTTGTGTTGGAGTGGGAGAATGGGAAGCATGGCTGGCAACAGTCGAACGCTTCATGTCTTGGGTATCATGGTCGGTCGAAACGATTGGAAGGGATGCAGTGACAGGGTTGTCACGCACTAAGATACTGCCAACTGTTTGATCGAGTGTTCCAAAAACTGATGTGGTTTTGGATGGTGATTCGGTATTTGATGGTTTGGTCTTTGTAGTGACCAAAGGTGGCGTCAGGCTAACAGGAGCGGGGCCATGATTCAAAAGCTCCCAGAGTGAATTAAAGTCCCCTAGTTTGGTGTGGCTACCCCGGGTGGTCAGAGTCTTGGGGTTGATGACAGAATCATAGTCAGCAGTATTGGTCTGTTGGTCCTGGATCGAGGGGGCGATCGGTTCGGGGTGGCGACTGGGTCTCAAGGTACTCCCATAGGTTGGCGACCGTAATAGGTCGTGCACCTGGGTGAAATCCCAGCTCGAAGACTCAGTGGACGTTGTGTTGACCATTGATGGCTAGGTAGGATGAGTGTAGCGATGGAGGTAATGTTTGTGAGATGAATCTCTGTTGCGATTTGGGGAAACGCAATAATAGGAATAAAAAGGCGCGAGGTGCAAGGTCATCGAAAAGTTGGCTTGATTGAAAAGTCAGGCAAAGGCAGATAGCGATGCATAAGGCTGAGTCGATCCAATCCACATGGTGAGTCAGAACGAGGATGAGAATCTGAAGCAAGTTAAAGCCCACGGACTACTCCGCACTTGAATAGGTAGGGAACATTCAAGACCGAAGCAGGTGACGGTGGCGGTGAGAATTTCTGCCTATACTAACCGCCTGCTGTTTTGTCTTAATAGACACGTGATGCTAGAACGGGCACGTGACTCGGGGAAAGGACTGGTGTGGCTGATCACGTGGGAGGTGTCCCGTGTGGCTTCGTGTCCAAACTCTAAAAGCTTGGCACTGGATCAGCCACATCTTCATCGCGACGTCATTTCCTGCACAGTGTAGCATCCACGAGAAGATCGGATTAGATCGGGTGTCAGATTGAGCCACAGCTACTTTCCAGAGGTCCCGCCTATAGAAGTGTCGTCTGTAGCCGAGCTCAGAATCCACGCTGGTTGGTTACCGTGCTCTCGGTCAGGGTCTTAGCCCAACTCGATTTGTATACGCGGCATCTAGATGCTGTTTATTGACAATACCTGGGGTCCATCACGATATATACACAGATTGATAGCTGCAAACGACGTCATTTGTTATGTGAATGGGCTCATACACACACAATATCTATATAAACCCCTCTGCTCAAGTGCTTGACAGATTACTTTCTTCGTCTCAGACTGAACAAGCTTAACTATACTCTTACGATCACTTCCAACAAATATCTCTATATTCATCATGTCTGACGTCGGTCGCAAGGATTTCACTACCAGTAAGTTCCATTCGAGATTCTAGAATCAGTCGGCGAATCATCAAAACAGCCAAAGGCTTATAAAGTTACTAACACCGTCGTTCAGAGGCCAAGGAGGAGCTCACCCCTGACTCCACCAAGTCCACCCAGGACAAGATCTATGAGGCGGCCACCGATACCACCGATCGAATTGCTCGTGGTTTGCAGACCGACGAGAGCAAGGGTGCTGGCCAGGAGGTCTTTGATAAGGCCCAGCGCGCTAGCGACAACCATGTCCACGATGGTGCTACCGGTTCCATGTAGGTGACACTAGGCATTTCTCTCTATGATTGTTTTAACCAAATTTCCAGCGGTGACAAGGTCAAGAACGCCCTCGGTCTCGGCAACTAGGATGGCCCTTCCCCTTCCAAGATTGCAATATGAGTGGCTATTATGATGGCCGCTCCATAATCAAGGCATTGCCCTGCGTTCACGACTCACAACGAGTTTATGATACCATTTAATTTTCATAGCTTTTCATAGCCAGAATATTTATTATAAATGCATTTCGCTTGAGTTGCCGCAACTTCCATTGCATATGTACCCCAAATAAGGCGTTGAGCAGATGTATTTGATTGAAGTTAGCAGTCTCAATGCCGCGTATCCAAGCTGCTAAGCATCGAGTCTCGTTGTTGTATGAGTTGACCAAGCTCGTTCTCCAAATCTTTGCACTTTGCTCGTGCTGCAGGGATACTCTTGGGAAGGTCCCGGAAAGCCCTCACACGGCCTTGCAACGACCTGACCGTCTCGCGTGCCCTGCTCACGTTTTCCTCTTCTGCCACCAGCTCTTCGATGCTCGGTCCCTGCGATTGGACCTTTTCCAATGACGCGATGCGATCTTGGTATTCGGCGACCTTGATTGCAAGCGTTTTTGTACCTCGCGTCCACTCTGAGGTCAACTTTTGTGTGTTCGATGGTGTCTCATATGCCATGTCGGACTTGAGATCATCAAGATCCGCCTGTAGCCGATCTAGCTCTTGTTGTAGATACCGATGCAATGTATCAACTTTCGCAATCTGTTCTTGAGCTTCAAACTCCTCCACAGTGAGCTCCACAATCGACTGCCCCAGATCCCCAGGATTCGGGTTTAATGTATTGCCGAGAGCTACCGCAGATTCAGCAAGATCATTGAGATCACGTCTTCCTCTATCGTCAAGACACATCTCAACTTCGTCGAGGATTTGGGCTTTTTGTTGCTCGTGTGGGTCTTTGCGCTCGAACTCCTCCCGCGCTTTGTATGCCTGAACTGCTTCCTCACGAGCTCGCTGCTGCACAGAAACCTCCTCATCTGCGGCATCATTGGCTGCGGCCAGGGCTAGAAGCACACGGAGGGTGTCATCGTTGCGCTCGAATGGTGGGACAGGCTTGGGCGCGTATTGTCGGTTTAGCCAGGAGTTAACGTACGCCCAGTCCTTGGTTTGTATAGCAGCCTGGCGGGCTTTAGCCGGCGAGATAAGTGGACTGTCCATGGATCAAAGTAGTTTCGGAGTATGCAGTAACCACAAAGTCGACAAAAGTAAGAGGGAGGATCAAACGGGGTAATGTGTTGATAAGAGATACGCCGAAGGCGGTGATACGCTACGTGTGAGGTTGTCTCCTACTTCTCCCCGCCGAACTCACGAGGTCCGCTGGGTCGCTTACAACAATGACGAGCTATTTCCCGCCGAGTGGTAGCGCCAGTAATGGCGTCGGTTCGCCTGCAGCATCCTCGCCGTCGACACCACCAACGCAGCGGTCTACCGCCCTCACCAATAGGCTAACAACCGTTCTCTCGGCCTCTTATGCGGACTCCGACATTCGGGATTCCCTCGAGACATTGAGCTTACGAGGGATCCACAACTCCGAAAAGACACGCAGACAGCTACGACTTGATGTGGAGAAGGAGGTGGTGGGTTGTAATGCGGAGATCGTCAAGGATTTTGGCAAAGTCGCCGAGGTGAGACTCCCATTCTTGGAGATTCGACCTAGAAATGCTAATAGTACCTCCTAATTGCAGCAATTGAGACGAATTGGCACAGTAATTTCAACCCTGAATCAAACATGCGACGACATGCGCAAACGAATCAACCTGGCAAAGCAGGACACTACGCCTGTGCTGGAGGAGGCCACCGCGCTGATGGCGCAAAAGAAAGAGACGGAAACAAAACAGCAACTTCTAGAGGCATTTTCGAAACATTTCCTGATACCAGAGGAGGATCTCTTGATTTTGACATCAGCTGAGGAGTCAGTCGACGAGCGATTCTTTGACGTCTTGGCTCGTGTCAAACAAGTACACCACGATTGTGAGGTCTTGCTTGGAGGCGAGAACCAGCGATTGGGTCTTGAAATCATGGAAATGAGCGCCCGCAACCTCAATTCTGCATACCAGAAGCTCTATAAATGGATCCAGAAAGAGTTCAGGTCCCTGAATCTGGAAGATCCTCGAATCAGCAGTTCGATACGCCGTGCTTTGCGGGTGTTGGCAGAACGCCCGAGTCTCTTCCATAGCTGCTTGGACTTCTTCGCAGAGGCGCGGGACTACGTTTTGTCTGATGCATTCCACTATGCATTGACTGATGCTATTTCCGGAGCCGGTGGCCCTGGCGCTGGAGGTGAAAGCACCGTTAAGCCGATTGAGTTCTCGGCGCATGACCCACTCCGATACATTGGTGACATGCTTGCGTGGGTACATTCTACAACCGTTTCTGAGCGCGAGGCGCTTGAGTCTCTATTTGTTGATGATGGAGATGAACTCGCCCGAGGGTTCCAAGCTGGCATGAACAGCGAACCTTGGTCTCGGATCGACGAGGACCAGGAGGTTACCTTCGACGGCCAGAAGGCTCTGAGTGATTTGGTCAACCGTGATCTTACCGGGGTATCTCGTGCGCTGAGGCAGAGAATTGAACTCGTCATTCAGAGCCACGAGGATCCTATCACTTGTTACAAAGTTGTCAACCTACTATCTTTCTATCGCACAACGTTCTCCAAATTGGTGGGCACGAAGTCCAATCTGGTTGAGCTGTGTCAAAACCTGGAAAAGTTCACCTTCGACCACTTTGAAACTTTGATGCGCGATCAGATTAGCGCTTTGGCAGGAGACAGCATTGCTTTGTCTCCTCCAGACGACTTATCACCCCCACAATTCCTGCTGGATGCACTGGAAAATCTGGCACTGCTCATGAAGAGCCACGAGGCCTCTGTCGGGCTAGAAGAGTCACCCACGGACTCGAATCAAGAGAATGCGTTCACTTCCGTGCTTCGGGTCGCTTTCGATCCATTCCTGACACTGGCTCGGGCCTCATCAGATGAACTCAAGACAACCACAGCCCAATGTATATACCGCACCAACATTCTCTTCGCAGCCCGTGAAGCTGTCTCACCTTTCCCCTTTGCTCGCTCTACACATGTTCCTCCCCTGTCTGCAGCCTTGTCAACACTTCGCATCGATCTCCTCAACACCCAACATGACTTCCTGCTCGAAACTTCAGGCCTCCAAGTCCTTCTAGATGCCTTAGAGCCATTCTCCAAGACCGAAAAGGACTCTGGCACTGCCGAAAAGAAGGCCGAGAAGGCAGAACACCAAAAACCCCATCTTGCCGACTTGACCACACTCCCCGCCTTCCAGCCAGAGTCTTTGATCACATCGAGCCAGCAACTTGATGACTTCCTTCCATCTGCACTCATGGACGCAACCGATAATCTCAAGCGAGTGCAGAGTGTCTCACTTGTACAAAGCGTCACGGAAGATGCTGTCGAGGCATTCTGTCGGGATTTCGAGTTCGTTGAAGGTATGATCATTGCCGCAGACGAAGCCAGAGGAACCGCCAACGTTACTACTGGAAGTAGCGACAGTGTCAGTGGCCAGAGTGGACGATCTGACGGCAATGCCACAGCGAATAAGAAAGATAGCGAAGACGCTGAAGAGGATGATGAACAGTGGAGCCTGAGATCCTTGTTCCCTCGCACAACTGGAGAGATCCGTGTATTGTTAAGCTAATTAGTGAATAGTGGATTTGAGCGATCTATATGTTCATCGTCTATATCATCTACCTACAAACAATCTCAACGTTGATTCTTGATATTGGTATTTATGAATTCGGCGATTAAACCATTGTAGAACTAGGCCGTCGCTGCGTCTAAGCAAGGGCCATGCATTACCTAGGTAGCAACTAGTTTGGGAGAAGTTAGAAACTATGATAGAGATGCTTCGAGAACACTGGAATTGTAAGAGCACAATGCTGCTGGGTTTGTTTAGTCGTATCTAACAGGGCCCCAAGAGTAAAGAACAAGATAAGAATCAAGAGGTATCAAAGAGTGAATTCACAATAGGAGCTGGCGTTGAGTAGACCAGGGTTTGAGTCTATCCACCTCGCTCGCCAAACTCTCTCGCCCAATCCTCATATTTTTTCAGCCCGTCGGGTGAAACACTAGGGCGAATGGAATACAAACTCGCTTCGAAGTCAGGGAATATGATGGCACGGATCTGATCCATGGGTGTGTGGAGGAGGGCTTCGCCCAGGTTGCGCAGGGGACCCATGGCGGCGTCCTTAGCGAGAGCAGTGATATCTGAACCAGAGAAACCTGTAATGGCCAATTAGATAAATCAAGATGGGGGATGAATGGGGAGTGTACCTTCTGTGACATGGACCAAAACTTGGATATCGGCGTCGCTAAGCTCATGATGTTGATGGCCTATAAGCTTGCGGATTTGCTGCTCACGAACATGATGCTCGGGTAAAGGAATGTATTGTCGACGAACAAAACGCCGGCGAGCAGCCTCATCAATATCCCAAGGCATGTTCGTGGCAGCCAAGACCAGCACACGACTGGCATCACCTTCCTTCTTCTCGCGACTTGTTTGCTCGCGGCCAGCGGCTGCACGTTGGAGATCAGACCACTGGACCAGGAATTCCGTCTTCGAGCGACGGGAGGCCTCGTGCTCCGAGCCGGACGAACGTGCAGAAAGTAGAGAGTCGATCTCATCGACGAAGATGATGGATGGGGCAAGAGCTTTGGCAAGACCGAAAAGAGCACGCACGAGCTTCTCGCTTTCGCCATGCCATTTGGATGTAAGACTTGATGCAGAGACGGAGAAGAAGGTCGACTTTGATTCCGTGGCTACTGCCCGTGCGAGCATAGTCTTACCAGTGCCTGGAGGGCCAAATAATAACATTCCACGGGCTGGTTCGCGGAGACCGGAAAAGAGATCGGGGCGAAGGAATGGGTAAACCACTGCTTCTTTAAGAGCCTTTTTGGCTCCTTCTAGCCCGGCAATGTCATCCCAGTGCACTTCATCACCGCGTACTACAATGTCATTTAGAATCTGCTTTGCTGAGACGGGGTCAACGCCCTTGGGTAGTTTTTCCAAAATTTTGTTGATGTCCTCGTCGTCTTCTTCGCCTTCGTCTTCTGCCTCGTCTGCCGAAGATCGCTGGTCTGAAGTCTCTTGATCACTTGATGGTGGTGTCTCTCGCCGTTCCACAGGAGGAGGCTTTCGTCTTGTTGCACTATCTCCATTTCTCCGTGATATTGCCAGTCGGTCCACACCACGGTAGACATCGTCGCCACTACCAGATGACGGAGAAGCCCGAGCAGTTTCACTGATCCTAGAGACTTTGGGTGCCGACTTCGTGCGTGGCCGGTCATTTGAAGAATTTGCTTCCCGATCAAGCCGGGGTGATATCGTCCTTGAAGTCTGTTCAGATCTGGTAGTTTGCATCGGATGACTTGAAGGTGGCCGAGAAGGTTGGGAAGATCGTAAGGCGACAGGCTTTGGCTTGATAGATGGCTTGGGTGGAGTTGTATAATGTGCCGGATTTGGCATAGACATCGGAGACGGATGCGATAATTGAGGACTGTGAGGCGGGGGATGAGGCTGTCGCGCTGGCGGTTGTGTAGGCATCTTTGGCGAGGTCATCTTCGGAGACGCACGAAGAGGCTCTCGCCAATGGGCAGTGGGGATCCGATCCCCCGTCAGATCACGAGAAGTGCGATTTTTTGCCGGCCGCGGTTCATCACTAGAACTGACTCTCGGTTCTGGATCTCGGCGTTGAGAAGAGTCACCAGTGGCGCTTGCCCGTGATGATGCTATGGCTGCATCGTTTGGGGGCTTTTCGCCCGACGCAGAGCGGTAGATGCTTCCCCAGGCCAACCCAGCTGCTTTGGAGGCAGCAGGCCGAGACTCTTTTTTCTTCGACGGAACCTTGACCTTCTTACCATTCTTCTTGCCATCACTACTGCGTAGAGTGGTCAACATGGGTTTCCGTCTCTCGGGACTAGAGCCACGGGACTTCGTTTTGTCGGAGGAATTCGAGTTCACCCGGAGTGCAGGCGTGCCAGCCGCAGACAGATGCGAAGGGCCAGCGTCATCGTACAATAAGGTCGAGTCGTAACTTTGTTTCGTCGGCAGCGAGGGTCGACCGGGAATAGCAGCGGGTTTGGAAAGGTCGGTGTAGCCGACAGCAGGGATCGTTCCATCTCCGATCCAACCGGGAAGGTTGGACGACGGCGGTGGCGGAGCGCTGGTGACAGATTTACCCTTCACGAGAGTAGCGCTCTCTTTACCACCGCCATTAGCCTCTGCCGATTCCTTTCTGCTGGCTCGGAGAGCGCCCAGGAGATCGACCCGTTCTCGGCATTGGACCTCTAGCGCCCGAATGGAGTCCTGCAGGGCCTTCTCGGTTTCAGATTTCGGGGTATAGTTCGATGGGACACGACGGGCATTGTGATGGTAGATAGTCTCGAGCGCGGATCGCCAGGACCGCAATGCCTCCTCTTCGTTGTTCTGATGTAATGAGTAACGAACTGGTGTTCGGGGGGACTAGCGCACTTACCTGGCCCTCAAAGTATACAGCGGTAGAGCACGCGAGATAGCATTCGTCGTAGGTCTTCTGCATGGAAGACGCAGGCCGTGGGCGCATCATTGGGAATCAACAGGCCCGCCTGCATCCATTACACAAGGTCGGTTGGTGGAGTTGGTTGAGTGCGATGATCTCCCGCGGAGTGAGGGGATGATTTTTCGCGTGACGTCGTCGGTTCGGTATTACTGCATGCGGTGTCGCTACTACTTTAACATACAATTTATATCTTCCCTCTTATAATTATCTGTCTCGAAGATAGAAATGCAAACATTGCTCGGATATCATCTCTAAGATTTCATGTCTATGGGTACATGCAAAATACTAAAAAATCATAAAAAGTTAGATCGATGCCAACGGAGAACCCAGTCCTCAGGGAAATTCCAACCAAAAAGAGAAAACTCATGACCAGACGCCACAGAGATACATTGGAAGAGCATCAATCCAGAGGCAGAACGAAATAGAAAGCACCAGATTCGAGCCCCGAGTCGACTCAGAAACGGCCGCCTCATGCCCAATTTTCCCCAAAACTATACACTGCCAGTAACGCTTTTCATAAAAAGCCCTAAACATGCAAGATTGAACTCGGACACTCATGGCCCAATATGCGCCTCGGTGAGGGTTGCCGGGCTCCGCCCAAATGTACAACCCCCCGGAACAGATTGAAGAAGAAAAAAAGAACAGACCCAGGTCGCCTCGAAAGATCAGAAAAAAAGATTATGTAGTCCCCACACGAACATGGTATATCAAACAAGTGGAACAAGGAGGACCCATCGGGAGGAGGAATGGGACGAATGGCGAGGGATGGGGGATGGAGGATTTATATGGTTCTTTTAGTCGTATTGTTCCTTGAAGTATGCCTTGGCCATCTCATAGGATGTCCTGAGAATATGTTAGTCAATGTTCAATGGACTCAAAGACCTGTATACGAGTCTCGGTGTAATACGTACCAGCAAATCGCAGTGCTAGGCATGGTGGAAATGATACGGGGTCGCATGCCCCGCAAGAAGCCTGCCCAGCCGAATTGGCGCTTGATGATACCGGCGGCGTTCCACAGACCTCGTGCCGACCGAACTTCCTCGCTGTCCGCAAGTCCTCGAGTTTGGAGGAGGGTTTTGACGACATCAAGGGGTGTGGTGATACCAGCTGCGAAGGCACCGGCCAAACCACCAGCCATGCAGTGGGTGAAGGGGTCGTAATCTTGCTTGGGGTTCATCACCTTCGAGATCGACTCGTAGGCAACAAACTGAGTAGCCGTGAAAGGCACAGTCATGCAAAGTGTGGTAGGGTAGGATACGTAGAAAGCCTGGAGACCCTCAGTGCGATAGAGGGTCTTGGCGCATTGTGCCAGGGTCTTGTGAACAGAGCCGTGAACCTGCATACGTTGCTTCATGACTGAGGAACCAGTTAGCAAAGCCGACCAAAATGACCGGATCACGAAGAACCTTACCATCAAACGGGTTCATAAGCGCATCGCTGGCGATTGTAGCGGAGGCTCCACTCATGGCTGTAATAAAATCCTGTTAGCTATGCGCTCCAAATGAAAATCCAGGTAGGATTTATTTGATTACCAGCAGCCAGGGGGTGGTGTCCGTCGTCAACATTGCCGCCAGCCATTTCCTTCACAATTTCATATGTACCGAAGTACACCGCGTGTGCCGGACCTGTGATAAATCAGCACACCAATTCTCAACACCACACATCCTGAATACGCACCCGCGCCCACAACCACACTGGAAACACCCTTCCATAGTGTCCGCCAGCCCTCAACGCGGTAAATTGTAGAGACCGCGTTGGTCAATCCCGTGTACAGCCCACCCGATGACGGGTTCAGAATTTGCATGCGAGTCTAGCGATATTCATTGTCAGATCATTTCTTTTTCGGTCGCACTCTCATTTCCCTTCATAGTGTTTAACATACCTTGAGCAAATCCACGGGGTACATCACAGAGTGTTCCTGAAATGCGATCAGCAAAGTTCCGCCCAATGGTTGTGTCAACCTACCGCTATTCCTGCGAAAGCACCCGCCAGCATGTTCCGGCCAAGACCATAATTGGAGGGGAGAGCCTCGTAACTAGAGCAAAGATTTTCGCATTAGCTTCAGTCGCACATATCTTGGATCAACAGAGCGACGGCAAGACAAATAGGGCACGGGATCCTGGAACAAGGACAGCTATCGCGAGAGCTGAAGACTGCCCTCTTCGCTCCAGACAATAGACCGGTCGCTTCATTCAACCCGCCCATGCCGACCGACACCAATCCAATGATCCGAAGAAAGAGAAAGTGAGAAGCAGAAAAAAGCCGGGAGAGCTACATACTCGAATTCCTCGGGTGCGTCGGAGGCCATTGAGCTTCTGTTATCTCAAGACGCGGCGGCAATTGGAAAAAAATTCGACGTGCGGAGAGGATCGAAAGGGAGTTGCGGAGAGTTGGAGGAATGGAAGGACGGAGATGAGGTAAACGTTGGGTTCTCCGTGGAGATCCCGAGCAAAACACGAACAGGCGAGAAATAGGAATGCCAGTACAGAGTAGTTATACTGTCTTAGGTTCAGCGTGTTGTAATGAGATATCTTTCTTTTTGTGCAAAACAGAAGATGAGTTACAAAAAAAAAAAAAAAAAGAAACAATTAAAAAAAACAGTAGATGCGTCTCCAAGAAAAATGCGCTAACAGGAAATTATTCAGGCCGACGTTCGCTATTATCCGCGAACACCTGGCTGGGAGCTTGGCTATACTACCGGACATCGGACCTCTCTTTTTCTAAGTTTCACTCTCTATGTGTTTTACATCTTCCTGAGGTCCTTGGAGAACTATGATGGAGGAACAATTATATACGTAGTAATAACCTTATAGCCTTGGGTATTATACAAGGGTTGAAAGATCCGATGACGGAGTTGAAGCCCAAGTACCCTATTGGTATTTCCCCCGTGCATGACCACGGCTTAGGTACCCAGTCGGTACAGAGTAAAATTTTATCAATCAGATAAGAAAAAAAAGAGCCCCTGGAACCGACAGGCGCCCTTGGCCTCAATTTGTCCTAGTTACCTCGGAGTGGAGCGTAATTTGTCTTCCAGAATATTTTCGATCTACACTGGAGTACGGAGTAAAGATGTGGACAATAGTCCAACGAATTACGAAATGCTGCATTACTCCATGTGTCTTGTCTTCCGCATTTGCTATTTTCCAAAAGTTCATTTCAGCTTTGAGGTTATACAGAAACATTTCAACAGATCCTATGAAAGATCGGAACACGCGACTTTTTCAAGGGGCACGCCGAGGTCCGGTCCAGCCGTCTGGGCCAAAACCCTGACTAAAACTATTCTGACAGCCCCTTAACCCTCGTAGAAAACATGGGCCTCCTGGGCTGGGGAAGTACACTGGTCATGTCTCATAATCACTACTTGACTTAGAAGTAGTATGTAGTCAACAATGGGAGTAAACGCAGTGACACACATAATACCTGTGGATTCCGCTAATGATATTGTCGACTGGGATCACGTTCTACAAACACCCATGCACCTGACGTAGAGAGATAGCGCAAGGAGACATATACCTAAGTACGAGTCTAACCAAGCATGGGTGTATGCAGATCATTACAGTCAAATGAGGTACTATGATGAGGCTGTTATCTAACCGCCCTCGAATGCGAATGTCCTCGATTGTGATTGGAAAAAAAAGAAGTATGCTCGCAAGGGGAAAAGAAGTCATTCAAGTCGTCAAAAAAGAATCTTGTTAGTGGTCTGCCGCAAGCCTGCCGCAACCCGGCAGCAAGCATGTCACCACTCAATATTAAATGACCACTCTCCTGTTAAAATGGTCAATAAATGTGCCACGGTTATTAACAACAGGTGAGATCTTACCATTTTTCAAATTCTCGGCGGTGTCGCTCAGAAGGATCACTCGACGCTTGTTGCAATAGGCGGTCTTGTCAAGAATATCGACTTTGAGCCCCGCTAGTTCGGACACTGGCTTCTCAAACATTTCACTCAGGCTCTCGACGGCCATCTCCAAATCTTTCTGGTTATCCTCGAAGATTTCAGTCAAGTTGTTTCGTGCAAGGTAGAATGCAAACGCGTAGGTCCACTTGAGAGTTTGGCGACACTGCTGCAAGGCCTGCGACGCGGTGTCTAGGAACTGCACCTCAATCCAAGACAGACCAGATTGTGATTGAAGACTCGTCATTTTCTTCTCGGTCTTGAGGTAAAGGTCCTTGTCAAGCTTCGCAGACTGCTCGTGGTTTGCATAGCGATTATAGTAATGTAGATAGCGCTCGAGGAATGAGCGTGATTTGGCTTGAGCGCTGCGTGCATCCGAGCCTGATTTCTCTTCGTATCTGTTGCAGTTATACCAGCTTGTGCCATGTTCGGACCAGAGGCCCATGCACATCCAGCAGAACTCGTGCTTGCACTTCCTGCAGGTCATGTGGTTGCAACCACCGTTCTTCTCAATGGTTGAGTTGCATCTTGGACACTCTTTAGTGTTGGCTGAGATCCAGTTGGCAGTTTCAGAATCGTCTTCGCATTTCTGTAGCCACATTTTGACCAATGTGCATGGAGTGGGTTGGTGGTCGGCAAGAGTGCAACCAAAACAGAATTCATGCTTGCAGAAACATCGCACTGTTGGCACCACACGACGAAGATCGCGGGTCCTCACACCACAATCGATAGCATATTTGCAGTTTGGAGCAGGGCACCATTTCAAGTTTTCTTTGTCGTCAACGTATGTACGAGTCAAGAGTTCGCAGTACCTGTAGGGAGAAGTGTATCAGCAACAAGTCGCTCGGAGTTTCTCAACCACCAAAACACCCACCTTTCGTTGAGATCCTTCGTCACAAGCAGATCCATTGATTTGGAATCCACGATGCGTGTGCACCCATTCCCTGGACACTGGATCCGAGCAGCTTCGCCCTCTTCCTTGATCTTTTGCCCCAAGTAGTGGCGGTAGCAGTCGACACAAAACCTATGGCCACAGCGCATCGCATATGTCTCGAGGTCATCTCCCTCCTCGCAGCAGATATCACACATGAATCCCGGGACAACCTCAGTCTTCGCATATCCCTCGAAATTTGTTCCGAGACCGGCATCTTCCAATGTTTCCTCTGGATGATCCATATATGACTCGATCAACTTCTCTTTGTTCCACCGACCAAATCGCAGCAGGATCGCAGCCGACTCTGGTGGCAACCCGAGTACAGCGCATACCTCGTCGACCTGAGTGTTCTGCTCCTGGTCGATATCCGGCGGATCAAGTACTTTGAACTCAACCTCGTATGGCTTCCGCTTATCCCTAATGAGATCTTTGTCGTCCGAGAAACCAGTGTCGAGGTCACCAAAGTCTACTCCCCCATGTCATCTGTTAGCCAGTTTGCTCTAAAGGAAAGACAAGACAAGCGACGCGTACCTTCGCCCAGACTCTCATTATCAGAGCCCTGGGTGCCTAGAAACCCATCACTGGAGACGTCACTCATGAAGTCATCGTCCGAATCCATACTGGCGGTTGTTGATGCGGGCGTCCCGAGAAAGCCCTTTTTTCGGCTGACAGGACTCGCAGAACCAGGTCTCTCGGTGGTATCGGAGGTCGCGGTCGGCGCTGAGTCGGTCTTCCGCGAACGGTGGGATGTCGCGGTTCGGTGCCCGTGGGCGGCTGGCAGAGGCTCGTTGTCAATGGCCGCCTCGGCCGCCGTTCTTTTTCGCGTGGTGGGAGGCGTGGTGAATGAAGTGGCAAACTTGCCAGGAGTAGAGGTTCTGTTTCTGCGCCACACGTCACTGGATAAAACCTGGGCACGGATGGTCGGAGGGGGAGTGGGGAAGGGGAGATGGAGCCTCCCGGGGGGCTCCTCGGATGCTCTTCGGAGGTCGACTTTATTTTTGGGCTTTGTATCTGATTTAAATCTTCTCCCTACGTGTAAGTAGAAATCAAACGAGGTAATGTACAGACAAATTCTGGGAAACCTCTTAAGTAATGAGTACTTGCTGGTGGCGTTGGCATGAATCACCTGGGCATCCCCATTGGTTTCACTTTGCCTGTCTGTTGCCTGCACTGTAGACACCCCCAAGCTAACATGTCATTTTTTTTTCCTTTGGTTTTTATTTTCTTGTCTCAAGGGCATTCAGAAAATAGAAATTTGACCTCTCAGAAAAGGCGAACTACATAATTTTGATTTGATTTGTTAGTCGTCATAGTGGTATCTACTCTTCATCACTCTCCTCCTCGCTATCTTCCTCCTCGCTACTTTCTTCCTCGGCATCGGCCAGCCAGTCAACAAATTGCTGAGCCTGGGTGCGAACAGTGCGCATCTCCTCGGTGTTGCTAGAGCGCTCATCGTTCCACCACTGATCGTATGCCTCCTCCTCAACAAGCTCAAGTTCATAGAGAGACTTGGCTGTGAACAGAAGCACTGTGTCTCCCTTGTTGCGATTCACAAGATCCTGTTGGAGGAGAAGCAGCAAATCAACCTGATCATTCTTTTGATCCTTGGTGCGGTCAAAGAGGGTGCGCTCAATGACTTCCTTGTATGCGTTAAAGACCCCGTTGACGGCAGGCCCGGCTCCCTTGCCGCCCTCCATGAGCTGCTCGATATGCTTCATAAACGCCTCAACAATAGCCCGACGGACCTGGTTGTCCGAGGCATTGGCAGTCATACGTAATGTGACCAGCTCAAGCTGAACCACGTCCGCTGCCACCCCTTCGCGCAGACTGTCGTACAAGCTGATTGATGCGTCATGGTGGAAGTTGTCTGACTCCTCATCATCAGAGAGTAGGCTCCCTTCAGATTGTCCCCAGGAGTTATCTGAAACATCAGATGAAAGGGTTGAGATAGAGACAGATGAGAGTGAGAGACCTGGCATGCGGTAGACTGAAGAGATAGAATGGTTAGCAAAGGGTTCTCCACACAAATTGCTCCACACAAATTGAAATAGAAGGAATCATACCAAGTCCCGACGAAGCAACGCTCACATCATCGTCGTCATCGTCATCCTCTTCTTCGCCATGGATGAACTCATAGCCCTCACCACCTTCACCAACAACCGCAGGATCGTTCTTGCCCACGGTTCCATCAATCCGTGTCCTTGTAATTCGCTTCCCGCTTTCAATTGAGATACCGTCTGCAATTTTCACGCCGTATGAAAGAAGAGCACCGGCTGCAACGGTACAGTTGTTCCCGAGGACCACGCCGTCGGCAATAATGGCCCCTCGAACATCTACCCCATCGCCAATCACAACATTATCCCAAATGTAGGCACCCTCCAGTTTGACATTGCGGCCAACCTTGCAATTGCGGCCCAGGACGGTGTTCTTGATTTCTGTTCGGTCGCCGATGCTTGTTCCTTTTCCGATAACTGTGCGGCGACCAATCACGCAAGATCGTGCCAGGGTCACGCCCTTCTCTTGATACAAGCTGCCCTTGCGAAGATCATAGGAATGCCCCGGAAGCAAGTTTGTGTCTGGACACAGAGGGTATGTCCAGCGCGCAAGGATATCTTTGCTGATGGCGTCGTAAGCTTTCAGGTTGCGTACGCGTGCAGCATAGTGATCCTTAATGATGTAAGTGTGGAGGGTTTTGCCGTTCAGTTCGTAGTCCTTAAGAACACCGTGCAAGTAATGCTTGCGGGGTGACTGGTAATCGAAACTATCCGACCATAAACTCAGTACATCTGGGGTACAAATATCGATGCTGCAGTCAATCAGATCTTGGCGAATATCGAGCTCAAGGTTTGACAAAATGAGTTCAGAGTCAATGTTCAGACGAGCTGGCTGTTCGTCATGATTATGGTGGTCGATTTCCTCGTAGTGGAGACAGCGGTCCTTGGTAGGGTCAATCACGAAAACTGGGGAGACCGAGGATGACTTGGTCCGATGGTTGAGGCCGGCTTCCCTCAGCACCATGGTCATGATTGCATTCTTGTCGGACTCCCGACGCTTCCGGTGTTGGGCTAGAGCCCCTTCGATAGGCAGGTTGCTGATCACATCGCCGCTCACAACAATGAAGTCTCCAGTGATGAGGTGCTTGCCATCCAGGTCGCGCATAACGTCACCGACGGAAGTAGATGTCGACTTGAGGAAGCTGAGTTGTTTGAAGGGGGATGACAGGGCTCTCCATTTTGAGGCACTAGAGAGCTGGGTTAGCTATGTTTTGTATACTAGAGTCTTCCATTTGTACTTGAGATATTTCTCCAATTGATCTGAATGCGCGCCTCCATAGAGGAACACCTCTTCCACACCTGCATTGGCTAGGAATTCAAGTGTGTATTCGATCAGAGGCGTATTCGCGAGCGGCAAGAGGCACTGTAGGGATTTCGCTGATTAGATTGCAGTCTTGGAGAGGTTCGCGGTTGAAATAACGTACTCGGGGCTTGTCGCGTGTGAACGGTTCAAATCGTGTCTCGAAAGTATCCGCAAGCACCTAAGCATCAATCGACGTCAGTCACCAGGTACGAGTAAAAGGATTGACCAGCAGATAGTCGCGCAGTTTGCGCGACAGCGAAACATACCACCGCCTGGAAGGTCTCTTCCACTTCATCCGCCGTGTTTGTCTTGGGCTTTTGGCCACCCTTCTGTTTAGGGGCCATGACTGGAACCACATCGCTATCAGTATCGTTTTCGTTCTCAAACCACATTGTGCTGGTTGCTGGACTTGTAAAGCAGCGGAGAGCGTGGAGTTATCATACCGTAGGAAAGAATGGAAGATCAATGAGGCCAAGCTCAAAATGTCCTAGAGACTCGTGCAGCTATTGGAACCCTTTGTCGTGCCAGAAATAGCACAATCAGCTCAATGAAAAATCGAGGACTTCGTTATCAATGGAAAGTCACAAGAAAGCATCGGAGTCATCCCGCCTGTTTGTCATGTTTGCACCGTTTGCATGAGTCAATCGTCCTGCCTCAGGCACCAACTTGCAAACAACATGGGAACATTTCCCAACAGCGCTAGTGCTGAATGTCATGGCGAATGATCTTTCCAAGCTTGTTCTGCACTCAAAAATCAATATCACTTTCAACTACTTTCAACTGCAATATGAGAGACGAAAGGGAAAAGTTCCAGTAAATGTGTGTTTGCTGTCTTTATCCGGAGATCACCCAAATCACAGGATTGAGTGCGTTCCACCGGGATTGGGATCTTACTCCCATAATTTCGATTCTGGGTAGCTTCATATGCTATCGCCATCAAATCTGATTGTAGAGTCCGGCGTTTGATGCACATTATGATATTGACGCAGACTTTGTGGCCAATCCTTTGGGTGATTTTACGTACATCATGAATCATCCACCAGATCGGCTGTATTCAAAAAGCTGCTTCTAAGAGTATCTCCTTATCAGATCTCACAGGGAAATTACTCGGCCAGGGTGCTCTTCAGCTAAAACCTCTTATACTGCCACCACATGCTCAAGCAGCACGCTAACTTGTCAATCTGCCCATCACCACAATTGAGGTCATGATGGGATGCTAGTAGATCAGGGTGCTCTTTGAGCAAATTCTTTGTTTCCAACGTTTGAAGGGTTGGCCCAACCACTACATGCTCAATGTGCATTTATCAGCCCCCTGAATGGATATTCGATTGTTCCCCAGATCAGTCCATGAATAGCCAATCATTATAACGAACCAATTACTACAATTTCCTAATGTGATGCACCACGCCCTGTCGGCGACTCTGTCCGAGGTTGCGAGTCCGGGCCACATCCGAGTTCCACTTGAAGCTTCATTCGCGGGGTTAAGGGAATTCTACACCTTTTAAAGAGGATTCAAATTGAAGTGTTTTCTCTCTTGGTATTCAACTTTCTCACCCCATCAGCCAAAGACGCCGACTGTTAGGCCATTGGGTCTCATGATGCGCCATCATATCGTGTACGGCAACGTATGGTGCCGGCAACAGGCACAATGGACCCGGAGATACAAAGCGACCTCGGCCACTGTAGCCTCAAAGAGCTCATCAAAGAGCTCTCTGCCGCCACATTGCTTGCTTCCAACTAAGATGCTCCTACGATCTCTGCTGATCACAACGATATCTTCTCATCGATGGCTATTGACGCCGGCCTTGAAATTTTTGTCGCTGATAGTTCATCCGCGTATGTCTCTGCTGGATGTGAATAAAAACACAATCCTCCATCGAGTTATGAAAACCACATTCTACAACCATTTCTGCGCCGGTGAGAATGGCACAGAGGTCCGGGCTACGATCGGAAACATAAAAGATATGGGCTTCAAGGGTGTCATATTGACATACGCTAGAGAGGTTGTGGTTGATGCGTCCAAAGCATCGGCAGAAACAGCTGCGACCGATCGCGAGCCGGAAGTTTCTACTATTGGGTCGTCGAATAATGCCGACATCGAGGCATGGAGGCAAGGAGTTCTAGAGACAGCTGGAATGGTCGGAAAGGGTGATATTCTGGCATTAAAGTAAGACAAGTCCTTCTCTCTGGCATTTGTTTGTTACTCACACCTGTGACTTAGACTTACTGGTGCTGGGGAGCCAGCAATGCAAGCTCTTGCCGCGAATCAACCTTTGCCAGATCAGATGAGTGCGGCGCTGCAAGAGATTTGTGCGGCTGCGATAAAATGCCAGGCTCGAATCTTCATCGATGCTGAGCAGCAATCCGTTCAACCTGCTATCGATAATATTGCACTTGATCTGATGAAGCAATTTAACGTCGATGGCAAGACCGTGGTCTACAACACTTACCAGGCGTACCTGAAGTCAACACCAGCCACAGTCCTCGCTCATTTGAAACTAGCAGATGACCATCGTTTCACCCTGGGCATCAAATTGGTCCGGGGTGCATATATCGCAGCGGAGCCCCGTGACCTTATCAACAATACCAAGTCTGAAACCGATGACTCCTACAACTCCATTGCAGAAGGTGTGATCAAGCGTCGATACGGAGAATTTGGTCATCGGGACAAGCTATTTCCCTCCACTGAACTCTTCTTGGCCACGCACAATAAGGAAAGTGCTTTGCTAGCCAGCACTCTGATCAATGAGCAGATTTCTATGGGGCTCCCTGTCACCCAAGTTCAGTATGGGCAGCTCCTGGGGATGGCTGACGGGGTCAGTTGTCGACTATTGCAGCTTGGGGGTAGTGACACAGGCATTAGGTCGTCAGCAGCCCCCGAAGTTTTCAAGTGCCTCAGCTGGGGCACATTAGGGGACTGTCTGTCATATTTGTTCCGAAGGGCGGTTGAGAATCGAGATGCAGTCGGTCGCACCAAAGAGGAGTATTTCCAGCTCCGACAAGAGGTTCTCCGTCGCATCAAAACAAGCTTGTCATGAGTTGAGAATGAACCTCTATGCCAAACACAATGTCGATGAACCTAACGGTCAAATGGACATAATGCCCCAAACCTTGGGACTCAACACCTTGTATAGTTCGAAACATCAACGAGAACCCCATATCCATCTTGGACATCCCCCTAGATTGTACTTATGTAGTGGCCTCGAGCTACCACTATAGTTATCCTTTAAATGAACTGACATCGTATATGAAAGCTACTCCGTGCTGGTTACCCTGTCTCACGACGTTGGAATAAACTCCAGAGTCAGGTGATCCATGCATCAGCTCTCCATCTTCTCAAGTGTAGTGTTCTCTCCTCTCGCAACTGTTCAGTATATAGAAAGTGGCCTGTCCTGATCTGCTTCCAACAGTGATATCTCCTTTCCGAGGCTCATTCGTCGCTGCCATCACTGTGGCTCGCACACAGGATTTCCCACATCCACACACGTGGGACCGGCCCGTGCCGCAAGGTCTGTGCCATGAGGCCCACGCCCGTTATCCGCCTCTGTAAGAACCACAGAGCAGAAGGATACTGACAGAAACTAGATATTAACATGCGCGCAGCGAAAAGAAGCCGTATGAATCTTTCTCTTTTGCTCTTTTTTTAACTTTTCGAAATATGAGAGATCTCCTGTGGAAACGACCGAAAGGCATCCCGGGTACGCAGACCCGATTCTCCGGGTACATGTACCCGGGAATGTAGAAAAACCGAGCCTCCATTCGGATGCGACCCGATTATGCTATTGTATTCGATTTTCTGTCCATCAAAATCCAGACCTCGGGCTACTACCGCTATCTCTCTTCGTCACCACAGAGTACAGTCTACTGAGCCTCTAAACCCGAAGGCTCGGATGATAGCCCGAAATACCCCAGGACCAGCTTAGCGATGGAATCTCTACAAATCCGCAGACAAGCGAAAAAGAAAATCCTAACTTCCAATGCGCGATCGACAAATGCGTGAGGGATTTGATATTTCAATCTGCTGAGATGCGCGCTAACATTGATACAGATGCGAGGCGTGTCGCCGGCGCAAGGTGAAATGCTCGGGTGATCAACCCTGCGACGCTTGCGTGAAACATGACTGGGAATGTGTCATCGGAATTACCGGTCGTAAAAGGTACTCCAAGGCGTATGTATCTTTCCGAACGTGTTTCAATCCCTGAGCTAACGCTTCGATAGGCAAGTGAAGAAATTGTTGGACAAGATTGAATCCTACGAGGAACAAATTACGAGGCCAGACCCTAACCCAGCCACATAATTTCAACCTCCATCCGCGTCGCCAGCTTCAATATCTCTTCCAGGTTTGGATGCTCGAGGCTTTAGACCGGAAGATACACCCCGGCATCTGAGCCTCACATCGCCAGGTCCTGGTGTGGATAATAGCAGACACTCTAACCGGAAACAAAATGAGAGCATATCAAGTGATAGTCCAGGTAAACATCACATATCTTGACGGGCTCGAGGATAGACTCACAAGATTCGCAGCAACAGCTCTCACCTCGGGTCCCGCGTTTGTCGCTCAGGTCCGGTCCCTTTTCGATATGCCCAAAGACAAAGCGCCTCCCCGGACAGAAGCGGGGAGTCAAACGCATACCAATAATCATTTGCACTCAGATGAGACCAATCATGTCACCCTTGGCTTAATGCTTTCCCTAGAGCAATCCCAGCATTTGCTGGACCGATTTCTCTTTTACCTCGGTGTCAGCCAGCACTTTTCGACTCACGTTCCTTCTCCGACTCAATGAGCCTGCTTTTCCAATCATCTGAGACTCAGCATGAGCAGAAACAGACAGCTTGGTATACAGAATACCTCTTGGTCATGGCCATGGCCAAGCTGATGGATGTTGAGCAACATACATCCCAGCCTCCAGGGTCAGAGTTATTTACGGAGGCCCTTGGGCGACTTCCGCCATTACATCTATTAAATGATGGCGGAGTGTTAATGGTTGAGATTCTTACACTGATTGCCACTTATCTTCAATGGTGTGATCAGAAAATCGATGCCTATATGCATGTAAGATCTCACCTCTCGCCTGGGCAGAGTCATCATCTTCATTAATAAACGCCGTCAAGATGTCCTAACATTGTTCAGATTGGGATTGCTCTTCGGCTGTCTATTGCTTTGGGTTGCAATCTACCCGAGAACGAACAGACATGCCTTTCTTCTCAAGGTACACACAGACTCAGACTTTGGTGGACAGTCTATATGCTTGACCGGTACGTGCCGTGTGTTACTTATCTCACCTTTTAAACCATTGCCACTCCCATAGAACCATGAGATAGCTGATACATACATCCATAGACGTTTATCATCTAGCCTGGGCCTTGCTGCCGGTGCCGACGAACGGCAGCTGCGAGTTGGGCTTCCGCGACATGCCATAGGGTTTCAATCCCCAGTTGCTCTCACGATAAATATCCGAATTGCGCGAGTCACCGACAATATCATGTCATGTAGGTTGTCTGATCAGCACAAATGCCAGTTTCTTTTTTTCTCTAAAGTTGTTTTGCTTATTGTGATATCAGCTCTATATGGAAATGCCGCTGTCGCACAAGTGGAACTCGTTTGCAAGGTCCAAGCCATCCTGCAAGAGCTATATGATATTGGTCAAGCTTTTCCACGGTCTCTTTCTCTAGACTTTTCCCAACCATTACAAACGGTGACACGTACAGGGGCTTCCCTGTATTTAATGCTCTTCCAGGTCATTCGCCCTTCGATCTTTGCAATATACTATCGATTTACTGACAACTTAGTAGGCCATCATACTATGCACACGGCCTATGTTGCTCCGAAGAGTACGGTTAGAAGTCCGGCGCCAAGATGAATCGCACCCGCCAGAACCTGACACACTGACAAGATTCTGTGACACGTGCATTGAGGCAGCAACCCGAAGCCTCGCAATACTGTATATTCTTCGTCTACAACGAGCTATTCGTAAGTTCTAAGCTCTTGGACTCCCCTCTACTTAGTTATTAGTTTTTATACACACTAACCTATAATTAATCCTTTAGCAAGATATGGGTTTTCGACCTTGAAGCAACATTCTCCGCAGCATTCATTCACATCATGGCAGGCTTCTTAAACAAACCCAAGGAGCAACCAAAGTCATTAGGCCAAGCATTCGAGGTTCTTGGATTCCTGGCTCGATCGGGAAACCCAGCTGCTGGGAAAAGACTTCAGGACATCGCCCAGTCGAGTCTCCATATATGGCCCAATCATAAATTTGATATCCAAGCATCTAATCAATCAGTGGTTGAGAAAGATCCGGATGCAACAGAGCGTGCTCGATGTGAGAATTTGAGGCCACTCCAGCCAAGTCATTTCCCGCAAGACATAATACCATTGTCAGATGGTCATCCATATGGGTTGGACGAGAACTAGTATTCCGAGCCCTGGGATACATTGGACCCTATCACTCCAGTCTTTGACATGCAAGGAGATTTGGCTACTCACAATCCCGGTGAAGCAGAAGTGATCTACTCGAGCTTTTATAATCCGACTCTACCGTTGACGGGAGTAGATTACATGGACTGGCTGGAGATCGAAAAATTATTGAATGCACCAGCGTGCTGAATTTCAAGTGTATATCCACCTGGGCATATGTTCTATTGAAAGATTCGGCTTGAATACTACCTAGGTATTGAGTAGCATATGTACCTCTTGTGCACCAATTGAAAGTGGCACCTGGATTGGAACTTGGCTCATAAGTTTGTCCAGGGCATCCTAAAGCATTACAAGCTCAACAGATCTGTTTCGTATGACGGCTAGAAGGGGGTTACCAAGTGATTTAAGTTGAGGCTCAAGGGGACTTAAATGTTGGCTTATTGCGGATGGGAGGCACACGGAAGTTTGCTAAGCCGCCTAGATTGCGCCGAGCACACGAAGCAGAGTTGGGACTCGAGCAAGGACCCTGATGAAGGGGTAAAGAGAGGGAGGGAAATGACAGTGGGGGTTCCTTAACCCAAGCTGCGTGGTATTTGAGAGACGGGTGTTTTGTAGTATATTTCTCGGACGACAAGACCGATATGAATTTCGGCGCTGAACCGAGAGACAGTGATTCATTCGGGCTCACACCCGCAATCTCGTGAATCCAAATCCTCGGCGGGGAACCAACATTTAAACATTGTCCAAGGACTGTCTTTGTATCTCCACCTACCGCCCAAAGATGTCTGCCAAAGGAAAATCTGTTACTGAGCTCTCTGCACCGCCTATGGACTGGAGAGAGAATGCAAAGGATTTGAGTGCAGGAGCTGCAGGGGGTGTAGCTCAAGTTTTGATCGGTGAGTTACCGCGGTCATGAATACTGCTTGGAAATGTCACTAATGCTAGATTAGGTCAACCTTTCGGTGTGTAAAACGAGAATGCTTGGAACTAGACTGACGCCTGCCAGATATCGTGAAGGTTCGATTACAGACTCAATCTCGTGGCTCAGCACTATCAGCTGCACGAAACATTTGGGCGAAGGAAGGTCCCGCAGCATCTTACAAAGTGAGAAAACATTCTCGGATATCTAAGATTATATTCTAACATCGCCTCAAAAGGGAACTTTAGTGCCACTGCTCGGTGTCGGGGCCTGTGTAAGCTGTCTGCTATGTCTGACGGTGGATCATGCTCATATATCGCATAGGTTAGCATCCAGTTTAGTGCATTCCACAGCTTCCGACAGCTGCTTGAATCTTACAACGATCAAGAATATACCGCCCAGGACCGCAGCCTATCTCACACTCAGTTCTATCTTGCTGGTGATGCAGCGGGGCTGACAAACAGTGTGATATCTGGGCCGGTGGAGCATCTTCGGATTCGTTTACAGGCCCAACCGCACGGTGCTGGTCGATTGTATGCAGGACCATGGGACTGTGCTAGTACAATCATGGGTCTCGCTGGTCCGGCGGGGCTCTATCGTGGCCAGGTTGTGACTCTTCTCCGTGAATTCCACGGTTATGGTGTGTGGTTCGCTGCATATGAAGGTATGCTCGCAGTGTTGCAAGAAAAGACCCAGAAGAAGCGCGAGGAACTGCCCAGCTGGCAAGTCGCTGTCTGTGGCGGTCTTGCTGGCGAGGCATTGTGGCTTCTCAGTCATCCACTGGATGTGATCAAGAGTAAGATGCAAAGTGATGGCTTTGGCTCGGATCAGAAATACCGCACTATGAGGCATGCGTTCCAGCTCACCTGGACTACCAGTGGCATCAGAGGTTTATTCCAGGGCCTCGGTCCGGCGCTAATGAGAGCTATGCCAGTCTCCGCTGGCACATTTGTGACGTGAGTAGAATCACTCCGAGCCAGGAAGCAATGCAGAGTTACTGACTGTGAAGTAGGGTTGAAATGGTCCGCAAGCTACTAGCATAGACAGGTCGAATTTGATTTTGCATCCTTGTTTAGCCGTGGGGTAATTTGCTCTATCCGATCTATCAATTAGTAAATCAACTGAGGCTGATGTAGTTCGGTCCCAGCCACCATAAAACCGGTTCAGATCCGAAGTATAGAAAGAGGTCCCTCCAAAGTACCAAAGTCACATGTTCCTATCTCACTTTCCGTCTTCGGCATCTGAGAATTCCCCAGTTAGCGACTTTTATCCCTCAAAGCTAGCATGAATGACGTGATTGATTGGATTGATTCACTGTGGCATGCAATATACACGCCTCCGAATCCCAATCGATAATGAATGGGGAGTGCACTCAATGCACAACCTGACCTGCTCTTTTCACTTAACAAAATACCTTTGACAACGCTAAAATTGGACGACATCCCGTGTCTCTGGGTGGCAAGGTTTCAGGAATGCAGGGACCTATTCCTGTATCCATGAGGCCACAACTTAGGGCACAGATCTGTCCCAGGCCCAAAGGAGCAAACAGTGCAAACGAAGCAAACACGACCCAAGACATCAAGGGCCCAGACCTCCTGGGACCTTCCAGGACCTTAAGGCCCAGGCCCTTTCGGATCTCTTAAGAACGATATTAAGGTGGAATTCTAGACTCCCCCTGCAGTTCGTGCAATCTCGGGCCCGTCCCGCCAACATCGCGGAGCCGTCACACTTTTCGAGGTATACTCCCGTTACCGGGGGTTATCCGGATGAGTACTAAGTACTGAAAATAACTACATTGTCGACATTCATCCACGGGTCTACATCTTGCTGATGTGTTCAGGTACGAGTCTCCAAAGGTATGAACGCGTACTACTTGTACGAGAAAATGCATCTACGGATACACATAACGTGGAACAGAAAATGAAAAAAAAAAGAATATGTTTGTAAATATGTACCGGAAGGTCGCCTCGGCAGTAAATGTATGAGCGCACGGTGGATATAGCTGACGCAGAAACAGTCGCACAAGTTCGCCACCCAGTCAAACCAACCAACGCCAGGGCCTGTAATAAAAAAAAAAGTTTGCGGCCAAGACATCCGCGAAGAGCAAGGGAGAAAATATGTAATTTGGAATTTGAAACCTCGTTATAGACAAGTGGGAATCGTGAGTCAATAGACAGGCGGAAAGGGGTTGGAATATAGCAAAGCGCCGGCTAAATTTAGCCGGGTCGGCCAGCTTGCATGGCAAGCATAGGCTGAGGTTGTGAGTACATGCGCTGGCGCTTGGGCATGTTGGGGTTGTCTGTAGCGCTGGACATGTCTGAAATCTGACGGCGATGTGGAGGACGGACAGGAGCGCCCGCGGTGGGGACTCCCACGGGAGGTGGTGCAGGATATTGGACGCCGTTCTGATCAACAGTATATGCCGTCGGTGGGGCGGTGACGTATGGGCCTTGAACTGCGGGCATGTTCGTTGGTACAGCCTGCATGTTTTGGAATTGACCGGGCGATTGCCAATTGTTCATAGACCCGGCAGGTGACTGGCCTGGGGAACTGTCTTCCTTGATCGATTGGGTCGCCGAGTTTTGGGCGGCGGTTGCGAGGTTCACAGCCGTCGCAGAAGGCGGTACCTGCTCCATCCCAGGGGGATTTTGAGGAGAGATCTTAAGATGGTCCAGGTGTCTCTCGAGCATGTCGAGAAGACTTTTGCGAGTAAACGGTTTGGGAAGAACATCATCCATGCCTAGAGCCAATCAATGGATATCCTTGCGTTAATGGAATACATGAACTTACCATGTTGAAAGTATAGTTGAATGTCGTCGCTTCGGATATTCGATGTCATAGCGATGATAGGAGTGCGGTCAAACTGGCGAATGAGATGACATGCCGATACACCATCCAAATTTGGCATTATGATATCCATCAGAATAAGATCGTATTTTGAGCCACCCTGGATTTTGTTCACAGCTTCCAAACCGTCGAACTAGAGTCATATTAGCAAACCCCCCAATCAGTGATAGTAGGAAACATACCGCTGTATCAATCACACAGGAGAAAGAGTAAAGAAATTTCCCGCCAATTTGCCTGCAAGTGGCGTCATCTTCAACCAAGAGGATCTGGGGACTGCGAACCCAGCCAGGATCAACGTTGTTGGTCTTCTTCCGGTTGTCGGGGAATTGCCGACGAGCGTCTGAAGGATCCACTTCCTGTTTGGGTGGCATTGGGTAGGGGACGTTGTTGATGTGTTCGCTGTACATGGGATCGATGCCATTGGTGGCACCAACGGGGTATACCACTTGTTCCAAGTCGCCAGCCATCTTTGGGTAAACGAGAGCCTGTGCCTGTGCCTGTGCCTGCTGAGCTTGATTGGGATTGGGTGGCGCAACATTTGCTGGGCGGAGCGAGCCGTTTCGCGCATTCGGGTCCATTGTAGGGGTTGAAACAACAGTGGTCTTTTGGGGATCGTTCATCGAATCGGCGCCGTTAATATTGAATTGCAGCTCGGCGTTCATGTCACTTAGGAGCTTTGAGGCCTGCTGTAGGGGCGATGAGGGCTCATCGTCCACGGCTCCAACCTGGGAAGGGCTCATTGTCGTCCCGGACGCTTGGAAGGGCACCGCCTTGCTATCCCGTCGTTGGCGATCCATCGAAAGCAGATAATTCATCACCTGGTGAATCACGTTTTCATGGTTCAACACCGTCTTCTGGACGCGCATGACCTCCTGCAGCATGAGCTGATGATCCACCGAGAGTTGGGCATAACGGTCCGAGAGGTGCTGAATCTGTTGCTGCTGGGCCACAATCTGTTGGTTAAGCAGGTCAATTTGTTGTGTCGGCACAGATTCTTCGTTGCTCTGTGTTTGTTTGCGCGGTGCGGGTGCTTTACGTCGAATGTTGTCGAGAGACTCTTTGCTGTTGGCGCGAAATTCAGGGTGCTTGAATTCCCATGCCTGTGTTCCTCGTCAGAACCGCGGACCAACCAAAATTTCTCCGGGTGTGACCTACATTTTGCCCGTACGGCGACTGGCCGTTCTCCTCATTGTTCTGTCGCACCTTGTGGAAATCGTATTTGTTCAGTTGTCGCACAAAACTGGCGAAGTTGCTGTGTTTGAAGTGCTTCGGTAGGATAGTTTTGGTAAATTTTTCACACTGTGATGAAATTAGCTCTGGGGGCAAGATTTCGCGAACTGCCACGGGGGCGCATTACCTCCAAGACCACAAAACTATCTCCTTCATCGCCCCAGCGTACGATGGACGCGTAGGTCGGGTCCTCCAGCATTCTAGGTCATGTTAGAGCCGAACGGAGGGGGATCAACGGGCAGGCGCCAGGAGTCACCAGGGAGGCGCCAGGAGAAGGATGAAGCTGCAAACTTACTTGTACAATTTGCGTACCTATTCATGGTGAGTTATTGAATAATAAAAAAAAGGGTGTAGGATCATCACATACAAAATCACTGGAGTTCCCAGCGGGGGCGGGATTGGAAGAGGTCTGGCCACCGTCCATGCTGGGCTAGACGGGTCGCGACCGGTCGAACAAGCAGTCTGGACTCGTCCCAACACGGATAAACTTGATTGTAAATATAACGAGAACAGTGAGCAGCAAGCAAGCAAGCAAAAAGCAAGAGCGTAGGGGATATCCGCCAGACCTTCTCGGAGGGTGGGAAAGGGAAAAAAATGAATGAATAATAATGGGGGGTCTAGCGGTAGAGCCAAGTACCAAAGTTACTGTGGAGGTACTGCCTGGTACATGCGATGTACTTTTTCCACGGTTCTTTGCCCAATTTTTAAAATAAGAAACAGATGATTTCATCTATTTATTTTTTGACATTGTGACATTTGCTCCATGCAAGGGCTATTGTCCAGGAATGGTATGTTCGTCCCGTAGGGTATCATGATACAAGGACTACTTGAGAGGTACTGAACTGACTAACAGTGTAAATCTTCATGTTTTTCTATTCGCCATTGACATGCGTCAACATGTCAGTGCGCAGATGGCAACGTGGGTGAGACAATCTCCAGAAGACACCGTACACGACAGAGACTAAAGAGACCTTTTCCAGTTCAAGCTAAATGCTCTTTGTTCGTTGCTCCATAAATTCGGACCTCTCAGATGCTCCGTAATCAACAAAACCTTGGATCTGTTCCTTGGAATCGAACAGGTTCATATCGTTTAATTGATTAATTTATCTAAATTGATTAGGAGGCTTACCCGAGAGCCGCGTTATTAAGCGATTTAAGGACAGCCTTGACATATAGCTATCTCACAGAATATCCAGGGCTGTCAATAGACTTATACTTATGTAGAGTACGTGTTCGAGGTCTGTACCTGTTACGGAACATGGAGTATTATTTCTCAAGGTTGATTCGTACCATCCCGTACTCATTACTCCGAAGAAGTCTACCGAGGCCCACCTGGGCACGTATCGCAATGACGATGGCTATCGCGGCAGATGGTTACGATCATACTTCTGTACATCTATCTTCAGATGCACTCCAGCTGTTGACCCCCGGCTTGACACCATGTTGAACTAGATGATGACTGCGTCCTTCAGCAGGGGTTGAACGATCCACAGTGTGACAGTGCAGGGTCCAAACACGTCATGGAGGAATAGGATGTGAGTACATATCATCCGATTCGAGGGTGTAATGCGAGCCCTGTCTTTTGGAGAGGCACATATCATAGGCGACAGCTCATATAGGTGGTACTACAAGCAGTACTGCGGTACCCGCGGTATAGCCCCCGCAAGTCGCACTGGACGGAATCGATGCAAATCTGAAAGAAAGGAGAGTTAGATGGCATTGGAGAGTCAAATAGACAAAACTAAAGCGAATCATCGCAGGGTAATAAACCGAAGCAGTTAAGCAGGCCTTAGCCGGTAAAAACAGAGGTAAAAACAGAGTTGCCAAATTTATGCAGCCGATAAACGGCCATGACGAAATCGAAGCTATCTGACCCGAGTGTCCGGTTCTCCTACATCGTACTCCGTACTTCTTACATCTCCCCTACTCCTTACTCCGTACATTCACATAACCACACAATCACCATGTTCGCCGCTCGCCGTCTCGCAAACATTCCCCGCGTTCGCGCACAAGCCTCTCTCTTCCACAGCACCGCGCCCGCGTTTGTGCAAAAGGGCGACGCCATCCCCAACCTCGACGTCTTGGTCGAGAACTCCCCCGGCAACAAGGTCAACCTTGCCAAGGAGATCAAGAACAAGGCTGTCATCATTGGCACCCCCGCTGCCTTCAGTGCGTGACCAATACCTTTAGCAAACAAATTCCCCGATCGGGACTGACCCTCTGCCCAGGCCCCGCGTGTTCCAGCACTCACGTCCCCGGCTTCATTAACCACCCCAAGCTCAAGGAGGCGGGTCAGACTTTCGTCATCTCCGTCAATGACCCCTTCGTGTAAGTCATTCTGGTGCGATACGAGGGTCCTAGAGCCCTCCACGGGAGATTTCATTGACACAATTTGTATAGGACCAAGGCTTGGGCTGATTCCCTGGACCCCCAGGGCAAGAGCGGTGTATGTGCTTTGATCTATCTATGATACTGGTGGATAATTACTAACTTCTTTACTTTGTTAGGTCCGCTTCCTTGGCGACCCCTCCGGCAAGTTCACCGAGGCCCTTGAACTCAGCTTCGACAGCAGCGCTATCTTCGGTAACAACCGCAGCAAGCGTTACGTGCTCCTTGTTGAGGATGGAAAGGTCAAGGAGACTTTCATTGAGCCCGACAACACTGGTCTTAATGGTAAGCCTGCTGGTCCCCCGTCCAGCCTATCGTTCTATGCTAACATTGATCGCAGTCTCCGCCGCCGAGAAGGTTCTTGGCTAAGTCATTGTAGCAAGAGCTCCATGTAGAACACTTGCAATTAGTAAAACAACATGTAATGTCATCGCAAGGCTTGAAATTTGGCTCTCCGATCCCTGCACTATGATTCGTAGCGCGCAAGAGTTTAATATACAGATTTCCGTCCATTCCAAACCGGCCAACGCCTTAATAATCGATGCCAGACAATTATAGCCAAGCTCATTCTTGTATTCATTCGGTGCGCGATTAGGTTTTCATTGGCTGATCCTTCGTCTGCCGGCCAAGGTCTTCTGGAAAGAAATATCTATGAAGTCATGGTTCATCATATGGTGCAGAGTCCAATTACTGCTGCAGGGCTTGCCACTGCTCGGGGGTATAGCACTTGGGAGTCCAAGCATGGATGGCAGCGATCTCGGCCTTGAGAGCAGAGTTGACAAGACGGTGTCGAGCAAGCATAGTCTTGCTCTCGAATTGAGGGGAGACAATCACAGCCTGGAATGCCTGTCCACAGCCACCTAGGTAAAGACAAGCGCATCAGTAAGATTGATCGACCGAGAAAAAGGAAGAGAATGCCCCTCGACGTCATAGGCATCATTTTTCGGTTTCGTACCAGACAGATCCTCGACCTCCACATGCAGCGCCTGTAGCGTCTCAGTCAACTTGTTCTTCAGAGAGTCGGCAGTGATTCCAGATGTGTCGGCCATGGCGGCGTTGATGGCGGCGTGAGAGCGCGCGGTCAGAGAGAATGCCCGGGTGGGAACTTGAGGGCGGAGAAGATAGCGACAGCTTCTACTCAAGACGGTCAAGGAGGAGGCGCGGGAGAACATCAAGTATGGCGAGGAGGAGGGGAGGAGAGAGTGAGAGATGGACCCGAGGTTATCACGAAGTATGGAGTTTCAGAGCGTTTGGGTTCATTACAAATTGAGAGCCTCCGTGTGGCTGGTGGGTGGCACGTGTTTGTGTGGCTCATTCTGCACTTGCTCTCTTCGTCCGGAGCGCAATTACTACACTCCATGAATTTATTTCGCACTGCTGTTCGTCGATACTCTACAATGAATATCTCCAAGATTTCCACAGAATGTTCGCCTTTCACCCAGGCTGTGGTGACTTCCATGAGGAAGCTGTAAATCTTCCCCCTCGTTTCCAAAGCTCCCCGCATTTTATGGAGCTAGGTTTGACCTCAAGTGCAGATATCCAGAGGCATTGGCAGACAAGAGCTTTGATAACACGGGATGTATGTCTATATGCAATCCAATTGACTCGAAAATTTTGTACAAAATGCTAACATTAGACCAACCAGTACTTCTCGAAGCTCCGTTGGACCCATCTCGGCGGCAAAAGAACTCAGCCCTTCTAACCATTGACCTCACCAAAGCCGTCGCAGACGAAGCAATCAAAAACCAAAACTCGGTTATCGTCGCTTATCGTATGTCCAATCCATTTTCACCAAAAACGAAACAATTGCCACTGCACATGTCCAAGTCGATAAACCCACTTCCTAACACAAAACAGACCCAATCATCTTCCGCGGTCTCAAGTCCCTCACCTTCGCCGACTCCCAGCAAAAGTCTCTCCTTCGCCTAGCTCAGCATGGAATCAGCGTCTACTCCCCACACACAGCCGTCGACACAGTCCCGGGCGGTATGGCCGACTGGCTCTGCGACGTAGTGACAGGCAATTTCAACGCTCAGCCCTCCAAAGCAACTACCAGCGAATGCCAGTCAACCATGTACACTGCCCCGAGCTATCCAGAATCACCTATCCCCACAACAAACGTTAACCCCCAACACCCACCCCACAGCAGAAGCACAATCCACCCCTCCCCGGCAGCCTCAATCCCCGAAGGCTTCGAGTCAGCCGGTGCCGGCCGTCTAGTCACCTTCGAGACACCCCAGTCGCTGACAAGTCTGATTGACAACGTCGCCCGCGGTATCGGCATGCCTGGTGGAATCCCCATTGCCATCCCGCAAGGTAGCTCAGTTGACCAGATCCGCATCCGCACAGTAGGCATGTGTCCTGGGTCTGGATCTGGTGTTCTCATGCGTGGTGGCGAAATCCCCGATCTTCTCCTGACCGGTGAAATGAGCCACCATGAGGCCCTGGCTGCGACGGAGCGAGGCTCGGTCGTCATCTCACTTTCCCACACTAATTCTGAGCGCGGATATCTGCGCTCGGTTATGCACCCTAAGTTGTTGGAGGAGGTTAAGCAGTGCTGGAATGCATTGCATGGCGAGGCTGTGAAGGATGGAAGTCCTTCTCTTGAGGCTGACTTGGTTAAGGTGCATCATACTGAGGGCGAGGTGCAAGTTTCAGTCAGTCAGGCTGATCGTGATCCTTATGGTATCATGATCTGGCGTGGCGACTAGGTTGCTTGAGCTATTTGCTTTGGTTCTCGACATAAAAGTCGAGGTAGGAAATCATGTTGAAAAAGAGAATATATTTGAACACCACATGGCAGATAACTGTACTCTGTAGCTGCAAACAAATAGTACTTAAGTATTCGAACAAAGCAAAGAACAATCCACATTGAGCATTGACTCGCCCGAGGAATCCCGTGTGCAACCCCGGTGGACCTGGGGATTTACAATACCCTATATAGTAACTATTTGCTAGGTGCTAATTACTAGGCGATAGAGGGTAATCTGGTAAGATCTCAAAAAACTTGTTGGGAAATGAGAAGGATATCCTAGTAGCAGACAATGACACAAACAAAAGAAACTGCCTTGGACGGGAGAGGATCCAAGACAATGATGAAAGACCCGAGTTGAAAATCGACCATAAGAAATGACACCGAGTCGTGAGCCTCACTGCACACACACTACCATCCATAGACGTAGGAGGACTGAGAGACTCGAGTTGGAGTAAGGATAGGGAGAGAAAGGAAGAAACAATGAGACTGGGTGGAAGCAGATTGGTTGACCACGCCTCGATAGAACAAAAGGGAGAACATGGAAAAAGAAATAATGGTATGTATTCGCATTGCCCTATAGCAGGCAGCAATGGGATGAAAGGCCCAGTCACTTCATTACAGGTCAATCAAGCTACCTCCACCCCGCTGCTGCTGCTGACTTGCCCAAGGGTTGTTGGTGGTGGGCTGTTGCTGCACATAGCCCGTTTGCTGGGGCATTCCAGTGAACTGCTGTTGCATGTATGGGTTTCCGGTAGGAGTGGCGTGTAGACGGTCCAGACCCTGACCGGCAGAGTTGACAAAGGTACCTGGTGCTGTGTGTTGCGCGGGAATGCGGAGATCTCCAACGTTTCCGAATGTGTCCTGGCCTTCGCCTGACCCGAGAAGGGCGTTCAGACGAGCATGATGAGGGTCGTGAGATTGTGGAGGGGTGCTCTTTGGTGGCTGTGGGGCTTGGAAGTTGGCAATTGGGTTGGGTTGGGCGGGCTGGGCGAATGGCTTCTGGGCGTATGGGTTCGCATTGTTGTGGGAGAATTGGTTTGTGGTGCGATCCTCCGCCAGAGAGTTCAGAGAAGGAGGGCCGGTCTGCGCATGGCTGCTGAACTGCGTCTGTGTACGTTGCGCGAAAGGGTTGTTGGATCCTGTGGGCATCGGTCTCAGGGCATCGGCAGGCTGCAATGACTGCTGCTGTGGCTGGTTCCCAGACCACGGGTTGTTGCTGCCTGCAGACTGGTAGTTTTCCTGGGGCTGCTGTTGCTGTTGCTGCGAGAAAACATCACCTCCTCCGTAGGGGTTATTAGGGTTGAATGAGGTGTGTTGGGGCTGAAGAGTAGCCTGGGGTTGCAAAAAGTTGTTTTGAGCCTGGCCGTATGGGTTCTGGTCGAAGCCCGTGGGCTGGTTTTGGAAACCAGTGGCATAAGGGTTGTTCATGCCTGTGGGCTGGTTCTGGAATCCTGTTGGCTGTGCGTACTGGTTGTTAAGGAAGCCAGTAGTCATGGGCTGCTGTGCATTGATCGGGTTGCCGAACCAGTCCACAGCGCCTTGTTGCTGGTAGCCTTGGTTGTAACCAGTTGGCTGGACTTGTGCCGGGGTACTATCGTCAAAGAGAGACTGCGCATTACTCTCTTCCAACTCGCGCTTTCGGAGGTCCTCTTCCTCCCTGCTGAGCTTGATCGCCTTGGCAAGATCCTCGTCGTTATCGACTCCCATTGTCTCCTTCGCTCGTCGCCTGCGCTCATCCTCGGCCTCGGCTTTGCTGGCTTCGATAGCCAAGCGGTACTCGGTATCGGAGTCTTCGTCTCCATTGCGCCGGCGTCGCTCTCTGCGTGGTGGTTCGGCGCCCTGGTTTCCGTAGCCTTCGTCGAGTCCGCTTACACGCGTCTTCCAAAGTTTGCGATCGGATCGTTCACTGCGCAGTCGGTCCTCGTCCAATACCAATGCGGTCAATTCTTTGGCAGCAACACGGACTACCAGGCATCGACATGTCAGTTTCGCGACACCTCTCAATCTCAGTGTGAAGACGACTTACCGTTCTGTCCAACATCCCTTCCTTCCTCGTCGACATATGTGAACTCCCGCAGAGTCTTGATGATATAAACGTTTTTGCGAGCCCAGGTTACCACTAATTCCGAACCCTCGTGGAGACAGTAATCCAGAACTTTCAGAGACTTGAGAACATGGCGCCAGTTCTTGCCCTTATCGTTGAGTCGCTTGTCAAGCATGTCCATGATTTCGTAGAACTCGTTTGGGCTATACGGATGCAGGTGTCATTAGCGGTATCCACACGATGGGTCGCGAGTCGGCCTTACCTCCCGAAAGTCATGGCGGCAATCTCGGACATGTCGGTACCCGTAGGGCCCCAGGGATCATTACTTGTGGCTAAAGAGCGAAAGCATTAGCATCTCAGTCACAATCGTGCGCGGGGGTGACTGGGGTGACTGGGGCGTTATACAGCCCCAAAGCGGCAAGGGGACGATGAAGGCAACGGCCCTGCAGCGAATGCGCCCGGATTTGAAAGGCTCGCCGAGAAGGCCGATAGGATTGTAGAGCTCATACCATTGCGGACTTTGACCTGCACCGAGGAATATCCCTTTGTGACGTTCTTCACGCTTCGCACGACTTTGGACATGGTGTCGGTGATGCGACGGTCGCGGGGTCAGGTAAGATTGATTGTTATATGGCAATCGATGTAAAAGAGAATCGCAGTTCAGGCGTACGGGACTGCCAAGCACACACAGCCCGCTCTCGTTCTCCGGATCGCGGCCCAAGACGGTTGGTAAGCGCGTTGAGTCGGGTACCTCCTGTTCGCAAGGGGACAGGCTGGCAGATTGGTGACTCAAAGAAAAGAAGAATTGGACTTTGGGCCAATAGCACGGGTTGAAAGAGATGGAAGAAGAGGAAGATGGAGAGGGGACTGTGGCTGGAACGGGGGGGAACAGAGCCTTGGCAGTGACGAAGCAGTTTGTACCGGATGCACTCCAACTCTACTCAGTCAAGATCTACAACTATGACAACGGAAGATTTTTCACCACTTCGAAGATCCAAATGAGAGTGAAAATGGAACTGAGACTGAGAAGGAAGGGAGAAAAAAAAAAGGGAAGTTTGGTCTGGGATTCGGCTAAAGTACCTACTCGGAAGGTGACAATCTACTTAGTCGACTTAGTCTACGGAGTTTAGTATGCCGTGGTCAGATCTCCGGCGACATTGGGTCTGTCTGATTCTTTAATTCCGTGCAGATAGCCCCAAGTTCCAGTAGAGCTCAAAGATTTATCACTCGACTCAGCCTTGCAATTCCATTACTCCATGATGTACTCTGTACGGAGTACGGGGTAGGAACCTTGGAGGTTTGACGCAGTTGCAAACCCTAAGTATCTCGGCGCCACAAGTGGCAATCCTGCCGCGCAATGTCGATGTCTCAGGCAACAGTCAACAGGCAACAACTCAGTTCTTATGCCCAGAGAAATGGTACCTGCACTACACTACGAAGTACAGAATACGGAGTCTGCGATGAGCTCTTGGCCATTTAGGGGATGCATTACGTCATTCCTTCTAGAACTCGATGTTCTTGGCATTTGATAGCAATGTGTGCAGCTGGATCGGGACAATGCCTTAACCTTCAATTGGGGTAGAGAAACATTCTGCGACGCCTTTGATGAACTCCTGGTTTTGCATTCCATTCACCCACTCACTGGGTATGGATGCAATCCCATAGAAACACCCTGCAAGGCCCCCGTAGACAGCTCCGGCGGTGTCGGAATCACCTCCCAGATTGACGACAGCCAAGGCGCCCTTCTTCCACGAGTCAAACTTGAAGAAGGCCCATAAAGCACATTCAAGGGTGTCGACAACCCACCCACTACTTGTCATATCACCGGGATGTTTCGCCCTCCAATCCTCAATGGACTTGTATTGCGATATGCGACCTTGAAGGGCAGGGTGTGTGAATGGAAAGACAGAAATTGTGTCAAAGAGCTGCTGTTTTGTCTTGCCTATCGATGTGTTAGTTGTATGCTCAGCTCAACCATGAGGACGAGACAAAAACAAGGGAGGGAGAAAGAAAGAGTACTCACCATTCATAATCCCAGCCACCAATTCCGTGTATGCCTCGCAGGCCTCCACACACGGCAGCGAAGGATGAGTGACCCGACTCTGCTCTCTGGCGATTTTCCTTGCCATTTCAACATCTCGCCAGAAACACACCCCGATGGGAACGATCCTCATCAGACTTCCATTTCCTGAACTCTCCTCGCGATCCAGTTGTGAATCAATGGAAGCCTGGGCAAGTCTCATATCCCGCAGCCCAGAGTTCTTCCAGATCTTCAGCGCTGTACGAGTTGATCGTCCCATATCCCATGCGCGATTGATGGTGCTGAAACGACCTTCGGTCATCCACTGGACGTAGTGTTGGATTGAGAGCTCATGGTTGTATTGCATGTCTGACTTGAATAAAGAAGTCGCTAAGGCTAGCGTCATGGACCCGTCGTCGGAATAGGAACTGGTCGAGTTAGACATGTCTTCTCTTCTGCTGGTGAGACTTACCCGGCCGGTTGTTTGAAAGGAGCAACATATCTCAAGTCCTTGATTGGTTCGAATGTTCCTGCGTCTTTGAACTGAACTGGGCCACCTAGGGCATCGGCTACGCAGACACCCCAGATGGCGCCTTGGGCTCGGGATTTCAAAGAAAGGGACATATTCAGAGGTTCTTCGGTTGTCAGTGGTGAGCTTGGTGTTGGGATGTGCACGAGGACGAGTCAATATAAGGTGTGTGCGACGAACCTTGAACCATGGAATTATCTCTGAGTCACATATATGGCGCAGTGAAACGGCAGCCTTGCAAGGAAGGATTGTACGAGTGTGGGCAACAAGGTCAGCTCCACTCGTATTCATTTCTTGGGTTCGAGGCTCAACAGGTAGCTGCGGCCGGGCCCATAGCTTGGCCGCACTGCCACTTTGGGACCTATTCTGCGACCCCTGTATTAGACTGGAAAATGCTTCACATAGTACGAGAATAGGGAATATTCTTTGATAAATCTATCCCATCTTAGATACTTTGCTTTTATCTTATTTACTTGGGGGGCCAGACAGTGTCTTTCCAAGGTCGCCCTTTGGTCTCCTTCGCCAAGTCCTCTAATGTCTTCCACCTCCACAGCCGCTGACCTGGATTGACCAATTCATTGTCATTGCCCAAGCCATCGAGGGAATGGTTTATATTTCCATCGCTCATCAGAAAACGCAAATAAGCAGCGGGGTCCCACGAGGCTTCTGACGTTGTCTGCGCCTTGTATGCCTGGTAAGGAATCTCCGCCACCTCAATTTGCCCCGCACCGGCCGCCTGCATGATCGACGCCACCTCAGCAATAGAGCGAGTATCGCCTGCAAGGTGAACAATCTCGGGGATTTCCGCCTCGGGCAGGGTCGCCAGCGAGGCAACTGTTTTGCCGACATCTTGTAGTGCGGTAAAAGAGATCGGCGAATGCGGGGGCCCCACGCTGGTATATTTCCCATTTTTGGTGTCTAGACCAAACCACGGCCCGATGCTGTCTTCTAGAAATAACCCGCAAAATATCCGACAGATTTTCATGTGTGTCACGACAGGCTGTGCATTCGCAAGATGTTTCTTCTTCTCATACCACTCCAGATGGTTGAAGTCGTGACCGTAATGGTCGACGCCAAATTCAGACGGGAAGTATACCCGGACACCGGTTCGAGGCAACGCAGCTGCTATTTTGGTTTTGAATCCGTGGCCTTCGGGTCCGATCGTGTTGACGAGGATTTGGACGCCTTGCAGGGCGTCTTCAAGGTTATCTTCGTTGTAGGCTCGGGTTGTAACCTTGACACCGGACCGAACTTCGGACGGCTGGAGAACGCTTGGCTCTTTTCGAGATAGAAGGATGATCTCGGAGAATTTATCATAGAATGCAGAGGATAGAAAGGCGTTGGTGACATGCTTGCCTAGATGCCCGGTGGCTCCAGCAATGGCAACAACTGGTCCTGTCTGAGGGGTCATGTTGGAAACAGGTAGCAATATTGAAATGACCACAAAGTATTCAAATGGTGTAGAGGGGAATTGGTCTCTCAACTTATACTTTGCCATTTAGACTACTGGTGACGTCACTGACAAATGGGCCAAACATCACAAACAATTGAGTCCCGTCTTCTTCGGGTCTGATTCGACGGGGATGTTTGCATTGTCCATTTACGGTGGAGGTTAATGGTCTATACGGAGAAGCTTAGAAGCTTAGGAGAAGCTTAGGTATTCCCACATACAATCGTGTGTCTCTTTCATCAAGCTCTATAATACTCAAGAGAACAGCATAGCAGAATTGGAAGCGCTCAACGTTAGACGCCACATTAAAGCACCTAGGATGCTGTTCCGTAAAATGCCCATTATAGACATGTTCCAATCAATTGAAAACCCAGTGTATATTTGAACACATGTGAGGTGAGTCCAGTACACCCGGTTTGTGTTTGCCCATATTTGCCAACCAAAATCATTCATCTATTGCTTTTCCATGCTGAGATACTTCGCCTCGGCCCCCTTGATGCAAGCAATGTTCGCGCCAAGCTTGTTGATCGTCTCCATATATTCATCATAGGGATCAGAGTCAAAGACGATACCACCACCAGCCTGGAGGTAAGCAACTCCGTCCTTGACCATCATAGTTCGCAGGGCAATACAGGTATCCATGGCACCAGGCAACTCAGCGGAGCCGTCCGCATTGGCGCTGTTGTAACCAAAGTATCCAACGGCACCAGCGTAGACGCCGCGCTTCTCGCCCTCCAGCTCAGCAATGAGCGACATGGCGCGCACCTTGGGTGCGCCGGAAACTGTACCCGCAGGGAAGATAGACCGGAATGCATCAAATCTCGTCATACCTGGGCGCAGAACACCTGACACCTGAGAAACCAGGTGCTGGACGTGGGAGAACTTCTCCACGACCATGAGTCGGTCAACTTGTGTGGTCGTGGGGTCGCAAACACGGTTAACGTCGTTGCGGGCGAGATCGACCAGCATGACGTGCTCTGCGCGGTCTTTGAGACTGCTGCGGAGTTCGGCGGACAGAGCATCGTCTTCCTCTGCGGTTTTGCCGCGCTTTACTGTGCCTGCGATGGGGTGACTGATAATGCGGCCGTTCTCTTCCTTCACGAGAAGCTCGGGACTAGCCCCAACCAGCTGGAAGTCCTGGCAATCGATATAGAAGAGATAAGGGGAAGGATTGACGGTACGAAGGTGGCGGAAGAGGTTATACGGGTGGAGAGAGGTGGGTCGTGATAGTCGCTGTGATGGCACGGTTTGGAAGATATCGCCCTTGGCGATGTGCTGTTTCAATTTGTTGACATGGCCTTCGTAACCATCCCGTCCGATGTTAGATGTGTATTCCTGGTCGGGGACAATGGGACCTTGGGGAGGCAGGGGTGTGCGGTCCTGCAGTAGAGTCTCAATTGTCTTTTGAATAATTTCTTGGCCCTTAAGGTATGAGGCCTCGATGTCGGCGTCTGCCGAGGGGATAGGTACGTAGGTGATAACCTTCACGACCTGGAAGAAGTGATCAAACGCAACGATGGTATCGAAAAGCATGAAGAACGACTCAGGTACTCCGAGAACATCCTTCATCGGCCGTGCCGTCTTGGGCTCGAAGTATCTCACGCAATCATATCCAACATATCCGATCGCTCCAGCAGTCAGTGGTGGTAGGACCAGTCCGGGAACTGTTGCGACACGGAATTGAGAGAGCTCTTCCTCGAGGTATGGGAGGGGGTCCGCTGCTGGGCCATGGCCTTCGCCAGTTTTGATGACCTTTCGGGGGTCTGGATGGCAATATGTTAACAATGGCACCGAGCAAGAGATTGACGACAAAACTCACCTGCGCCAACAAAGCTGTACCGCCCAATAGTTTCCGTAGTAGCAGCACTCTCATACAAGAATGAGAGCCGCGAACTATATCGGTTAGTGCTTCTGTTGTTCGATGTTTCCGCCCCCACACTATGGATGCCACAGCAGAAAAGTGCCTGATGACTCACTTCTCGGCAATCTTCAAGTAGGCAAGAGTCGGGGTCAACAGGTCGCCAGAGATTGAGGCGGTGACAGGGAGGAGGTTAGGAGGGAACTCGGAGTTTCTCGATTTCGAGATCACTTCTTGTGCCGTCGCGAGGGACGGAGTGCAAGTGGTCTGGTCAATCGGCGTTAGTGGGATAATCGTCGCATTCGAGTAGGGAATATAGCGGTATGCCACGAGCATGAGCATGAGCATGAGCTTACAGGAATTGTCATCGTATCGTGATTGTGTTCGAGGCGAGCAGAGGGAAGGATTGTGGGAAAATGATTCAGAGTGGGGGAACGACCGCGGGTTCGGTCAGATCGCGGAAGATCGTTGCGGTAAAAATGGAGCTTCAAGAAATTACACCGAGAAGATTTCTTCAGCTAATCACACAGTTCCATAAGCAAAGGGGGAAAAACAAAAGTACACAAGTGCCCAGAGCGAACAATAGGCCTGTCAGATTACCCTGAAGTGGACTAGCGAGGGGGATCAGCATACGGGTACTCCATACGGACTACTTCCATCACTAGCTAGGAACGTTGCGATATCATGTATGTACTCTGTACTCCATTCACGCTGCAATTATACTTCGTGTACTTCGTATGCTCCAATCATTAGTTAGGGAATCCCGTACGGAGTATTCGGTTCAGACTTCCAGTTTTGTATTGGGGGTATTTTTCCTATTATGACACAATGGAAGTGAGGTTTAGTGATCACAGTACCCACTCGAGATGGGGGAATAAGAAGGGATTGCAGACAGAAAAAGAAAAAGAAAAGAAAAGAGAATCGAGGAAACGTCCACCGTCGCCAGTCCATGCCATTCGCCGTCCCACCCAAGCCTGTCCGAAGCGATGTAAAGCCATTATGCATCTTCTAACCCAGATAAATGTATGTTCACAGAAGTAAAGTAGTGGAAAGTCGGAGAAAGACCAGGGATTAAATGTTTTCAGGGGGGAGAGAATCAAGATAATCGATGAAAGGGCCTTCCGAGGAGGGGGTTCAATTCAGTTGAAGCGGAGCATGAGTCGTGAGTTTAGGTACCCGCTAGAAGCTGGCTATGTCACCGCTGCAAGTTTATGATTGCCATCTGAGGGGGGGAGTTTCGTCAGCTAGGGAACTGAGGGCGGGCCATCCACGGGACGAGGGATCCATTTGAGGGAGCGTACCTTTTTGTTGAGACCGTACGCAAGTCGCTTTCCATCTGCATCCCAGACCAAAGGCCAATAAGATGGTGATTCTGGGATTGAAAGGCCATTGTGTCCATTGATGGGTCGGTCAGGGTCCTCCTTTTTTACTTCGGATTGTGGTGCAGTCCAGGTAGAGATGGGTTCGCCGCCGCGCTCGACATTCCAAATAGAGAGCCGGTCTTTGCTGGCGGCAGCAAGAGCATATCCGTCGGGGGAGAAGCATCCAGTGAGAGCGTTATTCGAGGGAGAGGGGCCGAGCGAGAATTGGTGAATACAATGGTAATCCTTAGACTCAAGGTCGACTTGCCAAACCTTGACTTTGCCGCCTTGGGAAAAGCTGGCGAAGATAATGCGTTGTGGGTTAGACTGAGGGCGAATCTCAAGACCGGTGATTTGTTCGGGGTGCGCGTTGGGAATCGAGATCTGGTGAGTGGGAATCCATATCGAAGACGCTGGTCCAGATGCCGCGATTGCAACAGGATTCAATCCGGTTTGAATGCATCGAAGAAAGTCCCAGGTAGTTTTATCTCTGGATGAGAATGTGTTGAGCAAGCGGATACTGTGGTCCACCTCGCATTGGTATACTGCGCCCTCGCCCGAAGCAAAGATCTGACCGCGCCCACACCATGACACTGTGTAGAGGTGATCCTCGATTACCTGGGGAGGGGGAAAGGCATCAGGCCGGCGGTCGTCATCCCAAAGCGCGAGCTCTGATATGTTATCACTTGAGCCCACAACGACGAGCTGTGCACTGACGTCTGACCAATGCAAGCCAGTGATAATCCGGGGGATTTCAGGTAGTAGGTCGACAGCATCACCCTTGGTATTGTACATGGTGATAGATCCCTTCTCATTAGTGGAAGTTGCAACGGCCAGTTTCTCTCCAATGGCATCCCAGGCAACGTTCGAAACAGTCGTGTTTCCCTTTTTAAATTCGACGATTTTCCTTTCCACAGGCTCTGACGAGAGCGGAAGCTTCCATATACTGCAAAAATCTTGGCCAGCTGCCACGACGGTCGTAGAATCTCGAGGCCGCCACAAGGCCTGTGTCACGTAATTCTCCACATCCAAGAGGGCGGTGTCGGGCGTCAAATCAACGGTCTTGGCGGGGGCGATTTGAATGCCAGAGCTATCGCCGTTCTCCAGGGTAACCGGGGGTTCGGGTACTTCTTCCGCCATACTGACATCGCCATCGCCGTCCATATGACTTGGACTACCTGGCTGGCTTTCAGTCTGCGCCTTGTCCTCCATGGACTCGTCGCTGTCCTCCTCATCCTTTCGGATCTGCCTTCCGGGCTCGGCATGGCCGTTCACCGGGCGGTCGCGCGCAACATGGCTCGGCGACTCTGGCTGGTCTGTGCCGACAGCGTCGCGAATCCCCACCAAGCCATTCTCCAAACGCTCTGGCCCGAAGAAATAATCAGAAGGTGAGAGGGTAATTCGGTTGCCCTCCTGTATGCGATCAGTTAGAGCTCGAATTGAAGGCCGTAGACTCGAAACAAGAGGGAATTCCCTGGCGCATCAGCCAGTTGAAATCAGCCACATACCTTATCCAGAGAGGTTTCTAGTTTGTGATATTGCAAGCCCTTCTGTACTAGCGACACCAGCGCATGCGTTTTGATGTATGGCGCGAACGGGAGAGTCTGCGGGTCAGGATACCATGCGCGTTGCAAAGAAACAGCGGCATCACCGTGGCCTGTTTTCAGTTAGAAAGAGGTTGACCACCTTGAAAGCGCGCCAAAAAAAAGGGCGACATGGGTCACCAACCTGATTCCTGGAGGTATCTGAAAAGACTTAGTAATTTAAAACATCATGCATTGGATTTGCGCTCACCTCCAAATTAAATAATTGACATGATGCGACGTGAGGTCCGGTTGTGCCATGATTACATGTGCGACCAGTTAAGTGCCGCAAACATGCCAGAGAGGGAAGGGAGCTGTTAGCCGCTAGGCCAGTGAAAATCAAAGTGGAGAGGCGTCGATGCGCGGAGACGGAACTTCAGGAATTGTAGGAACACGAGGCCGGAAAGGGGGAAAAAGAAAGTACTTTTAAATGAAAAGGGGGGGGTGAAGAGAGAGATTGAAGATTGAAGGTTGGCCTAATGCAAATGGCCCAGAGAGGTCCAAAGCCAGAGAGGAAGTGTTGGAGGGAAGATTGAGGTTAAGGTAGGGAAGCCAAGCCAAGTGAAGAACAAGTGAAGACACCTATCAAATGGAATATCCACAATGCTAAGAGTTTAGTTGATATAACCAGGAGGGGGAAGAGAAGAAGAAAGTGAAGATCTGAGATTAAAGGATCCAGAATGGAAGTCCAGAGGCACTAGCCACTCGATGTGTGGCGCCCTCCACACTTTTCCTGCAGGTGGATTCCCCGATCCGTCGTTGTTCTCTATTGGTTTGTTCTCTATTGGTTTGTACTCTTACTTGATTTCCTATTCATTTTGTAGTACTTTCATTTGTTATTCATTTGCTATTCATTTCCTATATCAATTCAACCCTCGGCTCTTCTTTACCTCAGACATGACTTGATCTCTAATAGAAATGGAACTTTTTCCTGGGCATTCAGTATTTAACATTTAGCATTAACACTGAAAGTCCCAAATGCTACCTGGTACCACCCCCGGAGTAGTCTGTTCATGGATGGGGGATGACTTGTCCAATACGGAGTCCTAGGACCTATTGCAGTTTGGCCCAACGTGAAAGTCCTCCATGGCCACATGATAAAGGATGGCATCACGGGCCGTAGCCCTGGAGGGGCTCTGTAGTTATGACTCTATCCAGGTAGGGCTGATCTCTTACTGCATCAAAATTAAGTGTATACTTAAATAGTCCAGCAATTTAAGCACGGGACCATGCTCAATTATCTGTTCATGCTCTCGATACTCCGTATTTTGATCAATGATATCCACCAACACATATAACTAGTAATGGGATTGGGCCCAAACTATTGAATATGTACATATTTCACGGTGAGATCGACCACTCCCTGTAATATTCAATGCTCCATAAATATGATGTATTTGAGTGCCTAGTTGGTTAATCGAAAGATACTGCACTGTTGTGCTCAGTGCTCAGTCCTCCTCCGTCAGCCTGGATGGGGCCAGGATGGCTTTCCGCCCGCTAAAGTCCAACTTTCCCCAACATCAGGCTCGCGGCCAGAGCTCCCAGAGCTCCAATATGTCGCTCCGAATCAATATTCCTCCGGCCACTCGATTCTGTCTTATCAGCCTTCTCATCCTCTCCCTTCTGTACAATATTGCCAGATGGCGCCAAATTGACACCACCGGCGGAACCCCAACAACCTCTCCTCTTGTACCATACTTGACTCTTGTCCCATCCTACTTCTATTACTACCCCTGGACCCTGGCCACAGCCACCTTTGTCGAGCAAAATATCTTTACTGTTCTTCTGAACTCCGCAACCATCTTCTATGGCGGAAAGTACCTTGAACGCGCGTGGGGCTCGCGCGAGTTTAGCAAGTTCATTGCTGCGATCGCCGTGATCCCATGTGTGTTTATGATTCCTATCTACCTACTCTGGAGTGCTCTTGGAGGCTCCTCGAGCACATCGTACGTCTCCTCGCCGTTCGAACCCCGGTCCTCGACTAACCCGATCCTCAAGCCTCACTCAAATCTGCGGCGGTGTTTCCATCCAAGCCTCCTTCCTCGTTGCCTTCAAACAACTCGTCCCAGAACACACCGTGACCATATTCAAGGGCTTGGTGAAGATGCGCGTCAAGCATTTCCCCGCCCTGTTCCTCCTCCTCAACACCATCAGCGGCGTCGCATTCGGAACAGACACAGCCGCGATCCTGGCGTGGCTCGGTATCCTCACCAGCTGGACCTACCTACGTTTCTTCAAGCGTCAGCCCGACCTGACTGGTACATCTAGTACCGGCAGTGGCATCAAAGGCGATGCCAGCGAGACCTTCGCCTTCGCCTGTCTCTTCCCAGATATCATGCAACCGCCCATCGCGTTTGTCGCAGACCAGGTCTACACTCTGCTTGTGGCAGTCAAGATTTTGAAACCCTTCTCCGAAGACGATATTGCCTCTGGCAATGAACAGGTGCTGGCCCGTGGTGAAGCAGGCTTGCCGACGTTGTTGAGTTCCCGCGGCGGCGCGAGGGGAGCAGGCAAGCGCGAAGAGGCGGAACGGAGGCGGGCTGTTGCCCTCAAGGCTTTGGATCGAAGGCTACAGGCTGCCACTATTCCACGACCGCAGCCGCCTGTCGGTGGGCCCTCTTCCCAGCGTCCTGTGACACCTCCCTCGGCCGTGACTGGTCAGAGTATGCTTGGCGAAACGAGTTACAATCCCGACCATGAATGAAGCAAGTTGAATCGCAATTACACACTTGCGCTCGGTAACGACGCACTTGTGGGCTTTGGACATAGTCGCATTCATGGGCTGTCTGCAGATTGGCTCTCATACTGACACTGTGTCTATTATTGATGATGTATATGATATATAGGTCCTGGTTACTACACTTCCAGTCCTCTCCGTTCCGGGGTGTGGAGTCAATAGCTTGACTTTCATGCAACGCTGGCGCATAAAGCGTTTACTTGAGCTTATCTTTAGATCTGTTTTGCGCAAATTCCATACACAATGCTATGTTATTCCTGCTTAACGATGTAGATTTTGATGCAGTGGCGCTGACTTATACGTGGACATTTGTAATTCGCGGCTATTCCTCCCTTCCATCAAATTCTATTTCAGCCTCCTCCTCATCAAGCAATGGCACAAAACGGAAATCAACGAAGCAGACAGGGCCATTGGGTCCCTTCACGCCAGCACCAACCGGTCTACCAACAGGGACATTATGGTCATCAAGCTCAACCATAAATTGCAGACTCAACACTCCTTGTCTGTCTCCGCGGATACTGACTTTGTTGGCAACCGACATAGCCCTCGCAGCTTTGCGAATTAGTGCAAAGCGGTAGCCTTGTTTGATACGCTCTCCCATAGAAGATGGAGGAGAAACGAGGAAAGTTTCTGTGACAGTAGGCGCAATCTTAGCTCTGGTGGCACGATTGCGGGAAGAACCATCGTCTGCGAGCACTTTGTGCATCTGGGACTGTGTGGCCCCTTGACCGGTACCGCCGACAATCCCATTATTTTGATCAACGGAGAATTCAACTGTCGATTCACTGAATGGACCACCTGCCCCCGAGAGAGCAAAGTACGGCTCGCGCGTGGCGCAGGCAGATAGTTTCAGAATGTTAGGGGCTGCAGAGTCTAGTTCTGCGATGGCATTGTGAAGCCAAGCTGAGCGCATGATAATCTTCATGATGATTGCATCACGCTGGAGTGGAATATCTGCTTCATTTTCCTCTGGCTCGTATGTGACTAGTTCACAGGTGGTTTTCACTCCTGCTTCAGTTATGGCGATGGTGAGCGGGGCACCGTGCTGCGCATACTGCAAGGTACAGGATCGGTTCATCAACAGACTGGGTGCATTGAATGCGCTTGATGAGGCAGGGTTGGCTTGCGTGATACTGGTGTCTCGAGATCGGTTTGACTCTAGCTCATTGATGCCGAAAATCTTGAGGGTGTCGAGAAGAGCAGAGAGAGAGACAACGAAATGGGGGTAATTTTGGGGTTGGGAGGATGCATTGTCATTGGAAGTTTCGTTTTGGCTGGCTTGTGTGTCGGTTGATGGATTGAATGTATAGCTCGTAAAAAGTGATTTGTCAAGGAAAGCTAGTCCTTGGATCACACGGCCTTCTTCCACCGAGAATCGAAGCCCATCCGGGGTAATTTGAACGGTAGCCTTGGGTGCAAATCCAATGCAGGAGAGGAGTGTATAGAGGTGCTGGGCGTTGTTGGAGACGCCGACGAAAAGGGGCTGCATGGTGTATAATTTGCTAGCTCGAGCTTTTGGGACACGATATAGGCAAGGAACGACTATGATTCCGCAGGTGGATGATGACTTTAAATGTTCTAGCAGTTTAGGCCCCTCTGAACCCAACGCTTATGGTACATTTGAGGGGATGCGCAGCAGTAAGATTGTCGTTTAAACGTAGACTCCGGCAGCACAAATTGTGAACAGAGCTCCAAAGCTGCCCAGAAGTTCCTATCAGTAAATTGTTTGTCGAGAATCAAGGTGCAGCAGACTACTAACCCGAATGCCAGAGCGGCCGGTACACCCAAGGATGCGATGGCGAGTAGAGATCGGTCTGTTTAAACGCAATGTTAGAATACGTCTAATATCGCATATCGTGGGAGGTACACTTACTCAGTCCGAAGAGAGTTGCGGTCACCAGTGCTAATAAAACGGTCAGAACGGGGTCGTTACCCGAGTTGCGATAAGTGGGAAGCTTACCGAGGAGGAGCAAGTTGAAGCCGACAGAGAATTGGGCGTCCTTGCCAACAAGCGGGATAAAAGGAGTTGTGGAGGCTGCCTCCCAGACTTCGTTCAGAGACATTGAGAGATAAGTTAATTGAATGTAATTGGGAGAAAGACTGAAAGGAAGTCGAGGATAGATCTATAGGATGTGCCGGTGTTGATCTGGCTCGATCGGAGAATTGTTAATCCGACCGTACCCCATCCATGGATGTCATGCCGCGCGACAGCGCTGGTCATGTCAACTTTTGAAGTTCAAGCACACCATGGCCGCGGACTCTCCGAAAAGTAAGCCTCCATAATGGTCAACTGTGCCCATGTCAATGGTTGTTCAGCTAACCGTGAACCCAGGTTTCAAGCGTAAGGCCTCTGAGGAGGCAGCTTCCCCGGAGTCTGGGCAACAGGCCAGCAAGAAAGCACGCACAGATTCACCTGAGAAAGAAGTGAGGCACCAAAGACCTAAATCTACTGCATGTTTGATCTAACAGTTCTTTCTTATAGGAAGATGGCCCTCTCAAGAAAGCTCCCCTTCGGATCGTTCCGTTCCCTGAGAAGGTACATTAAGTCCCGCACTAGCACATTATGTGCATCTACGCAAAGAAAATCGGCTGACGATACACAGCCTGCCGTCCTAGAAGAACGTCGCGGCGATATCGAGTTCCGAGTCGTCAACAACGATGGTTCCCATGATAGCTTCATTGTCCTCACGGGCCTGAAGTGTATCTTCCAGAAGCAACTTCCCAAAATGCCCAAGGACTATATCGCCCGTCTTGTATATGACCGGTCACATTTGTCTATGGCTATTGTCAAGCATCCACTCGAAGTTGTCGGGTATGTTCAAGTCTTGGCCGATGAGATAGATGAAGGATATTAACTTTCACTGCAGAGGGATCACCTATCGTCCGTTCAACACTCGCAAGTTTGCAGAAATTGTGTTCTGTGCTATCTCCTCAGATCAGCAAGTCAAAGGATATGGTGCTCACTTGATGTCTCACCTTAAGGTATGCATTTGTTGGTCTCCTCTTCTGGGCCTTGAGTCTGACACATTTACGTTTAGGACTACGTGAAAGCAACCTCTCCTATTATGCACTTCCTCACCTACGCCGATAACTATGCCATTGGATACTTCAAAAAGCAGGGCTTCACCAAAGAAATTACACTCGACAGGTCTATCTGGATGGGTTACATCAAAGATTATGAGGGTGGTACCCTTATGCAATGCACCATGCTCCCAAAAATACGCTATCTGGAGATGGGCCGCATGCTGACCAAACAGAAGGAATCTGTACAAGCCAAGATCCGTGCCTTCAGTCGCTCACACATTGTACATCCACCTCCAAAGGAATGGAAGAACAAGGTGTATGCCATCGACCCCCTGAGTATTCCAGCAATCAAAGAGTCTGGATGGTCGCCTGACATGGATGAACTGGCCCGTCAACCCCGTCATGGTCCCAATTACAACCAGCTGCTGCACTTGTTGAATGACATGCAGAACAACAGTGCAGCCTGGCCATTTACTCAACCGGTGAATCGTGATGAGGTTCCTGACTACTATGAGGTGATCATGGAGCCTATGGATCTTTCAACCATGGAAGAGAAGCACGAGAAGGACTTGTATCCGACTCCTCAGGATTTTACCAAGGATGCTATGTTGATCTTCGACAATTGCCGGAGATACAATAATGAGACTACCCCTTATGCCAAAAGTGCCAACAAACTCGAGAAGTTTATGTGGCAGCAGATTCGGAACATTCCGGAGTGGTCGGTGAGTCTTCTTCTGAACGTTCTCTCTCTAATATCTACTTACATTCCACTTCCAGCACCTTGCCGATAACCATTGACCTAAGAACGAACATTTTACTATAGCGAGGGTGTTTTTTCGGGAACGGCGTTATGGCTTTGGAAATTGCGACAATACCCTGTTCATAGACGATTACGAAACCAAGTTTTACTAGCTAGTGGATCAAGCTTGGATATCAATTTACTTCTACTTAAGTAATTCTGCCTGTGAACTTCAGAAGTGCTTAAGTACTCGAGTACAATGAGATGTAAAAGATGGACAGGTGACGTATGTCAAGAGAATAATAAGCTTTGATCTTCTTTGCCCCATGCTCCACTTGTAAAATTGGGGTCGAAAATCTGTCGGGGCAAATATTCCAACAACTTTCTTCATTCAAGCATGCCTCGGGGTAGACCTAAATCTCAATTGGCACCATGTCGGTTTTGTCACAGAGAATTCAAGCGGCTAGAGCATCTGAAACGACATGAGCGTACTCGTGGGTATTGCCCTTCCAAGGTTCAATTCCTCGCCATAGCTAATCTGGCAATTGTTCTAGATACACAGGAGAAGCCATTCCAATGTCAATGTGGACAGTCTTTTTCTCGGCAGTAAGCTTCCTGTCATCCATTCTGATAGCTCTTCTGACCAAAGTTTCCCCTAGGGACCTGTTAAGTCGCCATGAAAGACTTCATCATCCCCAAGGGTCGACAGCCAGGCCAAATTCCGCCTTGGTCAGCCCAGAGATCATTGAAGAACCCGAGAATAGATCATTCCTTCAAGATGAGAATTTGACGCAGCTACCATCGAGCTTGCATCGCTCATCTTTGTCAGACACGACTCTCTCCACTCCCTGCAATTTGCCTCCATTGGCTGAGAGCTCTTATGGAATGGATTTGACTCAAGATGCACTACAGTTGCCGGATCTTTCTTGGGACTACGACGCCTTTTCGTTTCCTGATTTCATACCTTCTCAATTCCTCGATACAGATATCTCTCTCAGCGATCTGTTCCAGCAAGCCCCAGCCCAAAAGGAGCTGGATACAAATGCATTTGCTGCGTCGGGTCCCGTTCCAGGTCCTCAAGATCACACCCTGGCTCAGAATCAGAGCTCTCTCCTTCACAATTCTCTGCATGACAACATGAATTTGAAGCATCCCCCACGCTTCCCATCTATGGGTGATCAACTTGATATCAGTAACATGGACACAAGATCGGACGTTGCCAATTGTCCATGGGCTGTATCACCCTCTAATTACAAAGCAATCGTGGACAAAATCGCGACCTCTAAGCCGACATTACTTGACACAGCATTTCCATCAAAAGGTGCTTTGGTGCGCTATCTGGAAGGATATTTCCGCAAATTCCATGACCATCTACCGTTTCTTCATGTGGCATCATTCAGACCAGAGAATATCGGAATCGAGCTTCTTCTTTCCATGGCTGCACTTGGTGCCTTTTACTGCTTCGAGCATGTCGAAGGCTATCGCTTGTATGGCGCAACGCGGTCTCTGATTGAGTCCGATCTAAAATCTCGACGCACTGAACTGATTAATCAATTGACATCCCGAGCTCCGAGATACGTGGGGAAAGACAGCACACTTAGTCCGTTGACATCCTCATCTCCAATCCTGTCGCATACAACAGAGACCCCTCGGCCGGATTCCTCGTCAGTCGAAGAGGAAGGCTCACAAGCTCGGCTTGAAAGAGCACAGGCATTGATAATCCTCACAGCCGTGGGCACGTGGGGAGATAAATCACTCCTTCAGGATAGTCTGGCTATGAGCGGTCAGCTCGCCGAATTGGTACGCCAGCTAGGAATTGGTTTACCAGACGATGTCAGCAATATGAATCTTGGATGGGTAGCTTGGGTCGCTCACGAGCAACTACGGCGCACATTGCTCGTAGCATACATTATTCTCAACTTGAACAGCATCATATCCAATACCCCGCCCATGGTCTTGAATCAACAAGTTGCCCTATGTCTCCCATCCTGTGAGGCTGAGTGGGGTGCCAATTCATCAGTCGCATGGCAGCACCATCGAGAGGTTTCCGCTCTGAGGGAGCGTCCATTTGTCCAAACGTTGAATCAATTGTTCGTTGGCCAGAGCATATGTGATGAATGGGGTGTATCAGCTTTTTCAAACTATGTCTTGATCCACGCGATCATTCAGAACATATATTTTGAAATCCAGGTTCGTCCAGAGAATTCACCTGCTCCACCTGAACTTCTTAAATCCTTCGAGAGAGCCCTTCAGTTGTGGCAAAACTCCTGGGAGACCACATGGGAGTCGACTCTTGACCCAAATTCACCCAAGGGCCCCATTGGATTCAACGCAACAGCGTTGTTGCGTCTAGCCTACATACGACTGAACATCAGGACGCGGCTGTTCCATAATTTTGTCAACAGTGATATTTCAAAAACAAAGGAAATCATTGCCAGCTTCAGAGATATATCTATTACCCGAAATGCACCATTGGATCGGACAATCCTTCAATGCATACATGCCCTTAGCATTCCTGTGAGGGTCGGGATTCAGAACGTGGCCTGTACCCAAGTAATGCATTGGGGCATCCAACATTCTATAAGTCACCTCGAATGCGCATTGCTTCTTACCTTGTGGGTGCAAAACATCGCAGAGGCTGTTCAGGCCAACGGCATCGCTACTTTGCGCGGGGATGAAATCAAACTACTCACTATGGCAAAGGGCCTCGTCAGAGAAACCCATTTACAGGGAAGTATCCATTATCAAGAAGAGACAGCGGCAAACATACGTCGTCTTGCGATATCGATCGCTCGGCTTTGGGCTGAAATATCTAGTGGAACACACATATTTGACATTGTTCGTCGAGTTGGAATCTGTCTGTCGGTAATTTCTGATACACTGGAGGTCGAGCATCCTGTATTATAGTATATGTGTGGAATCATTCAGACACCTGGTAATTCCAAAGCTCTGGAAGTTCTAAAGTTGGATCGAATTGTCAAATTGCCTATTTTAAAGTTCCTTTCATACAAAAAAAAATTCCATTTCATGAACGGTCTCTGAGACTGTTGAAGAATTTCTAGACCTCGGCTTTCTCTTAGCCCAAGATGAGTTCAAGTGTAAGTGACGTGTCAAGACTCTGGAGAGAAATCGTGTATTCTTCAATGACTCCGTGTGACATAAAAGATACGGCCACGGGCCATAACTATGAATAGGGCAAAACGTCATGCTTGGCACCGACACAATCTGTATGATATACTGTAGATCCATAGACTTGGAGAAATTATCAGAATTGATTATAAAGCATTGCCTCATAATTATGCGTATGGGGAATGATACTTTCGCGTGCTCCATACCTACATGGATCCCGGTTGGGGTTGAAAAGCACCATCGGGGTCGAAAATACTGACAATTATAAATATTGCATAAATATCCTTCCCTCGAACAAAGATCAAGTCAATTGCAAGAGTATCAATCGACATCTTTCTACTGTATCGAAATGTCTACTCAAACCGCCCTCCGTCTTACTGGCCGCAACTCCTGGGAGCAGTTGACTGCGTTCCAAGAGCCCCGTCCCACAGCTGGCAAGCATGAGGTCCTCATCAAAGTGCGAGGCGTTGCCTTAAACTTCCGTGATATTGCTATCTCTACTAGCAAATATCCATTCAAGGTCAAGGACCAAGTTGTCCCTGGGTCCGATGCAGCGGGTGATATTGTCTCTGTCGGCGAAGGCGTCACAGGCTTCAGTGCAGGCGACAAGGTTGTTGTCTCTTTCGATCAAGCCACACAATATGGCCCGATCAAGAACTGGGAAAATGGACTTGGTGGCCCAATTGATGGTGTTTTGAGAGAATACATCTCTGTCCCCGCGCAGACTGTCGTCAAGGTCCCGAAGCATTCCGCCCTGAGCTATGCCCAGTGGGCTAGTGTGGTCTGCACTGGTGTCACAGCCTGGAACTCTTTGTATGGAGTTTCTCCAATCAAGCCAGGCCAAAGTGTCCTGTTCCAAGGTAAGTCCTCTTGAACATCTTCTGGCAGCTCTAGAGTATGGAAGCCTCTAACATTTGATCGAATTAGGCACTGGTGGTGTGTCCATCACTGGTCTGATTCTGGCCAAGGCTGCCGGTGCTAAGACAATTATCACGTCTTCGTCGGATGAGAAGTTGCGATATGTCAAGGAAAAATATGGCGTTGACTACACCATCAACTACAAGACGACCCCAGACTGGGCTGCCGAGGCCCAGAAGATCACCGAGGGACAAGGTGTGGATTATATCCTTGAAAATGGCGGCTCTGGGACCATGAAGCAGTCGTTGGAGGCCATTGCTTATGGAGGAGTCATCTCTGTCATTGGTTTCCTGGCGACAGCTTCACAGGATGAGATGCCCGATGTTTCGCTTCTTGCTTTGGGTAAGGCCGCGATTGTGCGTGGTATCATAATTGGCTCGAAGCAGCAGTTGGAAGAGGCTGTTCTCTTTATAGGCGAAAAGGATCTCGAACTGCCGGTTGAGAAAACATTCCAGTTCACTCGCGATCAGGTTGTTGAGGCCTATTCTTACCTCACGAGTGGCCAGCATGTTGGAAAGGTCTGCATTGAATTTTGAAGTGACATTTGTTCCCACCTTTTGATATTATTTTTTGATATGAGATATGTCGAGTCAGGAATATACCGGTAGATCAATGTGATCCATATATCCCGAATCTATACTTAGACTTGGGGTAGAAATTGTGGGGATGCCATGTTAGGGTCGATGTTTATTGTGACAGTTGCATGAGGATAGAATATGTACAGGAATTCACAAGGCGATGAGGAGTTCAGGACTCTATCTGTAGGACTGGCCCTTGTAAAGAGAGTATACAATGAAAATAAGCATATTAAACGGATGTACAGAGTGCACGATGTAATAACCTAAATGTTTTCCTTAATTTCCCCCTGACGAGCACATCCCGGATCATCATTGTTGCGTTGTTTCAAAGAGAATGTGGATGGCTGGAATAACCTCATTTGCTTCACCCTTACATCGGTCTTTCGTTTCGTTGCTGCACTTGTTTTCGAGTGGTTGCTGTTGCTGAGCAATTGTCGACCTCGTTTATGCTTGTCTAACGCACTTTAAGGGGGACTCTCATCCGCTGCGTACCGCGCGACGTGGATTTCTCGTTCCAAACCCCTCCTTTCGCTCCCAATTCATCAATTCTTCTTCTTCTTCAATCGCCTGGATTTTGCTCGCACTTGCTTAACCCGTCAAGAATTATTCGTCAACGCGAATTTGCTCTCTCGGCGCCCCATCTGCGCCCCTCCTTCGTTTGAAATTTCGGTGCTGGTCATTTCACCGTTGTTTACCATCAGCTCACTGCCAACATGTCTCACCACGACATCTCCGACGCGGAGTCGCGCAACCGTCTGCCTACTCTCTTTGAGGTTCTCAGCCGTCGAACCCTCGCCCCGGTCGACCTTTTTTCATTCTACATTTACATGCGGGATCAACAGCGCTCGGTGGATTACCTGGACTTCTGGTGAGACCCTACCTTGGCTCTGTGTTCACTAAACCCCGTTAACCAGCGGTGTAGGCTTGATGTATCCCAACACATGCTACTGTGTCGACACTATGTCCGAGAACTCCGCCGTTCTGTCTTAGTTGCTACTCCCGATATTGAACGAGCCGACAGCAAACAATCATCTGCCATGCTAGACAATCTCGAGAACCTGGGCGATATTCCACTGGAGGAGGCCGGGCCTTCTCGCCTGCGACATGGATTCCAAGAGAATGAGAAGGGTGGAGATGCCGATCAACGTTTGTCGGCGTTCCTCCGCTCCGAGGGTGCCACTTCATCACCATCCCGTCAAAATAGTCTGGGATCGTCTCAAGAGTCCGCGCACCGGATACCTTCCAATGAAGAAGGCCGTCATACACCGGATTCACGGACCAACGACTCCAACTCCCCTGGTCACACTGTGGACCGTAATGACATTCGCGCCAGCGCTGAGAAGATCCTGTACACATATCTACTTCCCGGCTCCGAACGAGAAATCATGCTTCCAGAACCTATGGTCTCCTCAATTATCAACTTAGTCGAAGACGACGGCCGAGACGACCCTGAGGTTTTTGACCCCGCTAAGGACTACGTGTTCCAGGCCATGGAGCGTGATGCTTTCCCCGGATTTTTGCAGGCAAAGGCTTTGGGGAATATCGTCCCCCTCAGTACTATCTTGCGCCTCGCCTTTGCTCTCATCAGCTTCGGCGGTGGCTTCTGGGGGGCTTTCTATGTCGTGCTACGCAACAAGCCTCGTAACATTCGCTGCTGGGTAAGCTTTTTTGTCTGTCATTGTTACTATGCCGCGTTGCTAACTTGCATCCAGATCATTCTCCCATTCGCCGTTGCGTCTTATTTCATCATCTCCTACCACTATAAGATTGACCCGATCATGGCGTTCTTGGGCTACAGTGAATACACATTTATGAACTGGGCCCCGATTCGTGAACCCTATGTTCGGAAACTCTTGAACAAACGTGCCCTTGTCACCGCGATGATTGCCTTCGTGACAGCCGCGGCCTTGAGCATTTTGTTCATTTTCGTCCCTGGTACCATGTTGTGAGCGTTGCGCCAAATACAGCCTTTCCAACTAATCTAATATCGAAAACCACTCGCTCCGCCCACTCTGTCTGACAAGCTCTGGCACAGAAGAGCCAGTGTCGCACCCTGTCGCCCGGTTCTCACCATTGGAGCCGCTCCAATACAGAATCGACCTCTTCTGTCTACTCGCTTCTCAGCGGCCCCACCTTTTCCTTTTCCTTTACTTTGTCTTGTCCATATTTATTGCGTCTGTTGTCTTGCTGTGATTTCTTCTATTCTAACAATACCCCTATTGACTTTCAGACCTTGTATTGTATGTACTGTCTATCTGATGAGCGTCGCCATTTCGGCCTTACGAATGAAAACTTATTGTTGCTCTCCCATTGAAAAAAAAAAGAGAAGAAAAAAGAAAGAAAACTCCTTGCGTACCAGCCAGAATCGTGATAAAATCATTTCATGTCATAAAAATCACCCCAATATAGGCCGCTAAGTTCTGCAGAGCAAGATGGTTCTAAGACGTAAAACCGAAGAAAGCCATGCGACAGATCTCGGTTCAGGACTTGCGTCCCAACACACGCTTCGGCTGCCGATTACTTCCACGAGCCCCGTATTCCTCATCGATATCCATGCGGGAGCCACCTTCGCCATCCCCAGTCTCGAAGAAGCCATCATCCTCCTCAATATTCCCGGCATCCCTCTTACTCCCACCAGCTCCGGCCCCAAGGCGACCAGCACCCCGCTTGTTCCTCCTCCATGGGCCACCATTTTGTCGCTTCTTAAGAGCTTCCTCTAGAGCACCTTGCCTGGCCTGCTTTTTCACGGCACGGTCAGCAGCATTGCTCTTGATGCGCGCAATCTCCGCCTCGAGATCCGCCACAACCTCACTGCAACGCGAATCCCACTCCTTCAAAGAAGCGATCATCAAGGGAATGGATTCTGGCAACACGTCACGTAGTGGGGCGACGGCTGTGACGTTCACGGAGGGTGGATTGGAGGAGGGCGAGAGGCGAGCTTTGATCAAGGATGAGTAGATGGCGGTCGTCACCAGTGATTCGAGCTCGGCTTTTGTGGGGATGGTGAGGGCGTCCATCAGGGTGGAGTAGGTGAGGGGTTTGATTTTCGTGGAAAGAGTTAGGAGGGAGAGGAGGCGGAGTTTGAGGGTTTGTTCGGGGCTCAAGTTGGGGAGACCTGGGGTCGCTGCAGTGTAATCCCCATTCCATTAGCTTCTGGGGTTCGATGTTCGGTCGGTGCTCTCAAGCATTGTTCTGGTGGGAAGGCTGTCGTCGTCTTTCGGTCTGGGTCCAAGATCTTACCTTGATATTCTGACCAGGTGCCATATGCAAATATTTCTAGCAGCAACAGGTATCCTCCGAACTCTTGTGAATTCTCTGGTGACCGTAGTGCCTGAACGGCGGGCACCTCGAGTAACTCCGCGAAGACATAGGTTTGCGGGCTGGAGGTGACATTTGTGATAAGATTGGCGATGAATCTAGGAGAGCTGGCACTGTTGGATTGGGCCAGGTGGATGAATGGTTGAAGGGCCTCGATGGCCCGTGTATGAGTCTGGTCCATGTTGATATGTATGAAGACGATGTGGGGAAGAGGAGCTCGACAGCTTAGGGTGGTTGTACATTGAATGTTTGCACTTGATGCAAACATTCACGGATGCTTTATCTGATGCGCCAAGGTCACTAGTTTGTCTTCGTAGTACTGATTCACTTTAATTCTGGCAATACTCATACATTATTATTAATAATAATTTCGAATTGATTTAATGTATCTCATTTGAAAGCCAGGCTGACCTACTACTTGCAGCTCTACTCCGAGAAAATCATCGTGTACAGGAGACTTTGGTGGCTCGCAAATCAGCTGACGTACTCAGGTACAAGGTTGATCTCTGTAAATCTTCTGAAACCACGACATCTGTCAACATGATTAGTCTGTTTCAGATCAGAATGACACTGCAAATCAACCTTTTTGACTGAAATGCACATTTGATTCGCTGTATCTGCTGAGTCGATTGAAAAGTCGGCCATCTACTCGTAATCAGCTGGTCTATATGCATTCCACACCGCGGCGCGGAGAGATCCACAGGGACCCCCCCATGCGTAATTAAGCCCGCCCTTTTCTCGTCCTTCATTTCTCGCCTCGGGCGCAAAGTTTCTAGGTTCATTTATTTAACTTGACCCTGCGAACTCTTTCTTCTTTAACCTTTGATAGTTCCTCTTTGTTGACTTGATCCGGGAATGATCGGTGCCTTACGCCATCCGTAAGCCTCCGTTCCTCATCACGCTATCACACCCTCCCATCGCGACGGTTGGTCGATCAAAAACACAGAAAAGCACTCTCTATGCGATAGTCCGCTGTTTTTGAAAGTCGCGTTCGCCCTCGCGCTGCACTGTCAGGATGTCGCTCAGCCCTGTCAGCGGGACCGGTCGATCCGCAATGGCTATCACAACCATCAAGATTGACGGTATGACCTGCGGCGCATGTACCTCTGCAGTCGAAGGCGCATTTAAGGGGGTAGAAGGTGCCCAGGATGTCTCCGTTAGTCTCATTATGGGCAGGGCTGCCGTGCAACATGATCCCTCTGTATTACCGCCAGCAAAAATCGCAGAGATGATCGAAGACTGCGGCTTCGATGCGGCTGTACTGTCGACCGACGAGAAAACGAACCCCGATGTCACTCATGCTAAGCAAATCTCGGTTACCAAACTGGCGGTTGAAGGTATGACATGTGGTGCATGCACATCTGCAGTGGAAAGTGGACTGAAAGATGTCACTGGTGTAAAGTCGGTGGATGTATCACTCCTTTCTGAGCGCGCGGTCGTGGAACATGACACCCAGCACATCACAGCGGAGCAGATTGCAGAGATCATCGAGGATCGAGGATTTGGGGCCCGAGTATTGGATACATCCGTGGCCGGGCCCCAAGCATCAACATCGGCCGAGTCGGACGAGAAGTCTGGGATTTTAGTCACGACTGTGGCTATTGGAGGCATGACCTGCGGCGCGTGTACATCCAGTGTCGAAGGTGCCCTGAATACCGTGGACGGGGTGATCCAATTCAACATCAGCCTGTTGGCCGAGCGCGCGGTCGTTGTTCATGACTCAACAATAATCTCCGCCGAAAAAATCCCAGATCTTATCGAAGATGCCGGATTTGATGCCTCGGTTGTGTCATCAGAGGCGCAGGTTCCCTTATCAAAGAAGACGCAACAAGTGAACTTGAGTTTGCATGGCCTGCGGGACAGTGCTTCTGCAATTGCATTGGAAGACAAACTTGCACAGCAACCTGGCATTCACTCGGCATCCATCAAGATGGCGACGTCGCAGTTGCTGGTTGCATTTGATTCGGCTATCATCGGTATTCGGTCTGTGGTGGACGTGATCGAAGCCGCTGGCTACAATGCCTTGCTGGTTGACTCTGATGACACCAATGCACAGCTGGAATCCTTGTCAAAAACCAAAGAAATCCAAGACTGGAAAAGATCATTCATTACTGCTGTCGCCTTTGCAGTCCCTGTTTTCTTTATCAGCATGATACTCCCAATGTACTTACCCAGCCTCGACTTCGGCAATTTCGAGCTGATCCCCGGCCTCTACCTTGGCGATGTGATATGTCTCTGTCTGACGATCCCAGTACAGTTTGGGATCGGCAGACGCTTTTACGTTTCCAGCTTCAAGTCATTGAAGCATCGTTCCCCAACTATGGACGTGCTTGTGATACTGGGAACGTCGGCCGCCTTCTTCTACAGCTGTTTCACCATGCTGATGGCACTCTGCAGCATGAAGCACATGCGTCCCAGTACAGTGTTCGATACCAGCACTATGCTGATCACATTCGTCACCTTAGGGCGTTGGCTGGAGAACAGAGCCAAGGGTCAGACATCTGCTGCCTTGTCTCGTCTCATGTCACTGACTCCATCTATGACCACGATCTATGAAGATCCCATTGCAGCAGAAAAGCTTGCAGAGCGCTGGGCCACTAAGCCCACGCCTGGCACGTACCAACAACCGGCTTTGACGGAAGACATGACTGTGGGCCACAAATGCATCCCCACCGAGCTCATTCAAGTTGGCGATATTGTCATTCTCCTCCCTGGAGATAAAGTATCTGCCGATGGTCTGGTGATCCGCGGCGAAAGTTATGTCGACGAGAGCATGATTAGCGGAGAAGCCCTCCCAATCCACAAGACGAAAGGAAGCCAGGTCGTTGCTGGTACAGTGAACGGCACAAATTCAATCGACTTCAAAGTCACCCGTGCTGGCAAGGATACTCAATTGAGTCAGATTGTCAAGCTGGTTCAAGATGCACAAACCAGCCGTGCCCCTATTCAGCGTATGGCTGATATCGTTGCTGGCTATTTTGTTCCCGCCATCATCAGTCTTGGATTGATCACGTTCTTTGGCTGGATGTTCCTCAGTCACATACTGCCTCACCCACCGATGATCTTCGAGGTCCCGGACAGTGGTGGCCGGGTTATGGTCTGTCTGAAACTATGTATTTCAGTCATCGTATTTGCATGTCCCTGCGCCCTCGGACTCAGTACTCCAACCGCAGTCATGGTTGGCACTGGAGTCGGCGCAGAGCAAGGTATTCTTGTCAAAGGAGGCGCCGTCCTGGAAGCCGCCACCAAGGTTACCCACGTTGTCTTTGACAAGACTGGAACTCTGACGACTGGCAAGATGAGCGTTGCCCACACTCGCATTGAGCCCCAATGGACAATGAATGACTGGCGCCGCCAACTCTGGTGGCTCATTGTAGGTCTCGCAGAGACCGGCAGTGAACACCCAATTGGCAAGGCGATTCTCTCTGCGGCGATGACTGAGTCGGGACACCCTGGAGAGGACGGATTGCCCGGCATCATGGGTGACTTTGATAATTGTGTCGGCAAGGGCATTTTCGCCATCGTCGAACCAACCTCTACTGGGGAGCGCATTCAGCACCAAGTCCTCCTTGGAAACGCTGATTTCCTCCGATCAAAGGATGTCTCTGTACCTGCAGATGCGGAACCGGACTCTTTGGCGTCTGGATCTGCGGTCGCCGAAGACCGGGATACCAATACTCCGAAGCCTGTTGGCATCGGTTCTGGTATCACACGCATTCACGTTGCCATCGACAATCGCTATGCCGGTACCATATCCCTCCGCGACACAGTAAAGGACACAGCAAGAGCAGCCGTGGCAGCCCTACATCGCATGGGTATCTCAACCTCAATGGTAACAGGCGACACGCTTTCAACAGCGACAGCGATCGCCACAGCCGTGGGAATCCCTAAAGCTTCAATCCGCGCCTCCGTTTTACCATCTGAAAAACGCGAAATTGTCTCCTCCCTCCAAGCAGGAGGCGAGCGTGTTGCTATGGTCGGCGACGGTATTAACGACTCCCCAGCACTGGCGACAGCCTCGGTTGGCATTGCGCTGGCATCTGGAACCGACGTCGCAGTTGAGGCAGCCGATATTGTACTCATGCGTCCGGATGACCTCCTCTCCGTGCCAGCCAGTTTATCACTCTCTCGCTCTGTCTTCACCCGTATCAAGTTGAACTTAATCTGGGCTTGTCTATACAACATCATCGGCCTGCCATTCGCCATGGGTCTATTCCTCCCTTTCACTGGCTTCATGCTACCTCCCATGGCAGCAGGTGCTGCCATGGCCTTGTCAAGTGTCTCGGTCGTCGTCAGCAGTCTACTTCTCAAGCTCTGGCGCCGCCCATCCTGGATGCAGACTGAACGCCTTGAAAAAGAGCTGCGCTCTGGTGTGATCTCTGCGGCTAACATTCGGCGCAAACATTCTCGCCAGGTGAGCTGGTGGACTCCTGCGACCATCTTTTCGGACAATCCGCGCTCTTTGCGGCGCCGGATCGGTGGCATTGGCTCTTCACTTTGGTCTCTTGTTACTGGAAAGCCGCGAGCCGTTGGAGGAGACGAGGGCTATGTTCCGTTGCAGACGGTTGAACCGCCTGTCTGAATTCCAAGTTTCTATCTTATATTTGATGACTTTGTTTTTACGTTTGAGAACCTCCGGAGGTTCAACTTTCACATATGATGTCTCGGTTTTATGCTTCGGTCTGTTTTTAGATGCTCGATACCTGTGTTAATGAAATCCATACATACATGCATTTATCCACTTCTAAGTTGAGCAGCACATTTACATATTGATAACCGAATACATCTAGGCAGAACAAGGCTTCTTCGAGCCAGTTCAATATCTAGCAGATTCTAAATCTTCTACCTGGACAATTTGCCACCATTTTACTGATCTTTCATTGTCGCTCGGGACCGAGACGCCTTCGGGACCGAGCAAAAAACATACAGAAATTCTCCCCCCTGTTATAACCCAAACATTGGTAGATATTTCGCCCTCGGAACCGAATAAATACCCCAATTTAGCCCTCGGGTTTTGGATTCTATTAGTCTACCAAAGCTTGTAAGCGAGGAGCCTTGTCTTCGATCTGATGCGAACTATAAGAACAGTGTCCCCGGCCTTTCTGTGCCTGGGTAATAGGCTTGTTTCCACTTGACCAATCCAAAGAAACAAACCCCTACACTCTCATTTCCTAAATGTCCCACTCAAAACTTGATCCCATCGCCATCGTCGGCGGGGGCCCATGCGGGCTAACATTTGCACGTCTGCTCGAAACAGCCGGCATCGACTACGTCGTGTTTGAGCGAGAAGCATCGTCAAAGCCAACATCACGTTTCCAGGGCGGCACCTTAGATCTGCATCTTGAAACAGGTCAGGAAGCCCTGCGTCGAGCGGGTCTATCGGCGGAGTTTGAGACCCTAGCCCGCCGCGATGCAATGACAATGACCGTCCAGGACTCTCAAGGCAACCACCGCACCACTTTTGGGGAGACCCGCGATGCCCCGGAGATCGACCGGTTGCAATTGAGACAGATGCTGCTTGACTCGATCCCAGCGCGTTGTATTCGTTGGGGCAAGACCCTTTGCTCTGTCGAGAACGACACCAAGAAGCCATCGAGTGCCTCAAATTGGGTCTTGCGCTTTACAGATGACACGACTGAAAGTGGATTCGGTCTTATAGTTGGTGCTGATGGGGCATGGAGCAAACTGCGTCAAATTGTGAGCTCTTAATATTGACTTTGTATATACATGTGGTGGACGGTTCGTTAACAAGTTTCAGATCACACCGGCCAAGCCGCAGTATTCAGGCAAGATCTTTATCGAAGGACGCCTCTCCCTCGACAATCCTAAGTACAACGCAGCCTTTGAAATGGTAGGCGCCGGTAATTCTATGGCCACCGGCGCTAAGCAGACCCTCGTCGTGCAACAAATGGCTGATCGGTCATATCGTGTATACATGGGCCTTGTTGCGCCAGAAGACATTGCACGACCCGGTGGAGAAGTTGATGTGACGGATATGGGCAAAGCGCGTGCTGCAATGCTTGCACCAGGTGGACATTTCGACAATTGGAAGCCAGAACTACGGGCCTTCGTTGAGGCCGCCGAGGGGCCATGGCGCGCTTGGCCTCTTTATCGCATGAACCCAGACTTTTTCCTGCCTGTGACTGGGAGTGAGAGCCATGATTCAGGTCGATGGGTGTCTGCTCCAGGTGTCACATTACTGGGCGATGCTGCTCATATCTCGATCCCAAATGGCGAGGGCGTCAATCACGCCATGTATGATGCTTTGGTTCTATTTGAGAGCATCACCAAGGAGCTTCATGGGGAGAAGGCCGCGCTTGAATCCGATGAGACTGGACAGGCGGCCCTCGGGCGGGCTGTCGTTGCATATGAAGCCGAGATGCTTCCTCGAGCTCGTGAGTCTGTCCTACGCTCCATTGAAGACGAGGGTATGTTCTGGGGTGAGGATGCCGCGTTTCGCTTGGTGCAAATGTTCAATGAGGCAGCAAAGCGAGGCAATCCAGATATGTGATGCATGCTTCTGAAGTCTTAGTGATGGACTAAGGGCTCGTTTGTATTCGACTGTATGATTTGTACTATATTGTATCTAGAGAAGAGAAATGTCATTTTCCCATCGAGTCAGAAGATTTGATCCGGATAACTCTACGTAGCCTGTTCCTCTGTGTAGGGCACACTTACCAAGTAACTTGAGATAGCGAGGGAGATTTGGGAGCCTCCAATCTAACAGGTAGAGCCTTGAATTCAATGTCTATGGCCCTTCTCAAATTCGGCAACCGAACCAACTGCTCACAGACAATCGAAAAAATAATAATCTTGTATGTCGTCATTCATGATGCTAGAATCCAGGATAGAACCAACTTGAAATCACAAAAAGGAATTCTCAGATCAAGCAATTAAGTTATCACTTATGTTTCCTTCTTCGCGTCCGGCGCTTGAGAGGATTCGCCCGTTACTTCGGATTCGGCAGTCTCTAGTTGGGAACTCGTAGCTGAGCTTTCCTCCTTTACTTCCTCATTCGATTTGGGGTCTCCGAGAACAATATCACCGTCATTGTCGACGTTCGACTCAGTCTTAGCAAGTGCCTCCGATGAAGGGTTTTCTGCAGCCGCAGCGGGGGCATCAGAGACAGCAGGATCACCTTCCGTGCCAAGGCTCACTTCTACACCCTTGCCGTCCTGCAAACCCATGTCTTCGACGCCGAGAAGAATTGGACCACGAGCATGAGGCACCTCGTCAGATGGCTCTGGTGAAGCAGTAGGAGTCTTATCTTCAGTGGCAGGGAGTATGGTGGCCGCTGCATCAATCTGTCCCTCTAAAGGTTCAGAAAGTGGTTCCTCGGCGGCTAGAAACAGGTATTAGCAAAAGTCAGACCAGAGATAGGGCAGTGGTTTAACGTACCCTCGCTTAGTACGTTCGCATCCCCATTCACATCGACATCCTCATCAGCAAACGAACTGTTACTCAACCATGGAATTGGAGTAAGTAGTGCACCGCCCAGAGATTCATCACTCCCCAGGCCTTGAAGGTAGTCTGGAGCCACGTAGACGCCGCTGCCCTTCCCGGGATGCACGAGCCCATTCGACTGGGCCTCGTCTGCAGCTGGAGTTTGGAATGGAAAAATGTCTGCGGAGCTTGTGACTGAGGTTACACGATCGACGGCGCGTAGATACGCAGGTAATGTCTTATAGTGCTTTGTGGGGTACAGGACGAGCTCTGCAAGTCTCTGTATGGTGTGTGGGGGCTTGTCCGTGAAGTACGAGTGAATGGATGAGCGGATTGCGTTCAATAGTAGAGCCAGTGGAGGTGGGAGGCTCTCTGTGCTTTCGTTGGACGGTTGGGGCTGGGAGTCTGGTACGCGCTCAGCCGATGGAGAACCAGGTTGCGCACCTTGGGGTGAGGTCTCGAGGTCTGCGGGCGCAGCATTCTCCTTGTTACTGCTTTCGGGTGGGACGTTGTTTTCTTCGGAAGGGTTGGGGAAAGACTGGACCCCTAAGGTCCTGGGGCGCACTTGAGGCATGGGGAACACATTGTACACGATCTGAAATCATTGGTCAGGTGGTTTGATCGCAAGGGTCAGAGGTTTGTTGCGCACATGTTCGAGTCTCTCGATCATCGATACAGCCATGCCGTTCCATCTCGCTCTGTATCGTTGCGTCAGTCTGATAGGGATCACGTCTCCAGATGCTGCACATACAAGTCAATGGAGCCGCCATTGGCGGCTGTTTGGAGAGCTTCCTCGTCTGGGATCCAGAGGTTAGCAAAGAAAAGTAGTGGTGACTCGCATCCTGCGACTGTGATGGTCTACTCACCCAGAGACATTGTCCAGTCAGCTGTGCATGAGAGACGAAGTCGAAGCTGCGACAAGGTACTGTGGCGGTGACAACGGTGATTGGCCCGAGCTTATCGATAGGAGCACGTGACTCTCCGCGAATTTTCGGAGCTGAGGGGCACCGTCGATCTCTCGCTGTACATATCCTGAGCAATTCAGTCATATATCACATCGATTCGACATTATGTGGAACTCACCCAAGGTTGGAATCCTCGGTGGTGGCCAGTTGGGCCGTATGCTCGTCGAGTCCGCCAACCGATTGAACATTCAAGCCAATGTCCTAGACGTCGAGAACTCTCCCGCCAAGCAAATCAGTGCCCACGACGGTCATGTCACCGGTTCCTTCAAGGAGCGTGAGTCTGTGCGCAAGCTGGCCGAGTCTTGCGATGTTATTACCGCCGAAATTGAGCACGTCGACACTTACGCTCTCGAAGAGGTTGCCTCGAAGGTGCGGGTGGAGCCCAGTTGGCAGGCTATCCGGACAATCCAGAACAAGTTCAACCAGAAGGAACACCTCCGCAAATATGGCATTCCTATGGCCGACCACCGTGAATTGCAAAACAACACACCCCAGGAATTGGCACAGATTGGCGAGCAGTTGGGCTACCCGATGATGCTGAAGTCGAAAACTATGGCATACGACGGACGTGGTGAGTCATGCATACACTTGGTGGTCTATATTGCGGTACTTATGGTATACAAGGAAACTTCCGTGTCAACTCCGAAGCAGACATTCCCGAGGCTCTTGAAGCTCTTAAGGACCGACCTCTCTATGCCGAGAAATGGGCCTACTTCAAGATGGTTAGTTCCCTACGCTCGATATCGACTCCGTTATTCTCTAATGTGATTTTGATTAGGAACTCGCCGTCATGGTCATTAAGACAAAGGATGATGTTCTCTCCTACCCCACCGTCGAGACAGTCCAAGAGGACTCCATTTGCAAGACGGTGTACGCTCCAGCCCGCAACGTCCCTGACGCCATCAATCAGAAGGCGCAAGCCCTCGCCCGGAAAGCTGTCTCTGCATTCGAGGGCAAGGGTGCTTTCGGTGTCGAGATGTTCCTTCTTGAGGACAACAGCCTGATGCTCTGCGAGCTCGCAAGCCGAATCCACAACTCCGGCCACTGGACCATGGAGGGCTGTGCTCTGTCCCAATTCGACAGCCACATCCGTGCCATTCTCGACCTTCCCATTCCCCCCAAGAGTCTCGAGCTCCTCCAGCCTTCGATCATGCTTAACATCATCGGCGGTGCAACCCCCGACTCTCACCTGAAGGCCACCGAGGCCGCCCTCTCCATCCCCAACGCCACCATCCACCTCTACAGCAAGGGTGATGCCAAACCCGGCCGCAAGATGGGCCACGTCACCGTCACTGCAGCCACCATGCACGAGGCCGAGACCCTGATCCAGCCTCTGATCGATGTCGTTGACAACATGCGCGCCCAGCGCTCCGATATCAAGACTAAGGCCGCACCATCCGGTCCCTCCAAGCCCGCCCCCTCCATCGGTGTCGTTATGGGCTCTGACAGTGACCTGAAGACTTTGGTCCCAGGTCTCAAGCTCTTGCGCGACTACTTCGGCCTTGAGCCTGAGGTCGAAATCACCTCCGCTCACCGCACACCCGACTACATGGCCGAGTATGCGGCCAAGGCTGCGTCGCGCGGAATCAAGGTCATCATTGCTGCCGCTGGTGGTGCTGCTCATCTCCCTGGTATGGCAGCTGCGCACACTGCGCTCCCCGTCATCGGCGTTCCTGTGAAGGGCAGCGTCCTCGATGGTGTCGACAGCCTGTACAGCATCGTGCAGATGCCTCGTGGTACGTTCCATCAACCCTCTATATCTAGCATGGCAGAAATTCTAACTCGAAATAGGTGTCCCCGTCGCAACAGTCGGTATCAACAACAGCATCAACGCTGCCCTCCTTGCTGCCCGCGTGCTGGGCTCTTTCGACCCCTCTATTCAGCGCAAGGTTGAGGCATACGCCGAGGCTGCGCGTGCCGAGAACATGGAGTTGAAGGGTACCAAGATGCGCGAATTGGGGTGGCAGAAGTACTTTGATCAGATGTAAGGGTATGGTTTGGACTATGACGAAAATTTTTATACGAAAGCGAGACGGATAACAAAATGTGTGGAGATGCATCTTCCCTGGCCTCTTGTACAGTGGAGGGTCTTTGGCCTCCTTTTATAGACGATATTGAATGACATTTGACCTTATTTTAGCTGGTTGCAGGGACTGAATTTGAATGTAACCCAAACTTGTAAGTGATGGATAGAATATTTATTGATTGTTATTTCTACTATAACAGTATACATATGAAAATCCTCACCTGTGAGTAACGGCAGCCCTGTGCAGGTGCGAAGAATATCAACAAAAATCAGGGGCAATGTCAGCCGGGTTAGCCAATAGACTCTGACAGTCCAGTCCAGGGCTCAGTGTTGACTCGCATTCAGCTCGATGAAACGAAACGAATTGCAAACCACTGCGAAAGGGCCCCCCAATATGACGGGGTTAGGCCTGCTAAGAGGTAACTGGTGTAATATTTTCGGTCACGAATTGTTGGACGCTTCGCGCCTGAATGGCCTGCGGGGGTTGAACTCATGGGAGTTTGCTCCTGATGCAGGATCTATATGAAACCTGCGAGTGAACTGCCAATATAGTCATGAAGAAATACGAGATGTTGTATACTTGTTGCTACTGTTGGCTGTTGGCGTTTTGTGTACGTCTGGTTGATTGCTCAGCCTGGAAATGAGGCGGTAGTCACTGGGTCTCGGGGCAAAAGTACGAAATCGATATGTACGCTTAAAGATGTTCAAGATTCAACGCAAACAGCGGTGGCATTATGTATTAGGCTACCGTAACCGATACTCGTACAAGAAGATGTCCGTAGTGCACAAGGGGAAATCATAACGAAAAGTCACAGAAAAAAGACCAAAACGGTATCATCAAAGGATCGAATACTGAGAAGACAAAGACAAAAGGAAATGACGTTATACGAATGTCATCAGAAAGAATTGGACGCGGTCCAATTTAAACGGCAGCAGTGGCGCCGTTAGTGCCGTTAGTGGCGTGAGTACCGTTGGTATTCTTGACGGCGTCGCCCAAGTCAGGGGTCTTGCCGTTGACAAAGGCCTTGTCGACCTCGTCGGAGAATCCGCGGGCGCCATTGATGGGGCTGTTAACGCCCGCGGCGGCGGCTGTGGCGTCGCCAGAGGATCCGGCGGCGGCGGCAACACCGGCCGCACCCGCGCCGTTGGTGCTGGCGCCGTGGGGCTTGGTGGTGATCTTACCCGCGGAGGGGATGTCAGTGGACTCGGAGGCACTGCCGAGGCTGAAAATAGGGGACTCCCAGCGGTCGCCCTTGGCGGCCAGGTCGGCGTACTCGGTCGCCTTGCTGGAGACACCGCCAGGAAGCTCGATGTCGGGGAAGATCGAGTCGTGAAGAGTCATAACGGTCTGAACCTTGGTGTCGCGCTTGACGGCACTCTCGGCCTGCTTGGCCTTGGCCTGGGTGCGGGCGCGGATGGCGTCAGAGTAACGGGCGAAGATTGTGGGGGCGTTCTCGGGATCCTCGCGCGCAGCTTCCTGGGCACGCTTGGCCTCGGTGTGGATGTCGTTGGCGAAGATGTCACCATTCTTGAACGCCTCACGAATCTGTCCCTCAACGACCTTCTGCAGGGCGGGGCGGACAACGCGGAAGAGCATGGGCTTGAAGGTGTTAAAGAGAAGCTTGTGGCTGGACTTCTTCAACTTGATGTCCATGTTCTTGATGGAAACGTTGACCTTGTCCAGCTTGACAAAGTGCTCCTTGTCACCCTTCTGAGCAGTGGAGGCAGCAATCTTGACGCTGAGACCCTCGCCGCCCAGGAAGATGTCCATGACACCACGGTCGGTGATGGCGGGGAAGCCTTCCTTCTTCTTGATGTAGTAGCTAACATCACGGAGGTCGGCCTGGATGCCAGACATGGCGATCATGATCTTGTTGTCACGCTTGTTGGAAATCTTCTTGCGGCCCCAGCGGAAGTAGTTGTCGCTGCCGAACTCCACAACGTTGGGCATGAGGTTGTCGCTCTCGATGGTGAGGTTCTCGACGACAACATCAACCATAGGGTCTGAGACTTCGATGCGGGGGATAGGAACGTAGCGAACATTCTCGAAGATGCCGGGTAGGATGATATCGCGGAGATCCTTCAGGAGCGCGGGCTTGAACTCAGGCTTGCCATTGCTGTCGTGACCAAGATCCTGGAACAGCTTCTGGAAAGCCAGGGCAAGAGCCTGGTTCTGAGTATCCTTCTCAAACTGGTCGGCAAGGAACTTGGCCTCGTCGACAATACGGTCAGAGTGTCCACGGTAGCGCTCACGCAGAAGGTAGCGGCCCTTGTCATAGAGCTCGTTCCACTGACGGTTGCACTCCTCCTCCATGATGAAGCCCTGCTCCCGGAGAGACTTGCGGATCAGGTTATCAACGTTGGTGAACCAGTTGCGCAGCTCGGGGTCCTTCTCGGCATCGTGGTAAATGGTGTTGAGGGACTCGAAGAAGCTGTCCAGAGAGGTGTTGTTGGCGAACCGCTCGATAAGGGTGCGCAGGTTGTGCTTCACGGCTTGCACACTATCACCCTTGATAACATCGCGGGCAGCGGTGCCACTCTGCTTGGAGACGTCCTTGGTGTGACCAGCATACTGCTCGGCCAGCGTAAGCAAAGTCTCGACGGCTTGCTGGTCTGGGGAAAGTTAGTCTTGTGTGCAGCTGAGCGGTTCAATTGTGCTTACAGTCGGCGTGACCCTGGATCTCAATGATCATCTTCTTCAATCGCCAAATGGTCTGCTCACGACGCTCCTTGGGGATCTTGTCGTTAAGGTAGTTCTTGGTCTTATCCGCATATTCCTTTGTTTTGCTCTTTGTCGACGTTGTGGAGTCAACAGCAGACTGGTTCTCGGCGATAGAGGCAGAGGCAATGCTCTCCTTGTCCTGCAATGATGTGAGTGGCCACCCGATGGGAAGAATGGAGGGGTTTGCATACAGCCTTGTTGCGCTTGAACTTGGACTTCAAGTCCTCCTTGTTGACGTTGGGCTTCTCGTGCCAGACATTGTCCTCTGCAGCTTGGTCGATCTGCGCAAGATCTTCCTCTGAAGGGCGCACCTGGTTGGCGGCTTTCTGTGAGGCATCTGCGGCAATATCCTTTCCAAGGGTGGCGGCGTCGCTCACTGTATGGTGTTAGAGCTTCGGGTCGGCAACGAGGAATCAATCGAGCTTACAGAGCTTGCGGAACTCTCCGTTGGTGATCATCAATGTGCCCAGAGTCTTCAAACCCTCAGCAGCCTTGCTGGCATCCTGCTTGCCAGCATCCTTGTCGACAGGAAGGTCAGGGCGCTTGGCATCACCAGCGGTGATCTTCTGCGCTTGCCAGATGAAGTCCTGAATGAGTTCACCCTCATTCTTCACCAAGAGCATCTTCTTGGCGGCGTCGATGACATTGCGCAGGTCGGCCACCAAGGTCTTTCCGTCGGCCGAGAGCTCACTTGGGGGAGACTTCAGAGCCTTGGAGTTCAAGGCAGTGTTCAGGGCAATGTCGCATTGTTTGTTCTGTGGGTCAAAGACCAGGTTAGCGCGGCGCGATCCAGCAGTAGTGCGAGACGAACCGAAGGAAGCTTGCTGTTCTTGAAAGCTGTCGCAACGAGTCAGCGTGGTCAATGCGGTGATTTCAAGGCTTGGCTTACCATGGAAAATACCGAAGAATTGGAGCTTCTGGTTGATATCCTGGGGAACTCGTCAATTTTGGAACCATTGGCGCAATTACATCCCATCATACCTTCTCCTTTTGCTTCGTATCGGTGGGAACGTTCACAGCGTTCGACATGGTGATTCAATGTGTGGTAAGGACAAGGTCACAACAGGTATTATGTATGGACTGAGTGAAAGTTAGAGGATAGTTTGCAAGAAGGACAAACAGTACAAACTGGGTATTAGCAATTAATGTCTTTTTTTTTTCCCTCAAGAGTACAAAGCAAGGGGGGGTATCACTGGAATGAAGGAAAAAGAAATGGGAAACGGATACAGAAGGGATGACGGAATATAAGGGCTAGGAGCATAGCGCCATGATGAGCTAAGGGGTCTCTACCTCCCGCCTAATACGTACGTACCACACGGCAATGGGGTACTTGAGCCATAGGGTAGCGTACACGCCGTATCGAGGTATCCAAGGCCCCTGGGTACTTTACCTAAAGCGTTGTTGTATGATCGACAGGTGACGTCATCCTGTCGTGTCCTGGAAATCAGCTCCCTGTTTGCCCTCGCCCTTTTCTTTTTTTTTTTTCCTACCCTTTTTCCCTCTGAGCAGACTACCTAGGTATTCGCCAATGTCATGTCTAACCTCTTAAAAGTACAATGTCCATGGGTTCAGAATTGGTCCAAATTCTCAAGTACGAGTATATAGTCCTAAGGGGCAAAGCCCCATCCATAAGGCTACATTATTTTAAGCTGCAGCTTTCTCCATATGACTCCATCGGGTCTCAATTCAAGGCCCCATACCCGATCTACCAACTTTGCGAGGATCGAGACTCTTGGCACACGCGCTCCATCATCATTCTCCACCAGTGGAGCTTGATAATCTAACCTTGACGTCAACTTTCGATCCTTTATTCTGTCCGTGGCTTGTGCTCGTACGAGTATGACATAGTGACACGCAATGCTAACTCAATGCATATTGCAATTGATCTTTGAATCCTGGGTGGTTATGATTCTCAGCTTAAACACTCCAGCTCAAGCTCAAGCTCAAGCTTACAAGTAAGCTCAAGTTTAGGTCTCTCGCTCTCGCTCTCAGCCACCGGCAGGACCACAGAAAGAAAAAGGGGTGGCTGGAGGCTGTGCACACTAGACCCTCCCCTTTGCCGCATTGGACTTAGTGTCTCCATTTCCGTTCCCACCCTTCGCGTTAATGCTGACCTTGATCGAGAGCTTCATCGGATTCTTTGTAGTGTATTGTTTCGTTTTCATCGGTATCGGTACCACGTGCGCTTCATCGCGCCTCCATGGATTCATTTCCCTGGCCATTTAATTCGTCCTTCGACCTGAATCCGGTCCTTGTTCTTCGTTCCCGGAAATTCTGACTTCCACGGAACTCGTCTCACGCGACACCCTGAAGCCAATGCTCGATCCTAATAGCCGACTGTCTAGGAATGTTTCCGATCATTGCGTTCAGGGGCTCTCGTACCTTGCATAGACGCCAGAGAGACGCCTCATGTACGGGTAATTTTAGAACCACGCGAAGAACTCCCCCTGTTCCGCGGTCCGGCTCCAGACACTCCGTACCCCTACGGGCCACTCCGCATACGAGTACACCCCAAATCCTCCGCACCCGAAGGCTCATCTTCTGAGTCTGGCACTCTTTCGTACGGAGTAATTTAAGCCTCTCACGCAAGCCACTAATCTACAGTGACTATCCCCAATATCGTCTACTATCCGCAACAACCTTCTCCTCCCATCCCTCCTCAACAAGAGGCCCGACAACCTCCACGCCAAACTGCCCTTTCTCAAAAACCACCCGACAAGGCAAATCCAACGTCAAATTCTCCTCATTCCCCTCCCCAATGACCGCCTGCAACGCCTTCTCCGAAGCAAGATACACAAGCCGACCAATATGGGCCCAGTAAATGGTCCCCGCGCACATCGCGCACGGCTCCCAGGTTGACACGAGTGTACAGCGCGACAGGTAGGTCCAGTCATAGTTGTCTGCTGCGTTGCGGGCGAGTTCACTTTCTGCGTGTCGGACGTGGGAGAGGGAGTTCGAGCTCAGGAGAATCGTTTCGTTATCTGGGGCTAAGAGGATGGCGGAGAAGGGTCGCTTCTTGTGAATGTCTTGTGCGGAGGCTTGGGTGCTTAGGGCTGCGCTGGCGGCGGCCGTGAGTTGGGAGCCTGTCAGGGGGGACAAAGCTTTTGTCATTGTTGCGAGGTCTGATGGCTTGGCTTCACTCTTATCTTGGTTTGGACGTGAGAATCATGGTGGCTTTGTGCGTGCTTTATGTACGGTGCTTGGATTGCAGCTCACGGCGGATGCCGACGATGCGGGATCTGGGGTGAGGGGAAACTGAATCTTCCCCTCTTACAAAGTTTTAAGGTGAGACATGTCTGGATCGGTACTCGTAGATTGTTATTTGTGCATTATAGGCATCAAATTGCTATTTACAAGAACAAGAGACATTTAGGTCATTATATATGTGAGATCGTCAAATATCCGAATTTGTCAGACTCGGCGTTTGTGCAGCAGAGAGAGTCCGTGTGAGCGGATTAGTGGACGACCCTTTCGAGGAAACTCGCACACGGGTGCGAGTACCGTTCTCTAGGTTATCTGCAAATCGGGCCTCATCTATATCGGGTTGAGGTGTTCCATTGTTGTGGAATGAAAGATCCACAAAGTCCGATAGGTCGGTAGGATCCGTACTGCTACCCCCGATCTCGGTGATATCAACCAGCTTGCCCAGAATAGCGTATTCCAACTTGAGTTTGATGCTGTAGACCAGGGCTTTCAGGGTGACATGGATGTCAAATAGACCGGAGTACTGAACTCCTATAACGGCTGCGTCCATGAGAATCATGGCGATATTCACAATCAAGAGCTGCACCAATGTGCCTCTATAGTGGCCTCTGGGGCGAAGATTCAAGAGCCGCACGCCCTCCCAGGCGTAAATGACGGAGAGAATGATTTCTTGTATGGAAAATCCAACCAGCTGGATGCGCTCGAAAATGTTGAATCCGGTATCAAAAATAGTAGATTTGGTTGCGTGGCTGCCCAATTCGAGAACCGAGCCTGGGATATGGAGGATTATGGCGTCGATGATGATCATGGCGAGAGTGGCGCGCAGGACGCTGGGGTTGTGACAGACGAGATGGAGTCGAGACCAGAGTACCAATGACTGGCCAGTGACCATGCCCACCCAAGCGACCAATTCCATGGCAACGGGGAATAAATTGGTGTAGATGTTGTAAATGATAAGGAGGTATCCCAGGCCAAATGGGATGATGCTGAAGGAGGCAATGAGGAGACACCAAAAGTAGCACCCGCCATATCGCTTGAAGGTTGTGAAACACAGAACGATCAATTCCAAGGCATTGTACCACGCAATACCTATAAGACAGGCGACTATGGTACGTTCTGCGAATCGGCCATCGGAATCGCGATCAGCGAGGCTGAAGGTGCGGCCGGTAAGGTCGGCGCTCGACATAGGGACATTGCCGTATAGACCTAAAGAGTGCACATGGAGAGAGAGAGAGAGAGTACTGAGAAAAAAGCTCGAAGTTTGGAGGTTCAGGGATGGAGAAGAAGGAGAGAAGTTGGGGTCTAAAGTGTAAGTTTAAGAGCAGAAGGTAAAAACGCAGTGGCGGAAAGCCAAAGATAGTGGCCTCGGGCCTTTCCCCATGTGTTGAGGGATATCGATCAACAGCGATTGGCGGTTCCAGTGGAATTAAAATGGGGCTTCTTGGAGGTTTCCCCGATGCGGGCGAACGCGAACTGCTGATAGGACCCCCCGTCCCACAAGCTCATCGGCAAAACCACCATTCGCCCCATTAACGGCCTTATCTGCCTCTCTTACTCTTTTTCTCCAATGTACCAGAGGTAGGTGCTCAGGAACAGCGAAATGGACTGCATTGGTACAGCCTCAATTTTTAGTTCAATCTGGACTGCACCAAGGTTCAACAGGTTTCGCCAGAAAATGGGAACGTCACGGAGATAACGGGAGGCAAATTATAATCTTTACTAATGTTCGTTTCTAATCTCGCCGTCGACTACGGAGTACGCACTACTCTATTTCCGGAAGCTGAGGTCAATTCACTAGCACCAGGTGAGTTAGCCTTGCTAAGCCTCATTGCTTATTGGCCGCACTTTGAAGGCCTGAGGCAGATTCCATTTCGGTTTTGGTTTTTACTCTCGCTAATCTCAGTATATCTACGATCTAGGGAAACCCAGGCTTTGGTGTCTTTCCCACGTGAGCTTTCCCACGTGAGCCATGATCGAGTGAAACGGTCCGATCCGTCAACTGGCTCGTTCTGATGTTGACTTTCTCGCACTGCCCAAGTCGTGTGTTCCTGCCTAAATAGGAATAGACCCCTTAAGCCGTCTTTGCAGGATCTTGTTAAAGTTGTCGTTTGGCTCTCTGTCGGCTTTCTAGCTCAACGTAAAAAAGCCTCAGTACTGGGATGGTGCGGCTGCCGGGGTGATGAAACGAAGAAGCCTAGCTGACTGGGATACGGAGGTCATGGATGTAGCCCAATCAACACCGGACAACCAATTGTAGATTATTTCGAACGTTCACAGTTAAATTCCACTTAAGACCGAACGTAGGTATGCTCACTAGGTCTTGTCAGCTTGGCGTTCTGGTTCGGACCTGATCATTTAAGAAGCTCGAAACCAAGGATCCACAGCAGTGGAGTCTAGACCGTGGAAGTTGGCCTGAGGTCTTGGGTAGTCATCCACATCAGAGGCGCAGTGGTATCAAACAGATGTCTTGGAAGCCTGACACACAAAACCCGAAGTCAAACATAACTCCATGCCAAAAGCCGACATTTGGGACCGGACCCTCGTCGGTACGATTCACCGAAGTGAGATAGTGTGACTGGAAGATAAATGGAGCTATAGCAGACGCAGTGATGATTTAATGAGAAAAGGGCGGAAGAGAGGTCATTACACGCGATATGGATGGGTTCGAGTCAGATGTGGTGTCTGGTGGCTCGGGGAATAACCTTCCATTTCCGGAACATTAGGGTTGATCAATCTCTTGATGGGGGCTATCAATTTGTCTCTGGGTATGGATTCGATGAGGCAGATTGAATAATCTTTCAGCACGAATCGATCGAAGCGGAAGCTAATCGGGGAATGGCTTGCATGTACTATCAGGTCAGGCTTGCGTTCAAAAACTTGGCTCTGGGATATTTTGTACAGGACTCACCTTGCATTACCCTCTCCTCACTTTCTTTTGCGGGTCATGGATGTGTTCTCTTATTAACCCGTCGACGACAGCATCCGAACTGGTCGGTGTGATGTGTTTGGTCGAAAATTGGAGCTTGACACATAGCTGTACTTGGGTTCGCCCCAGCCCTAGTGTAGATACTAGGTTGTGTTGAGATATCTGTAGACCCGAGGTCAGACTGCCACCTGGGCAGTAGTAGATCGGGGAGAGCTCTCTTCTCTCCCTCTTCCCTTCTCTCTCCTCTCCAGACTCTACGACAGCAAGAAGATCAAAGGTTTATTGCGGATCGTTCTCTTCGATCCGTTGCTAGCTCCCTTCTCTCTCACACAAACAAATCTGAGAATCGAGTGGTTTTCCGTCCGCTTCTTCTTCTGCCGTAGGTTCTGAGAATAGCCATGGGTGCGAACGGAACCGTTGAGTCTGGCTCTTCATACAATCAGCGTTTTGATTGTTTCGCGTTGCAGTGATCCTAGTTGTGAAACTCCATAGACAACTTTGAAGAGACTTCAGTAGTAATATTGTTGCAATGATTCTAGCTTGAACCGCGCAAGGGGGAGAGAACGGATCGTGGCGGGAGGGGAGAGAAAAGAGCATGCTGAGTGTTACATAAAGAGAATATGTACGGTGGTGTCTACGAGAAATAACTATGGCTTGGTTTGTTTATTAGAGCTATAGACGGGGAATAGGAAGCCAGATGAAGAAAAAGAAAACAAGTGAAGCTTTAGGAGAAGAGATGGCTCTAGTTTGTGGAGGAAATGATGTCAATGATTCAGCCTCATTACCCACGGGGACAACAGTTGAATAGAAAGAATGGGAGGAATTCCATGAAAACCTCAAAGGCACCTGCCTCCCCTCTTGGGTTGAGTCCGGCAATTTCGTGAAGACAGTAGCATCTGCTAGCGTCAACTGTACTAGTATGTAGATTGATGTTTGCACGTGAGCCTTGACGGAGATAATCAGAATTTTGGGCTTCGGTCCTTTCAGTCTCCAGAAGACATGCTCAATGCCTATCATTTTGTTGGATGGTGAAACCACGAGGTTAAGAAATACCGACCTCCTTGGTATGGCCAACCTTGGAACAAAAGGGAGTTGTAATATTTCCAAGATTGAAACACCAACAAGAGGAATGGCGCCCTCTGAACATCTTTTTTCTAAAATTGTGCTCAAGTGTGGATCAAACGGGTTTACACTCACGCAAGTGGTATATAGTCCCCTGTACTCTATCCCTTTGATGTACATTTGACACAACCCCAACTTTAGAAAGTGTTCGAGAAATTGTTGGGGCCTTCAGTGGCACATCCGAAGTCATGGCACTTCTCTTTTGCTTCGCCTTCCTCTCTCCATGCTTGTATTTTTCCCTCTCTCTCCGCAACCCAACAATAGCTTTGATCTGAATCCTTTCTTATAAGTCCCTTTGTAGCTCTTCAGATGTAACAAGGGCCCACGGATTCTGGGGAATGATCGCCAGACAAAGCCGATCTTCACGGTCACTATTGGCGAAGTCAGCTTGGATACAAGTTTTGGAATATGACTTAAGTATTTATATATGAGCTGTATATGTGATACCCGATAATCTTATGAGATTATGTGACAGAAGGGTGGGTCAGGCTACCTCAGCAAGCACTTCGTTCGGAGCACGGAGAACGGAGTGCATACTTCCTTGTAGACGCGTCATGAAGCCACCGGGAAATTGATGGCTAGCTGGATTACCAGGTGGTGAAGGCTGGGAAGAGGGTCGCCGCAAGGCAGTTGTAGGTTACGCAGTTGTTTCAATAGGGTTGGAAGGGAAAAAGAAATTTTTACAAGGATGACTGGAGTAAAAGGTGAAAAAGTCGTTAAATCAGATTATAAGCTTTTATGACAATATTTTACATTAGAAATGAATAATGTCATTGACCAGGAAGAGAAACAACGTAAAGTGTGGAAGGCGAAGAAAATCTTCATGGTTCTATGCACAAAAGGCGCCTTCACGTATGTGCGCCGAATAATGTCAGGAAGAAGGGTCCCAAAACGCTACCCTGCGTTGCATATCATGAATGGCTTCTCTGTAAAACAATATGTTCAATCAGAGGGGGGAATCACATTCGAAAAATAATTTACAGCACGTTGTTGGCAACGGTGTCAACGACGGCGCCGACGGGGGTGCCAACGGAGGGGAGACCGAGGCCAGAAACGAGGGCAACAACGGAGGGAGAGAGCTTGATGAGCAGGTGCTTGCCGTCAGTGCCGGTGACCTGGAGGAGGTTCTCAAGGGGCTCGGAGACGTCCTTGAGGAGGTCACCAACGGAGGAGGCCTCAGCGACGATGGAGCCAACGGGGCCAGCGAGGGAGTGGAGGCCAAGGCCAGAGACGAGAGCGGCAACGGAGGGGGAGAGCTCGATGAGGAGCTGCTTGGCGTTGGCACCGGTGACGGTCAGGGTGCTCTTGACCTTGGGGGCAACGTCCTGAACGATCTCACCGCGCTTGAGGTTCTTGCCGAGGGTGGCAACAACGGTACCGACGGGGGTACCGACGGAGGGGAGACCAAGACCAGAGACAAGACCAGCAACGGGGGCGGAGAGGGAGATCAGGAGGGCACCGACATCAGCACCAACAACAGTGACGAGACCGTCAACAACGGGGCCGAGGCCAGTAACGAGGCCACCGAGACCGGAGGCGGAGGCAACGATGGAACCAAGGGGAGCACCGAGGCCAGCAAGGCCAAGGCCAGAGACGAGGGCAGTGACCTCGGGGGAGAGCTCAATGAGCAGGGTGGAGGCATCGGGGCCGACAACGGTCAGGATGTTGTCAAGCTGGGGGCCAAGGTTCTGGACAATGTGACCGTTCTGGATGGCGGGCACGCTGGAGGCGGCGGAGGCGGCGCTGGAGGTAGCGGAGCCGGAGAGAGCCTTGGGGAGATCGGCAATCTGGGAGACGATGGGAAGCTCGTTGAGGTGGAGCTCCTCGACGAGGTTGCCAATCTTCAGAGTCTTAGCAAGGCCCTCGACGGGGTTGGTGGGAGCAGCGAAAGCAGAGCCAGCCAGAGCGGCGACAGCAGCGACGAAAGAGGCCTTCATCTTGAATTAGGGTATATAGAAACTGTAAAGAGTGACTGGAGTTTGTTTAAAGAAAGACTGAAGTGAGAGGCTTAGAGAAAGAAGAAAAAGTAAGATGGCCCTGCAGCGGGAACACTTATTTATACAATGGTGAGGATCTACAGGTACCGATCTCATTTAACCCCTGCTCCTTTTCCAAATTTCGCCTCTGCGTTGTTACTCGTATGGGGGGCATTAGTCTGCATCCTAGCCAGCGGGTCCGCTCCATAGTTGGGCCAACCCCAATAGGGTCATTGTATAAGGGTCCTCAAAATTACAAGTACAGAAACATTGAGTGGAACTACGAGTAAATAACCTCAATACATTCCTCCATTATGCCGAAATTTCCCACGGAATCGTCCAGAACAAGACACAGGCGCTTGTGCACCGTCAGGTTCCAATGAAATATATGGGGCTTTACGAGTATAGGAAGTACATACTCCGGCACGCAGCCTATGTAACACCGTTGACTCTATTGCACTCTGTGCAGTACACAAACAATACTACTTGTGAGAACTATCCCAAGACCAAGCCAGGTAAACAGGATATTCAAATCATCTTCCAGGGAATTGATGCATCCGTCATAGCCTCACCATTTCCAATTTACGGTAGCTATGCCGGAAAGTAAATCCGGACCTTGCCGGTCAACTACGAGTAACTACAGGCTCTTCTTATTAAGATCTGCACACTGATGTTTGGGGCATAAGGCATATCGAGGTTTATTTCATCCTAGATCGTACCCTATGCCGAAAGAGTGTTAGTTTAGACAGGTGTATGCGCCCCGAGCAGCTCCGCGGCGCCCTCGGATTGTGGAAAGTATGAAAATAACCATAAAATTTGTTTTTGGGGCATTTTCTGGAGACCTGGGGAGGCACCTTCTGTCAAGAGATGTCAGGCGTTTCAAATGGTCATGACAGCCCCCTGGCGTAATCCACTTTTCGATAAGGGATGGGCATTGTACATACTTCTTACGAGTATGCGAGGAACATCCCGCGTTCTCCGTCATCAGAATTTTTAATCCTGCTTTTGGGATTTTATCTTTCTTTGTTTTCTTCTCAATACTGTAATTTCAAAGGAAATTGGTGTGGGCACTCTTCGAGAGGAACAGAAAATGATCTGCACGACCACAACACACTCAGGGGACGATTGACGATCAAGCTGCCGTAAGGGTTCATAGATGAGAATCCAAATCAAATAGTTCGGAAGAATTACACAAATCAGCGGTCTTTATTAACGAGCTAGCCCCACCTACACGCCCATGTGGGCGGCAAAGAGACCTATTGCCCTCTAAAAGCCCCCTCGCTCCGGGGCTCCTTTTGGCACCCCCACATCCTAGGCGGCCCACCTTCCATATGGCTCAGCTGAATGGCTGCGGAGATGGGTCCAATTGGCCGATCGGAATCGATTGGCAGCTTAAAAAGAGCATAGTCAAACCTAACTTGGTCGGATTGATCCGCTACAGTCCCCGAAGTCAGCCACCGTCGGGACTTGAAATTCCCAGATCGTGTTGCCAAAAGCTTAGGGACCACCTACATCATCTCTCTTCCCTTGTTTGTTGATTTTTTTTTTACCGTTCATTCAACATGGACGAGTAGCTTACGAGTAGAACTAATGTCTAGGCATACCTACGAGTAGGTACGTACTGTACATATTATGCAAATTTTTAACATGCGGACTCTGTGGACTCGCTGTGGGAATGTTTCAAATGATCTATCCCATTGACAGATTATGTACACATGCAGAAAGCATCATGTACTCGTACTCCGTGCGATACATGTACTCGTACGAGTATGCTTACGAGTATTGCGGTCACCAAAGAGCTCTGTCGATCGGCGGGACTTCGGTCGTTCCCCGTGGATCCCCCTTCTGCCGAGCCGACTATCATTATCTCTGTTCCATGATAGGCTTGAATTAGCCTTCTGTAATTACCTTTTCGGATCGATCTATTGCCGTCTTCTAATAGTAGATACATTACAGCCGCTAATGTGCACTAACCATATCAGGACGTAATCGACACATCAATTGTCAATTATTGTCTTGGTTTTTTTTTCCCCCATCATTTAACAGCTCTCTGCCCATCTTTGGGGCCGTGATAAATGTTCAAAAAATTGCCTTCTAGTACATCTTGTTTACATGGAACGTTGAAATGCTCCGTGGAAATATGAGTCACTCCAGAAAGCTTCTGGGTCGTGCCGATCTGTTCCTGCATCCGCTGTGCAGTCCGAGCCCACCGGGATGGGTTTGCCCCATTTGCCAGATCCACAGACTGACGGAGTACGAGTTGTAATTAAAGACCCCCGGCTACTCGTAACTCCATACTCGTCCAGTCTTGGCGAGAAGAAACGAGAGATGACAAAATAATCAATACGGAGTATGCAGGGTTGGTTTGGGTTGAGGATTGGTATGAGTCTGATCTCGAGGAAGCTCACGGGAGATGAATCGAACTCACCGACGTACGGAGGTACGAAATAACTACGAGTACGGAGTAGCACAACAACCTTGGAAATCACCGGCGGGTGATGCGGCATTTGATCACCACAGCAACTTCGTTTGACCGCTCATCCACACAGTTGAGCACTCCATCCAAGTCCAGAATCCAGGACTACGAGTATTTGGTTTGTTAATGAGAAACATCCATAGTCCATACTAGTACGAGTAGAATTGCCTAGAATGTCCTAAGGTTACTCGTACGAGTCTCCGTTTGTACCAGACACTCGTACGAGTACTCCGTACGGACTATCGATGAGCGGAGTGGATTCAATTTCGAAAATTCGGGTGTGATCAGCTGTATTGCGCCTGGAAAAGCATATCTACCGGGTAGGTACGAGTATCAAGCTCATGGAAGAACGACCCCTGGCTTCATGGTGCAGGAACCATGGATCGTAGGTGATCTATGATGTAGCCCTGTTGATATGCACAGTTCGACTGATCCTCAGATTCCAAGTAACTGAAATAGCTCCAGCATCCAAGCATGGCCTACTTGGTCCAGACCTTAAACAAGAGCCCACTCTTGTATATTTAATTTCAGATCCAACCCTAAAGTGTCTTCTGCTCGTACTCCATAATCAAAAGGCGTTGTGGTAACCAAAACGTGGTATGTGGGCAATGTGTCAGACAACGATGGGCGGAAGTGGATTTACCTAACGGGCAATAGTTTACTTGTATGATCTGTACGTGTGGGATTGTACTCGTACAGAAGCATGCTACATAGTCAACTGACATGTTACCCGCATAATTCTCTACCTCGCCTGGCACTACTGAGTACTGACTTCTCAGTTATTACCGTTGTGTATGCATTCTATATGCAGCCGATGCTGTACAACACAATGTACTTAAGTACGAGTAGGTGGCTTTGTGGAATAGGAAGGTTTGCCACGGTTGCTGCAATGAGCTCCATAACAATGCATTCTCAAGTCCCATACTGAAGTAGTACTCGTATTCCGTACTCCGTCTACACAGTGCGTAACACCCACCCAGGATATACATACTTAAGTGTCAGCTCCGAGTTCACAGCTTATACATACGGAGTACAGTGAACGGTGTAACAAACTATGAGTAATAGGTAAGGACCATCTGGACGGTGTCTCGTACGCACATTTCCAAAGTTAAGTATGCATCTACGGAGTACTGCAGCAAATTTTATGTACGCTAAAGTATTTGCACATAGTGGAGCAAATTCCAATACATACTTAAGTATCATGTTGTGGGTACTCCGTACCCAAGAGTCTTTGTACTATAGTTAATTAGTCACTCTGTGTGGTTCTAAAGTTACTTCTAAGGTTAGGGGTTGAGTAGTGCTCAAGTGTACGGACCAGAGCATATTGAATGCACATTAGGACTGGAGATTTGAGTGAGAATTGGCTAGGAACTACATGAGTACACGGCGCTTCTACCATCGGTTCATCCATACAGACTAATGTACCAGAGTGGAGAAGAAAATATCCTCACGGGTGACTCTCAGGTTACGGGGAGGAAAAAAATACATTAGCTGAAGGATGCCATTAGTTAGATACCTAGCCCTGGAGGTACGGAGTACGGAGTAGATATCACTTTGGGTATTCACATGCTCCGTACGAGTAGTCCAAAGCTATGGTGGTTTCTATTCAAGGCAGAAGAAAGGGGCTCTGTCACGCCATTTTGGACTGGTGTCCGTTGGTATCTTGGTATCCGCCCACTGCTCACAGCCCGAAAGCAATGAAGATTGCCAAAGGCTCCAAGCAGAAGTCCGTACTTGTAGACGGAGTAAGGGGTCGGATTTGATTTCAAGCTGCTTTCAATTCTTGGCTGCTCCGGCCCCCAATGGGATTCAGGCTGTATCTCCAACCCTGGAAGGTTGGTACTGGCAGCCCTCGCTGATGCAAAGAGAGATGCACGACCAATCCATGTTGCACAAGGATGCATCAGGAGGAAGTGGTAAAAACGAACTTCTTGAGTTCCTCACGTCTAGCCCTCACCAAAGCCGAATGAACAACATCACTATAAGAACTTCCTATCTGTAGGATGTTCATATAGTATTTCTTTTAACCTTGGAAGGTTGTCCATGGCTTAGTTTATATATGGGTGCCTGGCTTGGTAAGTGTGTAGTATGGCCTACTGTAGTTTCACGGTACTGAAGAGTGCTCCGTCTTAAAAGTTACTCTCCCTACCAATAACACTATAAATCGATGAACTACTCGAACAGAAAATTATCGGCATGACAACCTTGGAATATGACATATTTATTGGAATACTCCCGAGGTCCCCAATCTCAAGGTCTGTTCCAATTTCCAAGGTTTTATTGTTTGAATCTCGGAGAGACTTCGAAACTTCCCAGGCTCTCGCCGCTAGCTAGCTTTGCCTTTCAAATTCCGGTTTCACTTTGGTTTCCAAGATATGCTGCAGCAAATGAATATTTGTCAGTCAGGATTTCCTGACTCTAATTACCTACGCCAGGTGGTTTTCAGACTGAGCTCCGCTAGTCCACTGGGTCCGGGGCCATTGGACTGGATCGCTGAACCAACCTTGGGCTTTGATTGTGCCAGACAGCGGTGATTATTCAGATCAAACTACCTAAGTAGGTAACTATAAGTCCATGATGTACTTAACTTTAGAAGTAGTCTCACTTTAGAAGGAAGAAAAGATAGCTATAGGTCCGCTTCTATAAAGAAATCGAGGATGGACTTCAGGAGAACTGCTCAAGTGTTCCAGCCTTGGAAGGCTGCTAGACTACTCTGTACCTACTCCATCCATAGGCCAGATATATATCACAATTTCTACTTAAGTTTAGAACCCCGGGGCCTCCCTACCTCCTTAGGTAATCTCCAGCTTAGTCCACGGGTCTCTCCAACTATAGAGTAGTAGAACCACCTGTAGACCAAACTTCCAAGGTTACCTACTTAAGTATTTCCTAGATCCAGTACAAAGTACCTATACTCTCTCTGTTGCCGCTTCTTGCCTAAACCTGCCTACACTACTACTCCTTGGAGACTTCCAAGGTTTAGAACCGATCATTAAAAGCTCTACCCGCTTTCGAGTCCCCCGAACCGCACCCTCAATATATCTGTGGATTCCAACCTTGGAACTTAGAACCTGGCACGTCTCACACTATTGGTGAAACCCAACATAAAACCAGATGAACGTCGCCGGTCATGCGATAACGTTGGCACTAGATTTTCCAGGAAATTGCGAGTTATTTCTGGTATGTTAAATCTTTTCCACCTGTAGACCTAGGCAGTGAGAAATGTTGATGCTGTTGGTCAACCTCCCAAGATTGGGAGAACACGCATTCGTAACCTTGGAAATCTCCAACTTCCAAGCTTACTTAAGTAGCTACTTCGTTCAAGTTGGTATAATGACTCGATGGTTGATTCGCAGTATATTAATCTTGTGCAGTACGTGCAGGGGTATTTCACTAAATCCATAATTCATTTCTCCACATTCCGATTTCGTTGTTTTCCTCAACTTTTAGACAGCGTAATGATAACCCGAATATGAATCGCCGGCCAGCAGCATCCCCGATGACGGGTCTTGAGGGTAAAGACCCTGTTCTGACATGTAACCCATGGAGCTGTCCACAAGGGTCTTTCTGAGAGAGCCAGATTCGTCCTCGAATTGTTCCAGCAGCCCGTGCATATCCCACTTACGAGCGCAGAAATTGAGCAGGTCGCGGATGTAGGACAGACAGCGGAGAGCACGTGCATGGCAGTTAATTAGGTCCTCGGAATCTAACACTGGAGGGTCCGGAGTCCCTACTGGAACATGTGGGGGCGGAGGGACAGTAGCGCTGATGAGTTGGTCGTAATTCTCGGAAAGAACACACACAAATAGCCGGCCTACTTGATGAACACGTTGGATGTCGAGATAGGATAGGAAGGGCAAGGCGCTGGGATTCTCCAAAACCTGGTGAATTTGACTGATGTAGTCCATACATCGGTCAAACAGGAGGGCTTTGTTGTAGCCATGGAGCGTGGGGTATCGATGCGAAGGTGAAAGAAGAATGATGATGGTGTAAAGAAGTTCAAGTCGGTACAGGAGAGAGAAGTGATTGGGCGCAATTTTGGGACGCTGGCGGTACCATTCTCGGGCTCGCCAGCATAGAGTCCATGTAAGGACCAACGGTTCTGGGGATGGTTCACGCCCACTGTAATGCATTTCTTGGTAACCCACAGACAGTATCTGCCTGATCTTTACAATATGCAAGGCAGGTACTGGACTGCGTAAGAAAATATGACTCTGCTCGGTGGGAGCCCCCGATGATGCAGGCGTGAAAGGTAATGCAACATTGACAGATGCGTCGGAGAACGAAAAGGTTCTCTGCATGGTCGAACTTAATCCCCTGTTTCAAAAAGTCAGCAAAGCACACGTAATCCAAAGAGAGTCATGAAACAAACCTGTCTAGGCAATAGAGACAATGGAATACACGCCGGCGAATATCAAGTCGGTCGGCATCAGTTGGGACCTCGGTGGGAGGGTCTTGGTGGAGTCCTAGGTCGACGGCAACCTTGACAGCCATTCCAACCAAGTACCAACTCCGGAACTGTGCTGGATCAATCAAGGAATATTCAGCAAGCAACAAGATAGCTTGGATCCCAGAGATTGACCCCGGGCGAAGAACCTCTTCGGCATATGTCAATGCTTCCGCCACAAGGGCACGTGCCCTTTGGTGGTTCTTATCATTATTCTGATAGGAGATCGATGCCGAGGCAATGGCGAGTACCATTCGCAGCATCCAGTGGTCGAAAGGCTTAGCAAAACGACCGCCTGACTGATAAACAGCGTCTACCGATGTCCAAAAACTCGTTTCCACGAAGAGTGGCAGTTGAACGAAGACATTATCGAAATAATGTTGTAGTAACGGAGCTGCTTCGTGCCGAGCGGGGAGTGAGTTGTGTGAAGGGGGTTGGTTGGAATCAACCAGAGCGACTGAGAGGAGGAGTTTGGCGAAGGAGGTATTGGAGGTGATGCCGTGGAAGTCTCGTGAAGTTGCATTGACCGACCTTTTAAGGTTTCTATGGTCAGCGGGGAATCAAATCAAGAGATATTTGATGGTAGAACTCACAGAAATCCAAAATCTCCCACTAGGTCGTCGATATCGGAAACCTCTCTATGATGCGCAGGGCCCAATTGACCTTCGGATGCGACGGAGGTGATCGACATTTCCCGAGCGACCCCGTTGCCCTCGGCGGACAGGGACGTTGAGCGGGCACGCATCTGACTGATCTTCTTCTCCAGTTTCTCACAATATCCCTCGAGTGACGCGACATAGCTTCTCTCTTTCCCCTTGGCGAACTCATCGCTTGCCCCGGAGCAAGTGCTAGCCTTGCCTACCCGCTCACAGGCTGAACAGGCGGGGAGCTTACCATCACACTTGATCTTTGCGGTCCGACATCTCGAGCACGCAGCCACCGGACGACTCACCTTGAGCAAGGGATTATCCAAGAAGGTGGTGGCTGTGACGGACATGACTCATGATACTGACGAGGGTCAGCGAAACTCCGATAGCGAATCTAAAGGACTCACATGACTAGAATCGAAAGGGGGATGGCTAAAGAACGACCTGCATGAGCTGGGGGATTCAACGACTATCATTGCAGGAGATTAAATAAGCCCTTACCCACTTTTTTTTTGGTGATTTATGAAATTAGAGAAAAAAGAGAAGAAAAGAAACTGAAAATCAGAACCTCAAATTAAAATAAAAAGACGTTGAGAAAAGAAGACCAGAAATGTGCCATTTGCCGACCTTTGGGCTGTGATCTTCCGGACCGCACGGACTGTCGTAACCTTCTCTGTGCTTTTTACTGAGAACATTGGAATCTGGACTCTCTCCCTCCCTTTCTCTTTCTCTTTCTATTTCCTCTGACAGGAAATATATAAAACACGGCGTGCTGAGTACTAATTCTCACGGCTCACTGCATCCACTTTTCCAACGCGGAGACCCGTCGCTTGCAAAGTCTCTACGAGGCGCGTCGATCCAGATCTGGACCGAGGTTTGCCCCTCTCGTTACGGAGTACATGACTTGGACTGTGGCCCCATACGACTGGAGTACCCGTTTCATATCTTGGATCGGAGAGCCTCAAAGAACATGACTGTCTCCATTACCCTGCGATCTGCTTAACCCGCCTATAACGGCCCATGTGATCCGGACATTTTTCTCCTCTTTGACCCTTCCCTTAATACCCCCCCGTTCTGGCTCATAGTGGCTCACAGCCATGACCGCAAGCCCGGAATATTCCTCGGCAGCCCTCAAGTCGCCGGAATCACATTTTCTGGAGCCTCCAAACGGTCGCATTGCTCACACATTAACCGCCTGTACCCGGTGTAGACAGGTATGATGCGGCTTCGGTCTCTTCACATCCCACAATTTCGGCTTCCTTTTCCTACCACCCCCCATCGCCCTTCTGTGTTCCTTGGTGTTCAGGACCTTAATCTCATCCCGCCGCCACAGACTGACCCACCTTCCGTATAGCGAAAATCCAAATGCGACCCTGGCATCCCTCGGTGTGCCCCTTGTGAACGAAGCAATGCCAAATGCGTGTACTACGACTCGACGCGTGATTCGACGATACCTCGAACCTATATCGTATCATTGCGAGAGAAAGCTCGGGCGCTGGAACGTGAGCTCGCCGAAGCCGAGAAAGAGATCCAACATGCCGCCGATGCTGAGTTGATGGTGCGGGGTGCTGGGCGCATCCGCTTCAAGGAAAATGATGAGGCACGGTATCTCGGTTCCTCGAGTGGCATTGCCATGACTCGTCTAGTCATGGAAATGGCCAAGCAGAATACCGACTCCAAAAGCATCAAAGATGTCGTCCCAGAATTCACCGCCCAAGAGATTAAAGAAGCCTTCGCGCAAGAAGATTCGAAGCCGACATCCAAAATCTATCCCATGATAAGCTCAATTCCACAAGCCGACCTGCCTCCACAAGCTCTAACTTATAAATTGATCGATCTCTTTGTGGCCAAATGTACATGAGCTTCTCTGCATAGACCCTTGGGTAACCGTGACTGATGGGATTATAGCACAAGCACTCCTTCCGACTTTACACGAGCCAACCTTTCGACAAGAGGTAGAGGAAGTCTTCAATGGCTCTACGGACCCTTGCCAAAACTTCCAGCTCCGCATGGTCATCGCCATTAGCATGCAGAAAATGAGCACAGAATATGCCGGGCTGGCTGATAGCTATTATCTTGCCGCCTTGCCCTACTTGGAACCCACGTTGAAACGGATGGATCTAAGAGCTCTGCAATGTCTCGTACTCATCGCCTCCTATTCAATGTTGACACCCACTCGCACAGCTGCATACTGGGTCGTCGGAACAGCCGCCAAGCTGTGTCAGGATCTGGGATTCACCGAGGAAGCTACCATTACTACACCCCCCAATGGAAAACCGCTGAACCCACTGGAGATCGATATGCGCCGCAGGTTGTTTTGGATTGTCATATCCATGGAGCTGGGCCTTTCGCATAGTCTCGGCCGTTGCAACAGTTATTCAGTCAGCCATGATCACTTCAATGTGAAGTTCTTTGAACTAGTGGATGATCGATACATTACCCCTGCGGGAGTCACTCCAGGTGCGAAGCCTGTTCTGGCAAAATGTATCGCAGTCCACTTCTTCAAGATGCGGCTGCTGCAACTAGAGGCCAGACGAACACTGTACCTGAATCGAAGGGAAACGCCAGTGGATGATCAAGATCCATGGTTTTCCCAAATGATGGCAAAAATCGACCACTGGGTGTCTACGTGCCCTAAGAACGACGATGGGAGTGGGCTTAATGTAAAATGGTATGTTGGCAATTTTGATTTGCACGAGGTTATCTGCTGATATAGTCATCTGCAGGTTCACAGGGCGACGGAATACAATCGTGATTCTCATGTACCGTCCATCGCCACAGATTCCTGAGCCATCCGTCCAAGCGGCGCAAATATGCTACGAAGCGGCTATCTTCAATATCGCCATGCATAAAGAACAGATGATCACCGGATCTGTTGATCTCACTTGGGTATTCGTACAGGCGTTGTTCATGGCTTTGAACACCGTTCTCTGGACCCTCTCGTATCCCGAGATACGAAAAGAGCACACCATCGAGGAAGTCCAGGGCCATTTGGATATGGCTCTCGAAATCATTGTTTTCTCCGCCGAACGATGGCCCGGTGTCCAGTCCGCACTGCTCCTTTACAAGCGCCTTGTTTCTGCGTGCCTGAAGGCTTATACCACCGAAGAGTCATTTGTTGTGCACTCGCCTTCCAACCATCCGACCCCAACTTCCTCCCAAGGATTGACACCGCCGGCTATGTCTAGTCCTTCAAGTAGCACGACTGCCTCCTTTTATTCCCACAATCATCGCGGTGGGAACCTATCAATAGGCGACACTGCCTCGAGTGGTACCTACTCTAGAGGACAATCTGCTGATCCCTCATTTACACAAGATTCAACACCTCCGGCTACAACACCAGCTCCATTCTCACAGCCCCGCATCCCACCAGTATCGCCTGCCTTTGATATGAAACCGCCACCTACCTCTCGAAGCTCGGCGTCACAATATGCACCGGAGCCCTATTGTGACCCGTCATCACTTTATCCAGATGTTTCGGTCGACCCCAATACCCCGTATAACACGATGCCTTCAGTTGTTCCCGGCCTTCAAGGCTGGGATCCCAATTTCACACTTGCCTCAACGACTGCCGGGCATCTGGCATATATTGACGCCACTGTCGACCCCATGAACTGGACCACTTCCATTGGGGATCAGTATTCTCAGTATTTCAACGAGCCATTCCCAGTGCCTTCATGGCGCGAGCGTACGCTCAGCCAACAGGAGCAGATTGAGCTTTTGGCATCTTTGGAACACAATATACCTGATGTGTCTGCTCAGTTGGTCACCGAGTACAATGCTTTCTATCAGTCATGAGTCTCTGAGAGTCTGTTCTGGGTCTGTCGGAAACCACATGTTTGAATAGCGTTCATGACCGGAGACACCTTGTTTGACTTTTTGAGATATCACTCCCATTCTGATTTAGACTGGCGCATCTTCTGACACTCATGGTTGTGTCGTTTCAAGGTTTATCATAGCCATGTTCCCAACTAGGCTGGAAATAGTCCGTGCTAAGAAAGGCGACTCAGGCCATATGACTTGACTGTCCAGATGGGTTCCCTCATAGTGAACTCACCCAATTTCGATTATTTTTAACCTCCAGCCTCAAACCTTGGATGGTGTCGACTGGGGAAATAATTCCGGGGTGCGGATCACCCGTGGACGCCGTTCGCCCTCTAAGCGCTGTAATGAAGTATGACTTGCATGGTCTATAGCACAATAGAACATTTTCCAATCAATTTAGCGAGGGATCAATGTAATTGGCCATCAATATCCATTCAGGTGAAGCAATCAACAATGAAAAGTGAGTCCCAGTTAAACATCATTGCTGTCTCTCATTGGTCCTCAATCACTTGTCAATAGCACCTTTTTTTATCTCAAAGGTAAATGGCACAAAGAAAGTTTTCCTAACCAAGAGGGTCAATAACCCCGTGTATAGATCAGACCGATATGTATATGCAGGTGTCAAGTACAGAATGAATGCCAAGGCCCGGTCACGTGCAACCCTCAATTCGCCGTCATCTCGACTTGTCTTTGACCACAGGGTCGTCCATCCTCATCTTCCTTCACCACAGCCACCCATCAGCCACCCAATTTACACCACTGGCTTCGAAACAAATCTCAGCATCCTGGAATGCAGATGATCTAAGTCGGCCACTTAACGACCTGCTCGCCTGCTTGAGCGACCGTCGATCATCGACCGGGACCCCCTCTCCAGGCGCTGGTATCAAAGTTTGCGATTTGGATCCAGAGCCGCTCTGGCACATACCTCGCTGCATGCTGAAAACCTCTACGGGCTCTCATGTCTGATCGCACTCACCCCACCTCTTTCCAAGCAAGACCTCCTTCACCCTCCTCTCCAGCCGCCGAATCTCAGAAAGAGAATCTTCGGCTGCCCATCTTTTCAGACCACATCCCCCAAACCCCGACATCTCCTCCGTTGATGTCGGTTAGCGATCAAAGTCATGCCTCCGACTTCACATCCTCACATACATCCTCGAATCAGGCCACGGCCCAACCTCCGAATATCTCCTCCCCCCCATCCTCGGCACCAATGTCTACCCAAGCCTCTCAGCAACCAACAATGAGCACGTCCACTTCGTTTCCCACTCCTGCTAGCAGCGTGAGTGGTCAACCCGTAAATGCGACATCGGTGGGGGATACGGAAAACGGCAGAAAACCCGAGAATACGGAGACGCAGGGTTCGGCAGAAAAATCGGGACCAGGTCCCGATCAACAATCATCAGAGCACATACACACGAATCATAATCGACAGATCTCACAACCCAACGGCAACAGCGATCTTGCCACCGAGAAGGGTCGGACCTCGGGAGACCCCGATGCTATGGATGTGGACACAGACCCTACCCGTCGAGTAGACCCCAGCAATCTCTGCCTGGAGTCTCTTCAGAAAGAGCTCACCGCGGCTTTTCATCTTTGCAAGAGCTGTAAGCTTCCCCCAATGAATTCCCGTCGTCCACTTTGGGCAGCTGCGTGAATTCGCTGGTTTTGTATACTCCCGGAACTGAAGTTGTTAACACTGAATTTTACTACTTGACAGCTCCGATCGTCACTGGCCCAGATCCTTCGGTGGATCTCGTCTCCCTCTATGGACTAGGTTCGGTCGCGCACTCGGTAGCACGCATGGATCCCGTCACGGGAGAAAAAATCAATCGGCTCAGGAAATCATACGAGGGAAAGTTGAAGGGACTGGGACTAGCTGGACGCAACAAATCAACCAAGCAGGAAATCGGTCAACCTGGGAGCTTGCGGTATTTGACGATGTGGCCCGAGGAAGAGTGGCAGAACCAGAAGGTGCATGGCAAACCAATCAAAGTCTCGGATATGGATTCGGCGCTCCAGGATCTGCAAGTCAAAGCCATGCAAATGGAGCCTGGCCCTGTCCGCAATAACGATTTCTGGGAAGATGTTTTGGGACATGAGAAGCCCGCCAAACACCCAGCGCCAGGCGAGACAGGCAAGAAGGCTGCCCCAGTTGCGAGTGGCGGTCGTCCGACTGGTCAGTCATATGCTGCATCACAGTCTCAGGAAGCAGAGCGTCCTCGGGCTAGCAGGGGTCGTAAGAGACATTACGATGACAACAGCTTTTCTGGTTACGGCGAAGGATATGTGGATGATGATGATGACCCCGGATTCTACTCGAACGGCGAGGGAAGCGGGAAGAAGAAACGCAAGAAGGTACGCTTCTAACAGCACTCATCGCTTCGGGATTTCGAATTGACCGTCTCGCCCAGGACCATGTTGCTAAAGTTTCCACCCCCATGTCCGAAAGAAGTGGCAGCTATGGGGTCGGCATGTTTGGCATCGGCGCCAGATGACGAAATGCGTTTTACGATCATTTTCGATCAACAAAAGCTGCTTTCACCTTTTTTTCGCTTTTTTTTTCCTCCTTTGATGAAAACCAAATACTACCCATCTCAACTTGGGGTGACGGCTCACACCAGAAGCTAGATCCTACTGCTCGTCATAGCAAAGGACTCGATGCATGTCTCCCATGATCCATCTTTTTTTTTTTTTTTTTTCTTTTTTCCTTTCTTCTTTTTTTTCGATTCTCAGTACATGTTGCATCACGGTGCTGGATATACCCGGCTTCATCAATCGGACGGCGTTATGGCAGGGTGGAAAACAAATTCATCCAATGCGGACAAGCTTGATTGCTCGTCACGAATACTTCGTTTTTCTCTCTCGTGCTTTTTTATCTTTTTTTCCCCTCCCTTTTCTAATCTCACACACAACTTCGCGAGATCTTCAGTGCTGTAATGGCTTCTCTTACCTGTTTTCCTCGCACACGGTTTCCAATGCTCTTTCAGATCTTCTGATTGTTTTTATTCCCTTTCTGCGGGTCCGGATGGTCCGCTGTGTTCATGGCCAATGATTCCAGGGAGTGTGTATGGCACTTCCTGACGTACCACTTCGTCCATACTATGGGAAACTTGATATTGGCAATGCAGAGCTCACCTTTCTTTGCCAAATCAAAAGCGCCCCAGGAGTTAGTCAGTTTACCCAATAGATGACTTAAAACACTCTAATCTTTGCCACGTAATTGTACGAGATCCGCATCTCTCAGCCGGCCCCGGAGTATTTTGCATCCACGCTGTACTTATGGAGCACGAGCCAACCTGTTCGGGCATCTCGGCTCACTCGTATCAATTTAGAAGTTCCAGAACCTTGCGTCAGCAGCGGCGAACTCAAGTGGCGTGGCTGAAATCTCTTGGGACACACATCGCCTGTTTTCGCTCTTTTCGGGCACAACTGCCAATAGTGACCCTGCTCGCTCATATTCCAGATAAGGAGTACACAGATCGAGCAAACAGAGAAACAGAGAAACAGAACCAAGAAAGACTGGAAATTTGAGACTCTGAAAATAAAAAGCTTGTGGCTGACATCGGCGACGCCGATTCCACTTCACGTATCAAGGCCGCCACCCACAGCTAAGATGGCTGGTTTGGCGTCGCCAGCACTCTTTTCCTCATGTAAGGCAAGACTATTATAATTAGCCCTGGAGGACCCGTGAACTCGTGTTCTTATAAGCATCTCGGACGGTTATGCCTTGGAACCCGGGAGTGTATGTCCGATTGGCCTTTGGCTTTTGGCTATTATAGCCGCGCATCAACATCCAGTAGATTTGGCGTTATGCTCTCCATATTGAATACCCAATTCTAATTCATTGGCTTGTGAGTTTGTTTTTTAATTGTTTGTAACCAAGACCCAAATTACCTCCGCTCTCACGATCTTCGTTCTATGGCTGATCGTCCAAATCTGGTTTTGGCCAGAAGGTCACGCAGCTGACTTTTCAAATATGCACTCTCAACTCCAAGTCCTGTCTTGTGGTTTCTTGAGTACTTTGTGGGGCGGAAACTAAACACTGCATTACATTGCAAAAGTACAGTGTAATGATCTCAGCTTGAAATCGATGGTAGTTTGTGATATTTAAGGATGTTTATCAACAAGATATCAGAATAAAGTACTCCGTACCTAGGTGGGTTCCCAGTGATGTATTCACTGGAGTACTCTGGAATGTCACAAAACCTACCTGTATTATGCGAGTAGCCGTTCGACCCGTGGTGCAGACAGGCTGACACTGCATGTAGGAAATATGCCGAATCGGATTAGTGTGGATTAGCAACGCCATTCCCGATTCTCTGAGTGGACAAGGGATGCGGTCATTTGGAGTCGATCGTTTGTAGTTTGTAGTTCGTGGATCTGTAGAGCTCCCCTGACCCATGCACATCTGGTGACGGGCTTGCCTACCTATAGGTACTCAGGTGTTTTTCTTTTCTTACTCGTACTTAAGTACAGCTCTTAGCGATATCCCTGGTAATTATTGTTTTTGCTTTGACTTATGAGATCGTCCACAGGCTGGCCTTTTTTCTCTTGTTTCTCTCTCTAGCAACCCTTCCATATCTTCTTGAAACTAATTCTACATGCCTACACCAATTCCCCAGCCCCCAGGGCTTCCAATTCTTGGAAATTTATTAGACATGACCCCCGGTAATGTCTGGGCCTCTCTGAACAGATTGGCGACCGCACATGGAGGTGCTGGCATATTCAAAATCACAGTACTTGGCAAGCAGCTCGTCTTCATCACAAATGCCGCTCTACTAGAGGAGATTTGCGACGAGAAGCGCTTTCGAAAAAGTATCACAGGACCTATTGTAGAGATTCGGCGCTTGGCCAACGATAGTCTGTTTACTGCCTACGACTATGAGCAGAGCTGGGGCATCGCACATCGAATTATGGCTCCCTTTGTTGTGCCCGAGGCTGTCAAGGCGATGCATACGGATATCGAGATCACAACAAACGATCTGATCAAGAAATGGACCTCCGCGAACGATACCCATGTGGATGTCTCGAATGATTTGGACAGACTCAACCATGCCGCCAACATGCAGTGTTTTTTCACCCAGCACGTCGACTGTGTCTTGGGCAAGGAGCCCCCCGTGCTCAAAGCCATGCTAGACACAACATTTGAAGCTGTTCGTCGACCCTCACGACCGAAACTCCTCACTTGGCTCCGTTATCAGTCCAAGTTCGAAAAGGACATCAAGATCGTCCGTGAGTATTGTGCAGAGGTCATAGCCCACCGACGCGCAAACCCCGTTGAAAAAATCGATCTACTCCACGCCTTACTTCATGGAAAGGATCCAGAGACCAGTGAATCACTCCCAGATAGCCGGGTTATCGATGAAATTATCAACATCTTCATCGGAAGTGCTACAACACCAAACCTAGTCACATTTGCCCTTTACTATCTCGCCAAGAATCCCAGCGAGATCACTCGGGCTCGCGAGGAAATTGATTCCATCGTCAGTCCCTCGGGTGAGCTGCAACAATCCGATATTGCGCAGCTGTCATACTGTGAGGCAATTCTTCGCGAGTCCTTCCGTCTTTGTGCCACGGCACCAGGATTCAATATTGAGCCTTTACCCACCGATGGACCTGTCTTGCTTGGTGGGGGAGAGTACGAAGTTCCCAAGACTCAGACAATGATCGTGATTCTCTCTGCAGTCAATCGTGATCGAGCTATTTTTGAGAACCCTGATGCTTTCAAACCGGAGCGTATGCTAGGTGAATCGTACGATCGGCTTCCTGCTGGTGTGAAGAAAGGGTTTGGAAACGGCAAGCGTGAGTGCTATGGGAGAAATTATGCATGGGAATGGTCTCTTTATGTCCTGATTCGTATCATCAAGGATGTGGATTTCGAGTTGGCGGATAAGAATTACACCTTTGACATGGAAGGGAAGAATTTCAATGGAGCTTTCACTGTGAAGCCCTACGGGATGTTTGCATCTACCAAGAGGAGAAATGCGTCTGCTTGAATTGGCGATGTCAATGACATGTTGGAAGTATTGTCTTTTCGCTCAAACTACCTCTTGTACTAATGTTGGATTACGTTTTGATACTTCGATATGGTCTGCTTGCACTCCGTGGCCCTAACCCACATATAACACCATATTTTTTTGTTATTAATGACAATTGGTTGTACTTTGTGACTTTCCCAAAGTCTGAAGCTCAGCTCGGTCAGGTAGGTGAATTTGTCTTAAACAATGGGTCCATCGTCCGTCTGCTGCTTCTTTTTGGCAAACACGCGTTTCAACAAAGCTCTGATAGAATGTCCGGGTCCGCCGATGTCATAGAGAGGCCTGTGTTCCTCATTGATATCGTGCTCATAGTCATAGTCGACATGCACAAAGGCTCGCTCTACGTCGGCAAGACCTTCCAACTTGCGCTGCAGGGCTTGGCTCACATCATGAGACTCGCGGAGCTTAGTCTCCGGGTCCATGACAATGTCAACTTCAACATAAAGCTGTTGCCCGGAGTGATAGGCACGGCACTAAATACCAGACCAGTCAGATTGACAAATCAATACTAGAAAAATTTCAAATGACTTACCGTGTCCACCTTCTGGATTCTCTGGTCGTGAGTCAAAGTAACGTAAATGCATTTGTTCACGAACTCGCGTGGCGCACACTTCCCCACGATCAACCACATATTCTCGAATGCGGTAGACGCCCAAGAGAACAGAATGAGCAGCGCAATGCAGCACGCACCAATTGGGTCAAGGTACCATACGAAACGATCACCAATGATAGCCATGATCAATCCGAATCCATTGACAGCCAGGTCATTACGGTGATCAATGTAGAAGACGTGTGCAGCCGGGTACCGACGCAGCCCGAAGCAGTACAAGAACATGACGAACTTGGAGAAGATCGCAACGCCAACACAGATCAGCGGCACGAGAGCCAACTGCTTGGACTCGGTCTCGCCAGCTGCAAGGGACTTGGCTGATTCGATGATCAACTCCACTGCTACAATGGTCATCAGTGCGCAGAACATGATGACACCCATTGTTTCCACTCGACGGCGTCCCACAGGGTATTTGTATGGCTTTGGGCGCGAGGACATGCGCGATGTGACGAGCATAACGATTGACGAGACGAGATCCATGAAAGCATCTGCAGCCGTGGCGAATAGAGCAAGGGACCCGGTAGAAATAGCTGCGTACAGTTGGATGATGAAGAGGCAGAAGTTGACCACGAAGCTGGCACGCACGGCTAGCTTGACTTTGCCGCCGTTTTGGGCTTCATCCTCGGCCTTGAGGCGTTCTTCGTCACCGCTGGAAAGAAACCCTTCGATCATTTCATTCTGCTGTTTGTAGAAGCCGCTGAGCTTTTCGTCGCCGCTGGAGTATGGGATCCATTGTTTCTTTTGTTCGACGATAGTTGTTTTGAATTGTTTGAGGTTGAGAGGGTCTTCCTCTGGGGGAGTCATTTTGGATTCGAGCTGGACAAGATTATCAGATGAAGATCAGATAAAAGTCAACCAAAAATCTACGCAGATCTAAGGTTTAGGGGTCATAGGGAAAGCCAAGAATCTCACGCCAAGAGTCCCCGTCCGGAGCACTCTCAGCGCCTTGGCATTGTGGCAGTGCCTGCGAAGTTTTTCTTGGCTCTGTGAATCTGGCGAGTTAGACTGTAGCATCTAGAATGGCTTGCGGAGTTTCTCCGGTGAAAGACTCAACGTGACAAACAAACCGAGTTTTATATTCGTTGAATATGGAGTCACATCTCAACAAGTTGAACTTGTCAGATCCTGCACACATTATGTTCGTCTTGCGTCTTGAACACAAGTTGGATTTTTTCAAGGTTCTTTATCTTAGAGCTTCAGAGCTCAGTGGTGTTCAAAAGAGAGAGAGAGAGAGAGAAGTACGCGGGGTACTTAAGTAGTAGACTCAACTTTTGTACTCCATACCGTGTATGTATATTTGGGCCGTGAACCTCGAAAGTCATATTGTGTCCCAAGGTCAGATAACTGACGACTCGCAAGAATACATTTTGTTATAGCTCTAGCTCATCTAAGTAAATATAAGTAACTCCATACTTTAAGTATATCCCCAGAAGTCTTAGTTTCTAAAGTTCCAAGACTGCCCAGGTGCCCAGGTGGAATCCATGGATTAGGATAAGCTTAGCCACCTCAAGCAAAATAGCCCTAACCCAATGACATCCCGTTCAAAAGCACCAACCACAGCATACTATGGGGTTCCTACTTATGTACGAACCTTGGAAGTACATAAGTATACATGCTTTATGCAGTTTTGTCTCATATGCATAACGCCCTTTCAGTGGTTTAGTCACAGCTAACCAGTAGACGTCAGGTACAACACTCACACACCACCAATGTAGACCCAACCTGCTTGCAGCGTCATTTTTACGTCCCGAGAAAGTATAATTTCATGAAAATTGCTGTGATTTCCCCTCACAAGAAACCAGGGGGAGTTATTATAAGATACGGGGGGTCTGTTAAAAGTTTCCGATTGGTGGGAGTCATTGCAGTTTGATATCATCATTCCACCTCGTCACTTAACATCACTTCTAGCTTCTACCTTCCTGAACTTTGATATCATGAAATAACAGGTGACGTGAATTGAAGCTATACTGATCCGGTTTGACTTATGCAGTAAAACTAGCATCGGAGTAGAATTCTGCTTTCCTCGAGGTTCCGAGGAGTCTTCAGCGTTTCCCCAGAGACAAGGTACCTATCGACGAGGCGATCTATCGCGAACTGAATGATCAAGGGCCTCCATTCGGAAGCTATTCATGATAGCTCCAGCCCACACCCAGGCAACAGTGGAAAAGATCCCCGCGGCCATAGGCGAGGGAGGGAGCTAGGAGCTAGGAACATTCCTGAAACATCCGAGCTCCGTCAAGATTTTGGAAGCTCTGCTTCCAATCGCGATCTTGCAACAGGCATGTTGACCAACGTGTCACATTTAAAGTCTACGAGTTCAGCCAACTAAGAAAAATTGGCCGGTGATCTAATCATTTGACGCTAATCCCTTCATTCCAGCCCTTAGCTGTAGCTGTAACCTTGCCCGGACAGCTCAAATCTTGGATGTACGTCAGGAATGCTAAGGCGGATTACCGCTCGGAGGATTTTGTATTATCTATTAATTTTTAGTGGTTAAATAAAAGAGCTTGACAGCTCCGTAATGAGGCTTAGGAACAATAATTCACGAGATTTGCCTCGTGTTTTGAAGTGCGTCGACAACCATGGCCTCCAAGGTCTTACAGAACAACACCAACAGCAACTGGCTGAAGGATCCAGGATTGCGAAAGCTCAATCTGGGGATCAGCTTTATGCTATCAGCATCGGCTACTGCCGGATATTGTGCTAGCATGATCAATGGTCTGCTCGTGCTGCCCGAATGTAATAGCCTTCGTTCCATGACACCCTTACAAGCAGCTAACTCGAGAATTCATAGTTAACGACTTTTTATCCGGTCTCGACACAAATGTCAGAGGTCTCATTATTGCAGCTGTCTCTCTTGGTTCTTTTTTGGCATTTATCCCCGCATCCTACATTGCCGACAATCTGGGGCGGAAGATCTGCGTCCTCATCGGATCATCGCTAGTGATCATTGCATCTATCGTCCAAATCGCGACTTCAAACCATTGGGTTTTCTTTAGCGCACGCGTTCTGGCTGGGATGGGAGTCGGTGTCTCACAAACTGCTGCGCCATTGCTTATTACCGAATCGACGCACCCACGCCAGCGACAAGCATTTACGGGGTTATACAACGCACTTTGGTTTATTGGATCGATCACGTCCGCCACCATTGGCTTTGCTGGACTTTCGATAATAGGAAATTGGTCATGGAAGCTTCCTTGCTTGACACAAGTGTTCTATCCAGCCCTTCAGCTGATAGGTCTGTGTTTGGTTCCCGAGAGTCCAAGATGGCTGGTGTCTCGAGGCAGAAAGGAAGAGGGAATGGCCATTCTCGCCAAATATCACTCGAACGGAGACGAAAATGACGAGATGGTTCAAGATGAATTCTACAACATCTGTCAAAGCATTCAAGCCGAATCAGCCTCCAAATCAAAGGGTTGGGCTGCATTTTGGGAAAGCTCAAGCAACATGCATCGTTTGGCGATTTGTGTTATGTTGGGATTCATGCAAGAGTGGTCTGGAAATGGTATGGCCGACTTCTATCTTTGTTACTATGGTTTTTTTTTTGCTAATTATATCTTCCAGGTGTGGTCTCCTATTATCTAGCACCCATTTTGAACTCAGTGGGCATCTATCGCGCAGCTTACCAAGCCGCTATCAACATCAGTCTGCAGGTGTGGAACCTTATGTTCGCCGTCTGTGGAGCAATGGCTGCAGACCGGTTTGGGCGACGAAGGCTTTGGCTGATCGCGACAACTTTGATGTTTGTCTACCTTGCCGTTGCGACGGTCATGTCTGGTCTCTTCACGGAGATGAAAATCCTGGAGGCTGGCATTGCGGTGGTACCAATGTTATTCCTCTTCTGCGCTGCTTTCGACATGGCATATATGCCATTGTTCATTGCATACCCAGCGGAAATTTTGCCCTTCCAAATCCGTGCGAAGGGTCTCGCCGTGACACTGACCACTGATTCTATGGCGTGTTTCTTCAACCAATACGTGAATCCAGTGGCATTTGCGGCAATCCAGTGGAGATACTTCATCGTCTACCTGGCCTGTCTTATCATCTTCCTGGTGACAATCTACTTCCTCTTCCCCGAGACTAAGGGTTTATCTCTGGAACAAGTCGGACGAATCTTCGAGAAGGATAAGACCTACCAGACGGAGACACCCACTTCGGAGATTTCGCAAGAGCTACTTGTATACCCAAAGAAGAGCAGCACTTCTTCATGATAAATCTTTTGCTGCTTGTTGTAATTACGACAGTGCTCTCGACTCGACCAGCTCGGCTCACCCCCGGAGACTGATGTTATCTAGGTGCTTTTTTTTTTTTTTTTTTCCCTTGGGGAAAGTTTGGAATAACAAATGCTAAAGATAGACAGAGTTTTGTCAGGTATCAAAAATTGAATACCAACTTGGA